AGGTATGATGTGGTAAAATTCATGTGTTGCTGGTATACGAGGAAGACATCCCTGTTCAAATGTAGGAATGGATAACTCTGCCAATGCAAACCAATAAAGGAACCTATGTGGGTGTTTCCATACTTCCCCATCTCATCTCTCCGTTTTTAATAGGTGATATACTTGAAACCAAGGGGAGTATCTTCATTCTTTGTCACCCCAGAATCCTGTCTGCAGCAACTGAGCTGCCTGTGCTCTGAATTTTCTCATAATGTGGCGTTTCCTTTTGTCCATTGGGTCTGGACAAACCATGTACCTATGTAAACCCTGCTTTAAGACCCCCAAGGAAGAAGTGCTTGGGCCTTGCTTTGTATCTGTTGTGTGGCTCTGAATGCTTCCTTTAGAAAGCTAATTCAAAACTCTATCATTTTTACTGAATTCTTCTTTAAGTTTTTTTTTGTTTTCATATGGCTCAGAAAGCCTTTTGCTTGCAGAATTTATATCAACTCTTTGAGGAGTGAAAGAGGGAGTTTTCAGAGTGATTTGTCTGGTGCTACATTCTCAGTATTCAGTTTTTTGGCATCTTCCTAAGCCAAGCCGCCATATTTGTTAGTGCACTTTCTCACAGATACTGCTACCTACACATGTGAGTTTTTCTCCACAAAACCATTGACCAAGGAATCAGTAGGTCACCCATCTAAAATGCAAAACTACTCCAGAAAATGTGAGCTAACTCCAAGGTATGCTGCCTTGGAAGCTATACTCTTTTCCGTTCCTTACCAGTAGTCTCTTCTGGTTTTGCTGCTTCTTCCCATTTCCCTGGTCCTTCTCATCTTCCTGTTCTGGTCTAGGTGTTTCTCCAGAAATGGACAACTTTTGAAGTTCAGACATCCATAAAGTAGACAAGTGGCAGTAGAAATGCATGGCATAAACAGGTAGGTTTACCTGTCAGCACCAGATTCCCATAGGGTTGAAGCTGGGAGTGCAGCCAGCCTGGTGGGATATCAGATTATTTTTATCCCTCTCAGTAGCACAACCAGGTTTGGCCTTGATGCAAGGAATGTGATGGGTTTATCTTTCCCCATGGCTGCCAAAGCCTACCTGCTTTCCTAGCATGGTGCCTGGATCGTCCAGCGCAGAACATTTTCACACTGTGTCTTCTTGGCAGCTATTTCATTGGCCTGGGCTTTCTGCTATTGCTTTATTATATTTACACATTGCTTGCAATTATACACTGAGCTTTGGAACATAGTGACTCTCACTTAATATTTATTCATGCAATGTCCAGCAGAGTGACCCAATCAGGGAACAAATGGGACATTGGTGTAATTCGAGTGAATAATGGTAGAATAACTACTGAAAAGTGAAAAGTGGCATTTGTAGAAATATATAGTTACCTGTGCACTATATGACCTCTGTATGCCAACAGTCTGTGTCAGTATATGGCTTTTTTGCTTGCAATACCTCCCTGCCCTCTCTTGCTCAGGAGCATCTGCTTCCATATGACTACACTCCACAGCTATATTGCAAGATTGTTGGTTGCTTTAGACCAGATGGCAGTTTGACAGGTATTTTGGCAATGGTGAATTAATCTCCAGCTAACTTTGGTAAAAATGTTTGATTAAAGGCAGCTGGTTGTGCAGCACAGAGGATGAAACTAAACATAAGTGGCTGGCTTTCCAGTGGATAAGGAAAAGACAAGCTGCTCATGAGCCTGCAAAGGAAAAGCACTTGGGAAAATCTGTTGCCTGCCTTTTGAGCCCGATTGCTGAAGCTGTAATCTTCCCAACAAGAACTTTTTATAAGAGCAAGTAGTGACAAGACAAGGGGTAACGGCTTTAACTGAAAAAAGGTAGGTTTAGATTAGATATAAGGAAGAAATTCTTTACTGTGAGGGTGCTGAGGCGCTGGCACAGGTTGCCCAAAGAAGCTGTGGCTGCCCCATTGCTGGCACTGTTCAAGGCCAGGCTGGACAGCACTTGGAGCAAGCTGCTGTAGTGGAAGGTGTCCCTGCCCATGTCAGGGGGCTGGAACTGGATGAGCTTTAAGGTCCGTTCCAACCAAAACCGTTCATGATTCTTTGGTAACTCCTCTTGAACAATGTTATTTCAGGCCCCAGTGATTTATTCTTCAGCCACTTTTGTCATTTTCTAACTGCAGCTTTTGCTTGCAACTGTTTCCCGGATATATGCACCAGCAGACCCCTCGATCCACAAGTGTTGGAAGAAGAGAGGCAAGCTCTTCTGCTAACCCAAGTGACCTAACTGGCAGGGCTATGGGAAGGGAACAGGTACCTTTTGGCTATGCCAGCACTTCCCTAGGCCTTAGCAACACACTGAGTACAAAGCTTGGGATTTTACCTGATTAAAATATCTGGTGGACAAGTGAAAAGAAAATGTGATTTTTCTGCAAATGCAGTTCATGAAGTTGGTTAGTGAAAAAGAAGAAGATATTTGTTTAGTAATGTGGATTGCTCTGCCAGCATGACTCCATTTCAGTTAGCTGCATTGTCAGTGGGGCTGTGGCAGCTGCCTGTGAATTAAGGGTGCAAGCTCTTGGTTGCTTTCCCATCCCTGCCTGTCACAGATACTTTGGCGCTCTGCAAGCACAGAAGCACTGGTGCTTTTCTGCTTCCTGCTCTCTTCCACTGCTCGCTCCTGTAGGTTACTCAGTTTACTTTGTGTGTTCTAACATAGGCAACACAATCTCTTTTCATGCATTTATTAAGTTTCAAACATCTGCTGAACCAATCCTTAGCCTGACAGGTCTTATCTGCTTAGTGAGGGATAGAAAACAGCTGTCTGGGTATAATGGGGATTCAGCAGAAGGGACAGAAGTAGCAGCCCTTTCCACTCTGTAGCCTGATGGAGTTCAATGGTGTTTCCCCATAGGACATTAATCCTGTCTCTATGGTCTAGGTTGCTTCTGTGCAGTTTTCTCCTTGGGGAGGAACAGGTAAAGCTGATGTATACTCAAAGATTTCCCCTGCAAGCTGGCAAAACTCTCTAGCTTCATTTCCAGTAAAGGGTCAGCTCCGTGCCTTGCAGGCTGATGTGTGGCAAGTGATGCTTCAGTTTATGCAACAAGAGAGAAGTGGCAATAGATACAAGTAAAGAAAAAGCCTTTATTGAGCTCTTTGGAGTGCTCACTGGATCATATATTCCCTGAGCATGGTGAATCCCTGAAGCTTTTCTTCCATGCTTGGTGATCCTGTTCCAAGTGTGGCAGTTAAGACTGACTAGCTGTCTGTGGCATGTATGGTCGCCAAAAGGGAGAGTCAAAGTGCCTTCCTTCAAATACCCAGGTAGCCTCTTGGTTGCGAGGGCCAACAGATCTGCTCTGGGCTCCCCATCTTTGTAAGTAGCTGCTTGAGATCTGTTAAAAGTCAAAAGGACAAAATTGCACTGCTTTAGTCAATAAATAATGAATACAACAGAAAAACATTTTTCTCTTCCTGGAGTGCTATTGCCTTAGGAGGTAAGTAACATCTGGGAAGAAGAGTAACCTTATTTTGAGAGATTTTCTACTCCAAATTGGATAAACCCTGCACAACTTGGACTGACTTCAGTGTTGATGGAGTTTTGAGAGGGAGGTTGGACTAGAAACAATATGAGGTCCTATGAACACTGTGCATCAAACTTACTGACTGCTATGTTTAATTTGTGCAGCTGTGCCAAGGAGTTGGCACTTCATGGAGAATAAAAGGAAAAAGTTAACCAAATTCCTTTACTTTGCATGGAAAAGACACAATTTTTAGTTCTACCTATGCTGCCCACTTTGCCATGGAACAGCACTTCCTTCAAGATGTATCAGCTTCTTAGAGCAAATGATTTCCTTAAAACTGGCATTTGCTTTTTGATGGGCTTTCTACCCCACTAAGAAGCCATTCAAATGCAGCAGATCTGACCTTCATGAAGGTGTAGTTAGCAAGAAACTTAGTTGTAAAAGTATCCAGTGACTTTAATTTGCGTATACAGCACAGATACTTGTATCTTTTATTAAAATATAAATATACCAAATATACCTGTAAATAAATAAGGCCAGATTTTTTTTCACTCTGACATTGGAACCTTGCCCTAGGAATCCATCCATCAAAATCTGCTGGACTACTTATGTGGGAAAAATATGTCACAAATAAGACTGAATGTGGCAGAATTTGGCCTGAATTTATCAGCTCACGTTACATGAGGTAGACTGTAGTATGTAGGTAGTCATCCATAAGTATATACAGACAACTATAATTAACCTGCATAAGTAAATACAGGTATGCATCAACTGTAATGCTCTTTCAAAAGGTTTCTTCTATGTTACTGAGTTTTTACAAAAGTAGATGGGGAAACACCTCTCAGCCACTTCAGTCTGCTTTGTGGCATGCCATTTGCCAGCAGTGCTAGTGGCTTTGAATCCCACAAATGGATTTCTGCTCTTTCAGGTAGAAGAGGCACTGACTGGTAACAGTCCTTTACAGGACTCATGGCAACATCTCATGTAAAATACAGCCCTATTGATAAGGTCTGGGTTGAGTGGATTCGAAGGTTATATTTTGGTGTCATTTCAGCAGGTAAAGGGGAAAGAATTCCCACATTTGGGTTTTTCAGGAAATTCCCATGCCATTGGACATTTGCTGTGTCAGTATGTTGGCTGTGCCAAATTTCGAGTCCTCATTCTTTGTAATGACGCAGCAAGAGAGTTTCTCAGTGAAAAGTTTCTATGCTTCAAATGATTTAACAAGGATAGGTCTCAAATCCTGCTTTTGGTAAAAGACTGGTTCTGGATGATGTTTACAAAAAGGTGGGGAGGAGGGATGAGCCAGAGGAAGACACTGGAGCTGAGAATTGAAAGTGAAGCTGTTTGAGTATGAGCAAGTTACAGGTGATCGAGAGCAGCGTTGTTACAGCAAGGAGGAGAAGTTGGCCTCAACTCTCAACAGAGCTATCCTATAACTGTGCTATCCAAAATACACAAACATACCAGAGAATGGTGTGGCATTTCATATGAGATTATTTCCATTGGTGGTGTAGGGTGAAGAAGGGTCCCCTGGCTTTCCTGGACTGAAAGGGGATAAAGGAGAAAAAGTAAGTCCAACTCTTTATTCTCATTATACCATGAAAAGCTTGAGTTTATAAAGCTACTGTGAAAGGCTTATGGAAATGGGCCCTTTTCTAAGTCTTTTGTTTTACCTCTGTGTTTTCTTGTTTTGTGTTAACAAGGTCAGGAACTTTGTCTAAACCTTGTAAAATTCTAAAAGAGAAGAGTGGAACAGAACAGAAGCTCAGTGCTAATGCCTCCACATACAGAAACATCAATGTTTCTTCAGTGAAATAAATAACTTTTGGATTGAGATAGCCTTAGCAGATACTGTGTCATCATCTTATTTGGGGTGGGGGAGGAGGAAAAACAAGTTTTCCTGCACTGAGCTTGCTCTGTCAAATAGTGTGTAAGGTCAGCAACAGCCCCTACAGAGACTATAAATAAATGTTTGCATTGAAATGATTTTCCTCATTCCTTATTCATGTGTTGATGTGTTACTCATGTCCTTGCACTTGTAATGGGTGTTAATATTGTGCTGATGGTGATTCTGTTGTTATTACAGGGGTTCCTGGGCCCACCTGGCCTCCCTGGGAAGGATGGAGCAAAAGGAGAAGCTGTAAGCCTTTTTGTTCCTCCCCATGTAATCCCTGCCTTTCAGTGCGAGGCAGGAGTGGAAATCAATCTGTATTGAGTGAAACATGTCTTGGGGATTTGTATGGTCATTTTAGGAGCAGCAGAAACAAATGGCAGGAGGTTAATAGCCCCAGCACTCTCCCTCACACGTTTGCAGGAGTCTTATGGATTAGCCATCCTGATTTGCTCCCAGAGCAGCTCTGTTACCATTCATTAAAATGGAAAAGGGGGCAGTCTTGGCAGCCTGTGGCTTGGGGCTCACTGCTGCTGCCGTGCTAGTTAATAGCTCCAACTCCAGAGCATGGCCATTTGTTTTAAGTCTGGCAAAGAGTCATTGGCTGGTGGAGATGGCAGGGCTGCAGGGGACCATCTTGTACTTCCACAGTGGACAGGGGTAAGAAAAATAGGTGTCTTGGTCACAGAAGCAAGCACCCGAACTCCTCATGTGCACTGCTAAAAGCTAATAGCAAAGGAAGAGGTGCAGTGTTAGCTTAAAGAAGGAGGTAATGTACCAAATACTGCCTTTAAGAGAACTACAGATGAAATGTAAAAACACAAACACATTTTCCAGTATTTAAATATCATATTCCAGCATCTAAATCACATATTCAAGTATGTCAAGCAGATACAAGTGTACTTCAGAGCTTTCCCTCTTTTTCCTGCTTGATCACCATCCCTTTGAATTCTCTTCATCCCAGTGGTGGACTTTTATCATTTCATTCACTGTCCATTTGTGGCAATCATTTGGTGGTAACTGGAGGAACTTGAGGAATTGACCCTTTGGAAGGGCAGGCACACACTAAAACAGTGATACACAGCAGAAAAGCTCTTTTTTTTGTTGTCTGCATCCTGCTACTGCTTTTTTGCCACACTTGTTGATAAAGTGTGGTTGTTTTCCATTATAGGTTTCAGAACCTACACAACTTCACCACATCACATGTGGCATGGTGTGGGCTTGGACAATAGCATTCCTGGACTTGTAGATTTTCTCATAGGATGCATTTTTTACACTGTAAAGTCACCATTCCAAACCAAATCAATGATGTTATCTCCAAGGAATCTATGTTTGTAGACTGTATTTGGTACAAGCTGTTCACAGCTTAGGGAACTAATTTCTTGCTACTTAGGTGATTGTGTTTGAAGAGCGGATGAATAGCTCATTCAGTTTGCAGTTTGACTCTTTCTGCTTTGATATGTGTGAAGAAAGCGCACTGCAGACTTTCAGATCTCTGGATAATGATGCTCAGGACTGTAGTTATTAGATAAAGCTTTCATTTCTGAGGCTGGATGTAATGATTATTTTGAGGCATCCTAGCTTTTATGTATAAAAGGTTAGCATTTACCACAAGTATTGCTGTTTGTTATTTGCAGGGTGAACCAGGACAACCAGGAGCATTTGGACTGCCAGGGCCAGCAGGTCCAAAAGTAAGCTTTCCATTTCTTCTTGATATGGGCAGGCATTGTTTTGTTTTTTTTTCACTGACTTTTTATATGTGTGGATTGCTTTTTGTTAATGAGTTTCTCCATTCACTAGTGTGAATATCAAAAGTCAAACTGCTCAGCTTCTTCAGGGGTCTGCTAAGGTATGAGCAATTAGGCAAGGTATATAAAAAGAAGAAATACCTTTTGTTCAATCAACAGCCCAACTGGAGAAGGTAAAGAGAATGTGTTTTGGGGCACGTGAGCCTTGCTTCATGTCTCAAGTAAGCACTCCCAGCTCTCACAAAGATGCAGGTGAGAATTATCCCTACTCTATGACTGGGGGAAAACAAATTATCACAGTGAGATCCTAGTCTGGATGTTTGTGCCTATTTTGGGGGCTTCACTTCTGCACCAGTAGATAGTAGGACTTGTGTCAATGCTCAAGATCACCAGGTTTGCTTCAAATAAGGTGCTTCTGAATGGAGATCTGGTGAGACTTCAATGGGTGCCAGAAATGTGCCTAAATTTGAAGCCCTTCTCATGATTAATTCTTTAATCTCCTTTCAAAGCCTTAGCTCTCCTTTCCTTGTTCCTTGGTTACTGAGGGGTAACTACCCCTCATTTAGTTTCAGTCTTGTTACAGCATAAAAAGAAGATGGTGCACTACATTAACAAGTGTTTTCACGGCAAGGTCAGGTCAGCCTATGACTCAGTCTGACAACAGATTGATTGCCCAAGTTTATTTCGCCCATTTTTCTGCTGTACAAATGCTGACCTTTAAGAAACGCTTCTTTCTGGAGGAGCCATATCTGGTCATTCAAACCTTTCACTGAGATTGCCTTTGTCCTTACATAGGAATTAAGTACCTGAACACCTTTCCAGATACATTCCTGATAGTCAATTTCCTCTGTTTGAGAGTACTCAATGAAGAAGTTCATTTATACAGGTCCTTCTAGGTTCCTCAGCTGTGGAGAGGCTTTTGCGTGTATCAGAACTGTGTGCCTGTGGATTAGTGACAATACTTGGTAGCCATCCCACAGCTCTCTGCGAGACCCATACTGCCTTCATCAACATGAAGGGGTTGGTTGTGGAAGCTGCATGGCAGCATGTTCAGCAGCAGATAAATGAGAGCTGTGAAGCAGGGATGAGCTGAGCTGAGTGGAGACACTGTGGATACCGTTTTGCCCATCAGTGGGATTTGGGAGTGGATGAAATGAATGGAATTCATCACCCACAAGTGCCTGTCACCTGCATCTCTCCTGTCATGTAAATAAGTACATATTTTCTCTCTTTCCTGCATGTTTTCTGTAGTGGAATTACAAACCTGTAAGCTATAAGATGCTCCTTGAGGTATGAAGTTCCTCACCCTTGTTTTGCAGAACTTTCACAAGCCAGGCTGAACTGAGACATCTATATCTACCTCCAGAAGGGCTTGATCCTGCACAATGCTCTATATTTTCCGATAGGATCATCAGGCGCATACAGTCCAGACAAGTAGTGAGGTGATACTGAATAGATCAGCACTATGGGTTGGGCAGGATAGGTGCTGGCATGGCTGGACCTGTAGACATCTGACTATACAGTACCGAGTGCTCCCAGTGAGGAAATGAGCTTGGTCAACCCCAGCCTCTCAACTACAAAATGATTTTGTGCTTTCACAGTGACTTTTATTTCCCTCAATGGGTGCACTACTTATATGCAGTGTCCTTGAGCTGGATTCTGGCCTGAGCTATTTTAAGAAGCCATCCTGACTTTGTTGATGGGGCTTTAAAATATAAAATATGAATCCAGACACCTTTACTCTTCAGTGTAAACCTCAAATACCTTGGGGTGTGGAATGAGGTGTGGAGATGGGCAGTCAGAGGTTACCTCTCCAATTATTGTTGTAATGATTGGGGTTTTTTTGCCAGATGACTTTTTTATAATCAACGTCAATACAATGTCTCTGGACTGTACCCCAGGCTCCATGCAGCACTACCTTGCAGTTTCTCTGGTTGGAGAATGCACATCTTTATGTGCATTGAGCCAGGCAAGCACAGTACACATTCAGTATTTGTGTGTGCGCCCCATAAAACTCAGCCCCCTGCTCATCTGCTTGACTCAGGGAATTCCAGTCTTTTCCTAAATAGGAATTGCAGCACTTTCTTTTAAGGAGGTGCCTTACAGCTTGTACAGATCTCATTGATTGTGTGAAGCTTCCAGTAGGACAGGTAAGGGTAGAGCAGGCTTCTGGTAATAGGACTTCAATCCACAGGGGTACCCTAATGGATGATAAGCCCATTAGGGTACATGTTGAGGCCCTCAGTGACATGGTTTAGTGGTGGTAATGGTTGGACTTGATGATCTTAAGGTCTCTTCCAACCTAGTTGGTGCTGTGATTCTATGTGTGGGTTACAGGAGTGAAATGGCCTTGGTATGTCATCTCTGGTTCTACCGCTTTTGCTGCTGAGTGAAGTCTCCAGGGGAGATTGTTCCTAGTTCAGTGTTTCATCATAAAAAATACTGGTTTTTGGGGTTGTTTTGTGTGTTTGTTGTTTTATTTTCTTTTCCATTTGGTGGGTAAACTTCATTGCTTACCAAGAAGAATGTATGATCTTGCTGGCTACAAAGGTGGAAGTAAAGAGCTCCCAATAGCCTTGTGCTAGTTAGTGTGGGAGTTTCTGGTTATAGAAGATTACACTGTGGACTGAGATAGAAAGAAATATCCACTGGTCAGTGAAGAATGCTCCCACATAAATATGCAGGACCTGGCAAGTTAATTTAATTGGAGTAAGTGGATCCAGATTTAAAAGGCCATAGCTCAGGTCCCTCATCATATTACAGTAGTGAAACAAAGCTTGGATTTTTGAGACCAAGCCTTTTAGCCTGTGAAATCCTACAGCAAATATTTAGTTTTTCCCTTCTTCCCCCCTCCCCCCCCATATTTTTAGTAAACAGTTAATGAGATTTTCTGTGGCTGCCAATGCTGTGGCACGGACAGAGCTGTAACATCCCCATCTGAACTGGCAGTTATCTGCACTTGATAGCAAAAACAGAGAAAGAGGGGGAAAAGCATCAAGGCTTTGAATTCTGAAGTATTAGGTAAGAGTTTCATTTTGACAAATACCCTTCTTGTTTGCTTCAGCTGTTGAGTATCTCGCACTTCTCTGGTTTACCAGACATGATCTCAGCAAAGGCCTTGAGTGGGATCAGCAAGTCCTCTCATCCAGACAAACCCAGTTTCTCTGTAACTTTTGCTGAGTGTTATAGCCATGATTTATGTAATGGTACTGAGTTGGATTTTGATGATTTGGACAGCTTGAAGAAGGCCTTTATTTCTTTACAGGTTTTACCTTCTTTGATAACAGTATTTTTCTGCGGGCTAAAGGGAGAGCATGCCTGTTGCCGTTAGAGGTCTTCCACCACTTCCTGACCTTGCAGGTGCTCAGGTGCCTGATGTTGTAAAGATCCCCAGAACCGTTTTGCCTGTGCTTAAACCCAGCTCTTGTTAACTGGTTTGTGGATTGTGAATCCCCCTTAAACACTAAGTTTACCATGTGGTTTGCTTAACAAAGGTTCAGCCACTTCACAGCTGAGCTGATGAACTCACAGGCTTCAGGGGGCAGGTTCATCTGCTTTAACAAGTCAAGTCCTTCCTGGCCAAGGGAGGGGGACTGTTTTGGCAATGGGCAATGTATTCCTTAAAACAGTGGTGGAACACTTGCCAAGCACAGACCAGCCAATGTCTGTTCTTAACTACTGCTCCAAATGAGATTATCATTTGGGCTAAGGTGAGTGTAAACAGGGATGTGACGTGACCAGTGTCCTGGGCACTTGCTTTAGGAAAAAAAGCCTCAGTTCTGCTAATAATTCATTGCAAACATATCTTGGGGGTTCTTTTTGTTTGATTGTAGGTTGTTTGGGTTTTTTTGTCTGCTTTTTTGTCTTTTTTTTTTTTTAAGAAGAATAGATCTATTAATATGAAACGCAGAAGTGATTTAAAAATAAAGTCTTGATCTGTTTTGAAGCTTTATCCCCTACAAACACCCAGTACAGAAGTTAACCGGGTGAGAAGGGAAGTGAAATAAGTAAGAAAAGAATCAGTCATACAGGTGATAGGTGATGCCAAACCTGTTCTTGCTGGCAAACTCTGTTCTGTCAGGTCCAGTTGATCTCTATAGGATGGTTTTGAAGGCTGAGCCTGCTCAGCTGAGGATCCAGACCATTTTCAGGCACTGTAAGACACATAAAAGCACACAATGAGAGCTTTCTCCATCTCTCCAGGGAAAGTCAGTGTGCAGCCAGCTGAAGCGCTACTGAAATGTACCTGATCCTCTTTCATTTCTCCCACTTATTCTGAAAATAAACATCAGAGAACATAGTTCAGATCTCTTTCTTTTCATTTATTCTTCAAAATAAACAATATTTTGAAGTCTGTGATTCATTTATGCTTGGATATGGCCTTTGCTGCAGTGTTTGCTGCAACGCGTGCCTGTACTTTGTTCCAACATCAGTGTTCATGAGCCAAAATAGAGCTCAATCACCCCACATGCAATGGACAGGCAATGACTGACATGGCCAAAGCCTTTGAAATTACCTGTAGAGGAGCTTGCATGGGGAAGTTTGCCTTTTGCAGAAGGATAAAACTTGCTAATGTCTGAGCACTGGGGACAGAAGATGACATTGGAGTATCACTTTGGGTAAGTAGCTGGAAAGTCAGACCCTGCTCTCTGTGTTGGTGCTGAGACAATGGAGAATCCTCAACAGCCCCTTGTGAGCCCAGAAATGCAACTTCCATTTCTGAATAACTGGTTTTATTTTTATGTGAAACAGTTTCTGGTGTTTTACTGTATCTCAATTCCTTGCCAGGGATCCGAGGGAAAGCAGGGTCCTCCAGGAATTAAAGGCTATGTGGGTGCACCGGTAAGTCATGGCTTCTGGTCTGTTTTTAATGCTCTGCAGACTTTCTCTTCTTTTTCAGTGTGTTCTTTCCAGCTGTGTTTTTCTTTAGTATTATTAAACAATACAATTGATGTCTGACCACTTACCTGTACTATGTCCAATAGAGACATTTTATTGTCTTCATTTTCTCCTGATTCTTTTTTTTTTAAATAACAGACCTGTAGACAGCAGAGAGATGTCAGTAGAAATGATTTGATTACTGAGATAACAGCCAGTGGTTTTGTGATGCTTCCACTGTGTTGATGCACCATTTATATGCTGCTTGAAAACGTCATCAAAATGCTAAAAAAAATCCCAAACCCTATCTCTCAGCAAGCTTCCAATCATATTTCAAAACTGACAGGGAATAGCCTTTAGGCTCAGAGACAAACCTGCCTCAAATGAACAGTCAGCAAGACCAAAATAAATCAAGTTCTATCAAGTTAACATCTCTGTGTTGTGGTCTCACCTTGGCAATTATGGAGGCAGCCTTTAAGGTGGTGCTGTAGAGGCTGATTGCATTTTCTGAGATTTAAGGACCTGACTGGGTCAGGGCAACCCAAGGTATGTATATGGGCTGGAGGACGCAGAGATTGAGAGCAGCCATGAGGAGAAGGACTTGGGGGTGTTGGTTGATGAGAAGCTCAACATGATCTGTCAGTGTGCACCTGCAGCCCAGAAACCAACCATTCCGGACTGTATCCCAGCAGTGTGAGCAGCAGATCGAGGGAGGGGATCTTGTCCCTTTACGGCACTCTTGTGAGACCACCACCTTCAGTCCTGATCCAGCTCTGGGGCAACAACATATGAAGGATACGGGCCTGTTAAAGCAGGTCTGGAGGAGGCCACACAGATGCTGAGAGGGCTGGAGCAGCTCTGCTCTGGAGCCAGGCTGATTGAGCTGGGCTGGTTCAGCCTGAGAAAGAGAAGGCTCCTTAAGGGGAGACCTTAGAGCAGCTCCCAGCGCCTGAAGGGACTACAAGAACGCTAGAAAATAACCTTTTACAAGGGCATGTGTTGACAGGACAAGGGATAATGGCTTTAAACTGACAGAGGGTAGATTTTAGATTAGATACTAAGGATAAATTCTTCACTATGATGGTGGCGAAATACTGGAACAGGTTGCCCAGAGAGGTGGCAGAAGCTTCATCCCTGGCAGCGTTCATAGGCCAAGTTGAACAGAGCTTGAAACAACCTGATCTAGTTGAAGATCTCCCTGCTTAATGCAGGGGATTGGAGTAGATGACCTGTAAAAGTCCCTTACAACCCAGACTATTCTGTGATACACATCAGTGCCTGTAGTGGCATACCAGATGGGCTCATGCACTGTACCAGCCAACGGCTTGCTTTACAATTCATTACAAAGGAGTCAAATGTATTTAAAAGAGCTTGAGCCCTTTTGTATTTTCCCATGTCTTTTTGCATGCTGTTTCCCTGTATGGTCTAAGGCTGAATTTGTATTAGGTTTGAACATGCTGAAATGAATATGGGGGTGGCATTATCTGCCAATGCAATAGGTCTCTTTCAGTATTAATGAGATACATAGACAGAGTTATGGTAACATTTCCTTCCTGCTCCTTGGGTCACCTGTTTGTGTGAGAAGCAAAGCATGCATGTGGTACACCATTACTTAAGGGTCCTATTCATTTCTACCATACGACTGACATTTGGCTTGAGCTGCTGGCAAGGAACAAGACAATCATCATCTACTCTGTCTACACACGGGCCCCATAGTTATTAATGTATTAAAGGATTCATATTTTTCAACCTCCTCCCTTTTACTCTTAGGAAATGGTGGGGTAATTTCTTTGCAGTGTGGGAAACTGCAGGCTCAGTTTGGGGTGTTAGAGATGGACAGGGCTGTACAAAGTTTGCTCACAGACAACCATGGCCTGAGAGCTGAATGTTTTATTTATGTAAATCATCCTAGGGGGCAAATAAACCTAGACATGTGGCTCTCATTACCTTGGAGATAAACCTCTTCTATAGCATAAAATAAATGTAAGATTAAATACAAATGTATTATTACAATCAGAATGATTTTAAGATTTCGCAGTTTTAGAGAGGCCACTACTGACTGAGCATATTTGTCTGCCTGTAGCTATTAGTTTGTCATTCAGTTGCTACAATAAAGGTAAAATTAAGGGTGTTTGCTGTGCCAAGGGAAGGTGAAATGTGTTCCTGCCCACTGAGTCCCTTGCCTGTGCTAGTATCGCTATCTTTTATCAAACTAAGCCCCATGTATCAAACTAAGGCCCTGATGTACCTGGGAGGAGATGACTTTTGCAGTCCAGATGAACACTGGTATTGGATTCACAGTGCAAACATGTGCTTGGGCCTCCAGGACAGGGATTATCTAGCATTTGCCAGGTTCCTGCTGCATCAAAAACCACCCGGAATGGGCATTCTTGCTTGTTCAGACAACAGGTTTTCCCATTAGCATTGTCCTCTACCAAAGTCCTCGTTGTTTACGAGCAACATGAAAAATGCAGAGCACTGATTGTGTTCCAGACCATCTGCAGCTGTGGTGTGCTCCCTGTCCCTCCACACTGTGTTGGCAGGAGGGTCCTGTGTCTGCAGGCAATATAATATTACAGAACGTTCCTGGGCCCGCAGGTCATCCCTGCTCTAAGTCTGCTTAGACCATGCCTGGGGCCAACTTTGAGGACTGGCAGCCTGGGAAATGCTCCTGAGGTTCACTTCAATAGATTGTGCAGACATGAACAGCGATTTGGTGACTGATTAGAGGAGATAACTATGCCTCTACTTGGATTGACCTTTATAATCTCGTTTTCCTTTTATTTCTTAGGGTCTACAAGGAGAAAGAGGAGAAAAGGGAGCACGAGGAGACAAGGTATTCCTGATGCATGCTAGGAGAAACCAGGCTGCTTTGGGTCTTGGCCCATTTGGTGGGGTGAGCTGCCAGTCCTGCAGCTTTGGAGGGTGATGAATGATGAAGTTTACTCTCTGCACTGCACCTCTGGCTGCTGTATGAGAATGACTTCCCATGGGGGTGCAGGAGGGCTTTATGGATAGAGCACACATTTAGGGACTTCTTGTCAGTGTACAGCCAGGGATGGAGGAGAGAGACAAGGAGTGAAGGTATGCCACTGGGGGAATATAGTGTGGTGTCCACATTGTGTATACCACCTAAAAGTTGTGCATGACCACTGACTGCTTATGACCATGACTGCATCCAGCACATCCTCATATCACTGCAGATGCTCCAATTATCCTTCCCGTGTTTCTGTCTTTTACCATCACAATAAGCTTAGTAGCAGTAAGTACGAGGTAGTTCTCATGTTAAAGGCTTCATCCAGCTGGAGCTGCTTCCCAGTTTTCTGCTCTTTTCTGTCTGGGAATAGCTGTTTTACAGAATGCAGGGAGAGATTTGAGCCACATCCATGGTTCAAGAGACCTAGAGCCTGTTATACCTGGAATAAGCATTTAAAAGAAGAGCTGGGCAAGCACAAAGTCTTTATTGTTTCAGTTGGATCACTGTGTTCAGAGAGACCTCAGGTGCTGCAGACCTGCCAGGCAGTGCTTAATGCTCCCAGCAATGCCATCAAAAATGTGTTTTGCTGTACCTCTGTCCAGCAAGCAGCTGGAGGTGGGGGATGACCAAACTCTGTTGGACCCATCTTGCCTCTTTACTCATGCAGGCAAAACAGGCCTGTTTCTTGCCAACACTGAGTGTCTTCCAGTCCTGAGCAATGTCTTGTCTCGCTTATGTCTTAAGCTGGTTCTGAGTCAGGAATATCCCAGTGCTGGTCTGGTAGCTTTGCCTGTGTTCAAGCTGTCTTTATGTCTGGCTATATGTGTCTGTGCAGAAGAGTTATTAGCTTGTTAGCCTGGCCTTATTCCCATTTCTCACTATTTTGGAGAAGAAACCCAGAGATTTACACCAAACTTTTGCCTACTGGGAAAAATGATCAATAGACCCTTAGGGTGAGATACTGTGTTTTGCTTTAGCATGTGCCAAGATGTCAGTTCCCTGTGTCCATTTTGCCATTTAAGATGATGTAGCCATGATCATGCTTTGCATTCTCAGTCCTCTCTGCTGCAGCTAGAGCAAAAGGCTGGATCGCACTTTATCTTCCTCATGCTTTTGCCTTGGCCCTTTGCAGGCCTGGCTCAGTATGTTGTGTCTAGCCACTTCTTTTCTGGAGGTGAGGTTGTCTAATCTGCTGGAATATTTGGCTCCCGGAAGAAAATCCGTCTTTCTGACATCACTGTGATGGGAGAGGAAGCTTGAACTGTGTGTGGGCAAGCAGCTGACTAAGCTAGAGGAAAATTAAAGTGGGGAAGAAATGAATTAGGGTTTGTTTCATTAAGAGGATATGCACAATTAGAGCTCCCTTTATTTACTTTTTCCTGGAGCAGCCAGATCTCTGCTACAACAATTGTACTTTGATTTTTTCCCAGCTTTAATGATGGTCTCAGAGCACTCGCTGCCATTGCTTTAACTTCTACCAGCCAGTACTACTGTGAAATCAGTGGGTGTAAATTCGACAGGCCAAATATTTCCTTGTCTGCTCTTCAGTCTGTAACATGAATACTGACACCTACACAACCTGTGTTTCTTTGTGCTTGAGTAGAAGAGTGTTTATTATATCAGATGGGAGCACTGGCCCATGCACTGAGTATTAGTATATCAAATCTGCACCCTAGTATTTAAACCAGGTTAAATATCCTATAATACATCTTGCTGCTGCATTCTAATATATCCTGGGAACTCAGATATAAATATTGAGGCTTTATAGGTTCCCAAATCCAGTAGTATTAGTTACACCTGCACTTTAGGGGAGCCACTGCACAATATGAGTGATATCTCCTGTCCTTTTGCATACAACGGACTCCAGGACAGAGGTAAGCATGATGCACTTGGCTGCCAAGATAAACCATATATCTATGTGATACTTGGCGTGTTAATTTAGGCACGTACAGCAGTTCAGCATGACATGGGGCATTACTTTTGCTGCATAAACATCTGAATATCTTGTAAATCCTTGTTTTGTATTAGAAAACAGCTCAGGTAAGGGGGCAGCAGGGCTGCCACGTCCCTCTGTGCAGTGCGGTTGCTCTTCATCACTTTTTCCCAGGAACCTTTGGACTCTTGGGGAATCATTTTTCCGATAGATCACCACACTTTCTAACTGTTAGAGGTCAGAAAGCAGCACTAAAGTTGCTGTGGAATTGGGATTTTCACTGGTTGCTTATTGATTAAAACCAGAAAAAATCTGTAGAGCACAGGAAAATGAAATGAGGTCTTAAAATGAAAATTCAAGAATAAAACTTTTATTGTGTTTGATTTTTTTAACAAATCAACAAAAAAAGAAAACCCAACCCTCTAAACTCCACCCCCCCAAGCTTTCTCTAAATAGCTTGCTTTTTTTTTTTTTAAAGAATGGAAAAAATAATAAAAAATGTTTATAAGGACAGCTTTTTCTGAAGAAAAAAAATGAAATCAGAGTCATTTGTAGTGTTTTCAAACAGCTTTATTGTATACATTTGTATAAATAACATATTTGCCTTTCCTTGCCCCCATTACTAGCACTAAGAACATTGACACTCTTGTGTTTTGGCAGCTAAAACAGCATGTGTGAAATACTCCTTTCTGCAGTGTGTTGATGTTAAAATTCCTCCTGGGAATGAATGCACTTCACATTTTGTCAGCAGTCTACCAGACTGTTGCTTACTGAAAGTCAGGATACTTGTGGTTCAGTCAGTGCAAACGAAACCATTAATGTGGAAACTATCACTCCAAAAGCAAGTAGATCCGGATGTCTGACACTGGTTTTCAGCTGCTTTCTGTAGCGTATGGGTCCCACTAATATAATTCTTTAAAATAACGTTTATGTTACGATGCTGATTGACTTTCTAAAGGGGAAAAAGAAAGACATTGATTTGCAAAACCATTTCTAATTTGTTGATCAATGTAGTTTTCAAAAGGAGCTAATTAAATCCAAAGCTGTAAGTGTGGGTTTGCAGATAGTAACAGAAGTCTAACAGGGATCCTGTGGGATACTGATCAGAATTAAGATGACTGAAACATTTCAAAAAGTAAAGCTGATACTTTGCTGTCACTGCTCATATTCATACCATTTGTTTTACATCCACATTTATGTTAACAGTGGCACTGTATGTATTTGATAATTTATATTCAACTGCGTGTGCAGGATACAAGCAAAATCAGTGTTTCATCCTGCAGAGGGGTAAGCCTTTTACAGAGTAAGAGAAAGTCCCCATTTCAAAGGGTTTTAACCTGAAGTGGCTGGAATAGACAGAGGCCACAATTAGTAAGAGGGAAGTGAAATTCAGCAGGAGTATGTTATTGATCTGGTCATTGCCTCTGTTAAGGCCCTGGACTCTAAAATACGGAATATATTAAGCTTGAATGTGGAACATCAGGATGCTTCATACTTGTGGGAGAACTGCGCACTGCTGCAGATTGGGAACAACTTATTAAGGAGCTGTCCTGAGGAAGTGGGTTTGGAGTAAACATTATCCTGGGATTTAAGTAGAAGAATACTCTATAAAACATGAAATAATCTTTCTGCTCAAAGTCAGCCTCAGATGTGTCCAGTTCCAGGCACCTAGCTACAGTGAGAAGGTGTGGAAAAGGTGGGCAGTGCACAAATGGAAGCAATAAATGTGATCAGAGGACTGAAAAATGTGCCCATGAAGAAAAGGTGAAAGCACTGAGGTTGTTTAGACTGGAAAGGTTCAAAGGGAGAGTTTTGTAAGACTTCAAATACATAAAGGCCTTTGTAAAGATGAAGGGTACAGTTTGTTCTCGGTGGGAGGTCAGGGAATGACATACTAGCCTGAAACTGTAACAGGCAAAAGTCAGGTTTAGTTATATGGGGAAAAAACATATCTTCAGCTATTGAAAATAACGTGGTGGAATAAATTTCCTGTGCACTTTGTGGGCTGTCCAGCTCTGGAGGTGTATCGGAACAGACTAGTTGTTCCCCAGGGTTACAGAAAGCAAAGGTGAAAAATGACAGGTTTTTCTTACCTGGGTAAAAATGAGCTATTGCTGGGTTGTGGATTCAGTATTTTTGTAAGAGTTGGTGTTCTCCTGGTGCCCTTTGTCCAGTTCACATGAATCAACCTCAGCACACAAGGGAAGGATGGTGACACGGAAAGCTATAACACGCAACACCTGGTTGCCACAAATCTTTGTAGTAGAGATATGGGGACTTTAGTCATATTCTCTATTGAGCTGGCTTGAATTTCTCTCCTTATTCCTTACTCCTGGAGTGGATAATGCAGATGTCTCTTGCAGAATGGTGACTTTCACAGCACTGATCTGAGTCATAGAGGTTCTTTGTCTTCTTTTCCCAGGGAGAGCGAGGCCTAGATGGGCTCCCTGGAAAGCCAGGTCTGGAGGGAAAACAGGTATGTGGCAAATGCTCAACAATTGGAGGCTTTTCTTTGGAATAAGTGGAAGTTGATGCTAAAACTGGGGTTTATCCTGGGTGGCTGCTGAGCTACGGCAGGACCCTGTACTCTTTATTCTATGGATCTTTGTTAGCACAGGTTTTTTGTTTGCTTTTAAATTGTAATGCAATATACACTTCAAGGAAATGCTAGTCCTTCAGATGTGATAGTTTAGATGTTTGTCTGAATTTTCATTAAAAACATAAGGAAGAATGTATAAAGTTCAGTTGTTTAAGCCTGATTTTTATAAACTTCTGTCCCACAACATGAAAGGGAGACAACTGGATTTAATCTATTTGGTTTGTTTTCAATAAGAAAGGCTTGAAAGTATTTACATTTTTAAGACGATTTGAAACCAGGAAATGGTTTAAAAGATCAATACATTTCTGCTGATTAAGCAGATAATGCTTTGTCTAAAACTATCTGCAGATCCTGCAAGACTCTTTTCATTACTCAGGTTACGATACTTAATGAGAGGCATCCTTTACTTCCAAGAATCTTCTGGTCCAAATAGCAAAGGACAGAGTAAGAAGCAGAGGCTAAAAAGTGATTTGCCATAAGCCATGCAGTTAATCATTGATGCTTTTGAGCCTGAAGCCTTCAGGTTTCTGGTTCTGCACCCTATTCATGCTGCCTACGCTGTTTCTCTCTCTGGAAAGGATCATTTGGAGGCACATTTTTGCAGTTGAAGAGGTGGAGGAACTGCATGTTGAATCCTCAGTATAGGATTTGTTTGTATAGTTTGTCTTCAGGTGGTTTATCCTGCAAAGCAGCTGCTGAGGTCTGATCTGAATGTGCTTTACAACCATGTGATGCCTGAGTCTTTTGTTCTTTTAGCAGACAGTTTCAACATGATTCTGTTGAGGAATACTTTTATTTCCATATCAGATACCTCTTTAGTATTTAGGTGGCAAGGTATAGTGTCATTAGCAGTCTTAATCTTTGTTAAATCTTCATCTTCCTCTCTGTGATAGACATTTTTGTACTAAATTTCTGCTTCTCCACAGGGGATTTGACAGCTAATCATTGCTTTCTCTCTGCTTTGTTCCTCAGTCACAGTTTATTCTATATGGGAACATATTTGCCTAGTTAGTGTTTATCACTGTCTTTATAACATGGAAATGTTTTCTGGTGCTGGATGCACTGGAATCACAATGAATTATGTTCACTATATCCATCACGTTTTTAGTGCTGGTTTCTACTTGCACTAAATGTAGATGAAGTGAGAAATTGCAGAGGGATGTGAAGGTGGATGCTGATAGCTTATTACTTCTAAGGAGCAATTTTTCCATGTGGCACCGTACTGCAGAAATTGGGTTCTTCTGAAGGTTTTTTTGCTTTTTTCGCTTTTTTCATGTCTAGACACCTAACAGTTAGAAAATCTTCATGTCTAAATTTTATTGAATATGTTGTGTTTGACGCTGATGTGCTCCCTGAACTGCAATCCTCCTGAGCTGGCTGAAATTGGATTGCTGGGGCATCTCTGGCCTTATTCCTCTTCCTCTCTATGCAGCAATGCCAAAGCAGACTTCTGTGTTGTATTAGCTCCTCCCCTAGTGCAATGGGACATAACTTTGCTGCTGACAGCCAAACATGCAGCCTTGTGTTTCTCCTGTATTTTAAGGGAATGGCAACTGATAACCTGCATTATGTAAAGCAAATATTATTCTATCAATTTTACCTGTTTTAGGGCCCTACTGGAAGCCCCGGCCCTCCAGGTGCCAGTGGAACCAAAGGAGAAAAGGTGAGTTGGAATGGAATGCAGAAGAGGGTTTTGGACACGCTTTTGTTAATTGCTCCTTGCCCCCTGTGCCAGAAATCATAGAATCATGGAATCACAGAATAGTTTCGGTTGGAAAGGACCTTAAGATCATCCAATTCCAACCCCCCTGCCATGGGCAGGGACACCTCACACTAAACCATCTCACCCAAGGCTTCGTCCAGCCTGGCCTTGTACACTGCCAGGGATGGAGCATTCACAACTTCCCTGGGCAACCCATTCCAGTGCCTCAACACCCTAACAGTAAAGAGTTTCTTCCTTATATCCAATCTAAGATTCCGCTGTTTCAGTTTGAGCCCGTTACCCCTTGTCCTGTCACTACAGTCCCTAACGAAGGGCCCCTCTCCAGCATCCTTGTAGGCCCTCCAGTTACTGGAAGGCTGCTCTGAAGTCTCCACGCAGCCTTCTCTTCTCCAGGCTGAACAGCCCCAACTTTCTCAGCCTATCTTCATACAGGAGGTGCTCCAGTTCCCTGATCATCCTTGTGCCCTCCTCTGGACTTGTTCCAACAGTTCCATGTCCTTTTTATGTTGAGGACACCAGAACTGCACACAATGCTCCAAGTGAGGTCTCACAAGAGCAGAGTAGAGGGGCAGAATCACTTCAAACATCAGGGATGTTGGCCTATATTTGTCTCATTTGTGCATAAGTGAAGCTTATATTCATTTATATATGAAGTCTTATATTCATTTAAAAGTTAACATCACATTTCTGATGTTGCTTCAATGTGAAATTGGTATAAGTGAATGTCAAATTGTGCCTGGTCATAGTTCCTTTGCTCTAGCTTTCATAGTAGAAGTAGAAAGAAGTAGAGAGTAGTTTGGCTCAGGAAATCTTCCTCACCTAAGAAAAGCGAGTGGAAAAGATAACAAGTTTGTGTGTAGATGCCATTTTTTTGACCCAGGAAGTGTAGAATTGACTCAGAAAGAGCAAATTAAATGAGCCCAGCTCTCTTACCTGCAAATTATTGTTCACAGCTCTCAGCAGCAATTCTGACCTCATTATTTTATGGTGTTAGAGTCTCCAGGACAGCCTCATGTTTCCCTCTCTGCTAGAGGTGACAGTGTGGTTTTGGTGTTTCCTACCTATTTCTTTGGCATGAATGGAAAGGCATTACTGCTTCATGGCATCATATGTTTATATAATCACTGGATTTGAAAGAGACCTTAAAGTTCAGCTAGTTATGACCCCCCCTGAAATGGGGACATCTTCCAGTAGACCAGGTTGCTCAAAGCTCCGTCCAGTCTTGAATTTGTAACACTTCATTCTTATCTCTAAAGTGGCTGCATTTGGCACTTTCAGAAGATGTTGAGCTCCTTGCTCCATTACTTTCAGTGCAGCTGATGTGGGTCTTCACAGTCTGATGTGTATCTTCTGGCACAGCATGGACCCTCTTTAGAATAAATAACAACTAGTAATTAAACTTGCTTTAAAAGGAAAGAGCATGAAAGATATGCTAGGTCATTCAGAGACCTACATGAGTAATGAATAAATAGAGCATGAAAGGAAGCTCTATGATGACTTTTGCATTAGTTTGTACCTAATGTAAAGAATATACCTTCTGGATGCTTAGTGTTACAGCATTATAAATGATGGACTCTGCTGGAATAAAATGGGCTGGAACAAATTGATAGCCTGCATTGCAATAAATCATGTAAAGAGGGTGCAGCAGCTCAGTATCCTGCAAACACTAGTGTGATTCTGCTCTATAAAACGACTTGGGGGAAAATGGTGCTATTTTCACCTGATTTTTCTTTTTGCAAAGATATTTTGGTCGTTAACAAACAAAAGCATTTTGGTCCCTAAATATCGATCCTGCAATCTGTCAGGGATGTGAACATCAATGAGGTTTATTTGTGTGGTATGTACAGACCTATTATAAGACTTTTGAAGCTTGAATTTAATGTTATGGTGCATCCAGTGCATCAGTCATGTTAAGTCACTAAAATCAATATATAACATCACAATAATAGAACACAAGAAGTTCCTGCATGTATTTATCTGCAGGGCAGAGAAAACATAGTTAATTGGGATTGCATGTTCATGTCTATTAATTACAGGATGATACTGGAAATAAAAATGTATAACAGCAGTTGGAAAATACACTCAGAGGTTTGCTTTCTTTTGTGTTATGTTATGTATTGTGCTATGTTGTGTGCTGTGTTATGTTTTCTCCTTTCTTTCATGTTTCCCTGCAGGGTGAACCAGGACCTCCAGGATTGCCTGGCTCTTTAGTAAGAATTTATTTCTTGTTTTTTAGCTTTCTCAAACATTGTAGGCATTATTGCATGAGAAGAGAAGGTGGAAGCTGTGGGGGGTGAGGATTTATTAAATGAAAGATATTATTTAATGGGGTTTTTCTTCCAAAAATCATGAAGTTTAAGACAGTGAAGATCTTTGAAGAAGGCAAGTGGTGGGTTCCAACAATGAGAGGCAATGCCACAGCTTTGGGATATTTTGAAACGTGAAGATCGGGACTTGAAGAGGCAATGAAAGCGTTGCCTGAGGTGCATCAGGGAAAGCAATATGTGTGACAGGACTGCGTGGTTTCCAGGACAGTTGTTGAGTTGATGCCTAGTGGACTTTGGAAAATAGAGCCTGTGAAAAAGCAAATGAAAGTGCAGAGTTAAGTTGAATTACGGAGTGCATTTGTCATGGGTTGGACATGAGAATTGGGATTGGAGAAGAAAAAGGTCATTTCTGATGGGGGGGATTTATCTTCCCTTGGCTTATATCTTAAAAAGTCCTGCTGGAATATAAGGCAATTAGGACCTGATGTGCTGAAAGGAGCAAAGGTAAGGATAAAAAGGAAAGCAGAGTAAGTAAAAGAGGGGAATTGATTTACATGACTTTGTACATCCCTCTGCCTTCAGTAATTCCTTCCGTAATGCCAGAGGCATCACTAGCAGAGATGAAAGGATGTCCAGAGGTTAGTATTTCCTGTATTAAGAGGTCATCTCCAAGTGAATGGAGAAAGAAGATTTTCCACAAAGTATGAAGAGGAAAGGTTTATAACTGAGTTCTACAGAGGCTGGTAACCAACCAGTTTGGAAATATCCATTTTACTTTCCAAAAATATTAGGATTAAAATTAGGAGAAAGCATCCTTGGACTACTGGTAGAAAGCATTAAAGCGATGATGATAGCAGCAGCATTAACTGTAGCACTGTGCCAAAGAAAGACTGGGTGCTAAAGACAAGAATGAGAAGCTCCCTGGTAATCATGAGAAAGGCAGCAGGTAGTTTCCTTGTCCAGAATGTGGTGGTAGAAAGCAAAGGAGAGAGAAAGAGAGAGCTCTGAAAAAAAACAAAACTCTGAGTAAAAGCCTTTTACCGCTCAGCTTAAATATGAGATTGGTGATGTGAGATTAGTTCCCAAGAGGCTGTGAAAGATATGTATAAAACTTGAAAATGAGTTTGAAGTTCCAGAGGGTGAGTGGAGGACAGCCTGAGCATGCACCATATCCAAAGTCAGCCTGGTATTTACATGATGCCTTCAGCATTCAATGGTTCTTCATGATTTAAAATAAGAATTTACTAACTTATATTGGTGAGATCTTCAGTTCTTACTGCTTAGGCAGCCACACAAATCACTGCATAGTAACCGAGTGAGCAAACCTTGTGTCGGTCCAAGCTGTTTAAATAGAAAGCTGCCTGAAGAAGGATTTGAGGAGCAGTAGCAGTTAGTGTGCATCTCAGGGGAATGGTGTGGGGATAAAAATACACTATGGGGAGCCATCATACCCCCTGGCACCTTCTGTGTTGTCTTTCCTCTTCTTATCCTTTATGACTTTGCATTTCTATTACAGGTACATATTGAAGGCCTAAAAGGAGAGCAAGTAAGAGAGATTCAATATTTATTATTCCATTGCGAGGATACTTGTATATAGTTCCCTTGCCTGTTAGATTAGATTTTGCTTTATAATAGTACTTCTCAGTTAAGATAGATAAGAAGCATTTTCAGGACATCAGGAAAGAAGTTTTCCTATTTACAGTGGAGAAAATAAACAGCAAATGTCATTTTCAAATGTGTTGAATCTAACATGAATGAGAAGCACAAATTTGGGGGACAGCTACACAATTTTTGAAGTCTAGGGAAGTGTTAATATGAAAGTCAAACTGTATTTGAGTTCTATGTGAGTTTGCCTCTGAACCTGGGCACTCAAATAGGGGCAAGACACCTGCTGCTTCAATCTGTTACTCCTACATATAAGCAAAATATATTTACACTTTGATTTTGTGTCAATAGGTGCATAATTTCTTATTTAATATAATGACATACATCATATAAATGATACCTTAAAGCCCTTCACAGCTGTGCTGGCTCAGGAGAAATGCCTGTGGATGCTGGTTTTGCAAGAATTTCTTTTCTTCAGCACCAAACCCCAACCCACAGTGTTTTATTGGAATATCCAGGATAATCCCAAGCCTTCAGCTGAGTTACTACCTTTGAAAAATAAAAAGCCAGTTATGGATAAATGCCTGCTGAGTGTGGGTGGTTCAGTCTGTGCAGTCTAATAAGTGCTGATACTTGAAGTAGCTGAAGGAGTAAGGAGAAAACCAGCTGGGCTCTGCACTGGTTCTTAGGACCTATGAGGAAAGGGGTGGTATAGGTCTTGCACGATGGCCAACATGACTAATGCGCCCATATAATTTTTCACACAGATATATTAATGCTATTTAAAAAAAAAAAACCTTTTCTGTAGGGAATGCCTGGGCCACGAGGACCACAAGGCCAACCTGGACTTCCTGGACCTCCAGTAAGTAGTTTCTCTCATCATTTGCAATTCCCAGAAACTGGAATTCAGTCTGGCATTGAGGCATACTTGAAAATCTTATACATTATTCAGGCACTAAGATCTAAACAGTGTCCTAGCCTCCTCTTCACTATTTTGGGAAGGTCTCCTGCTGTGGATGGCCACCCCGAACATATGGAGGCGGCACCCAGAACATCATTCTATGATTCTATGACATGAGAAGACTTTGCCTCAAGGCTGCTGTTATGCAGACTCTGATTGCTTTTCTAATATCCTGAAGAGTTGTGTGGGCATTCAGCACACCTCAGAGAAGCACTAACTGCTAAGTTGTAAGCTATCCTATGATGAAGGTCAGAGAATGGTTGCTCTTAAAAGAGGTTGGCTTTATGCCACAAGGTCCTGGCTAAAATATTTTGTGGATGAAACAAGAATTGGGTATGTGTGTTTATGCTTCACCGTACATTTTGCAACAATTTAGACATGCCAACATTCTTACTTTTGACTTAATTGTAGTGCATTCTAGTTATACTCTATAACCCAGCTCTGCAGGATATATCAGTTCAGACAGCCACTGCTGCTCCATTTGCAAATACTCCATATTTCCTCATCTATGAAAGGTTTGCTGTGTTTTGCTATTGATTGGGTTTGTAAAATTGATGGCATTGTGAAGAGGTATTACTTAGGCAAAACTAGGTTTAATTCTGTAATTTACCTGGTTTTAATTGTGTAATTTAAATACAGTTGTGTGCTCTGTGTTTAATCAGGGCATTGTCACTTTTCTCTATCCTATTTTCTTATTCTCTTCTGCTCACAGGACACCATAATTATCAGGTAAGAGTTGTCTAGGTAGCCATGCAGTAACAGTAGCACAAACCAGCTGGGAAATGGTTATCTAGTTCATTAGTTTTTCTTAACTCAGTTAACTTCCCAAAACTTTTCACTTTCAAAGGGAGAGCCTGGTCTGGAAGGCAAGCCTGGAATCCCTGGTGTACCAGGTCCAAGGGTGAGTTGCTCTTTTTATTTATTATAAGTCTCAAAAGGCAGGGAATAGCTTTGTTCAATGAGTTTTGGTAACTTCACCCACTTTACATACACTTTTCTATTCATTTAAATATCCTGCAGGCCCAGATCCTTTCTTGTGTTTCTTTTTTTATGGATCAGCAACTATTGGTATCTCTTGGAGTCCACATATTGTGTACAGTGCTCTGTGGGACCCTACGGAAGTTTATTTCTTGTCATTTGCTCTCCTGTCTATATATCTGCTCCTTTCTGCCAAGAGGATTTTCAGTATGACTCTGAGTATGTAGAGCCACTTGTAATCTGAACAGGTAGAAAGTTCAGAGAGCTACTGTTGTCCTGGAAGTTGGATAAATGCAAAGAAACTTGTCCTGTTTGGCCTGTACTCAAACAGAATCCACATATGGGGTGGCATTCTCCACCAGGACCTTAGGCAGATTCCTCTTGTTAAAAAATATTGGCTTTTCTCTGACTCAGAGTGATGTCTTAAAATATTCAAGTACCGATAAAAAGTAAATTTCATAGCAGGCCTGATACCATTACATGCATGCTCTGAACCTGCCTTTCCTTACTTCAGCCCATTTGTATGAAGAACATCTCACTGGATAAAGGATAAGAATAGAAGAGAGATACTTGTTTAACCTTTGTGGAAGCAGTCACTTCAGTCTCAGTACTGCTGTTTGATGGGTTACTTTTTAATTAGTCACAGAGACATGATCATAGCTTTGATCCATAGAGGAGATCATGGGGGTTACCTGTACTGTTTTGCACGTTAGTCAGCACCGGTCCTGCTAAAAGACTGGGTATGAGAGGGCTGCTTGTGAGCATGGGAAGGCTATGGGCAAAGGATAGTATAAGGAAGAAATATATGCATTGGTAGGTGGTTATCATCTACAGTCTTTCAGATTGCACAGTATTAAATGGAGCTGTAAGCTTGGCTTTTAGGAATCTTCTCCTTGGGAAAATGGGGCATGCAGTCTCATGTTAATGCCACAGTAGATAAAGGCATTTACTTGCTTTCTTGTGCTTTTCCAGTCTTTAGAAAATATCACCTTACCAAATAAGTGTGCTGTGCTTTCCTTTTGAGTTGATAAGTTCTGAGTTGCCCTGGTTTTAAAGTCTGCTGTGAAACATAGTTTCTTGAATAAGATTAATAGACCATATTAGCTGGGTAAAGGACAGTGATCCGTCAGGATCTGCAAGAGGACACAAAGTGCTCCTGCTAATGATCATTTGATTAGAGATGTCATTTGATCCATACTGTCTTTGAATGTTTCCCTAGACTCTGTTGTGTCTAGCTAGTTAGACTTCTTCTCCTAAGGGTCTCTATTAGTCACTAGGCATCTTAGGTGGAGAGATACATTTTTTTAACTAAAGGCCATTATTCATTGAGTGAATGAGTAAGATGAATAAAAGTCTTGGACTTGGTGGATCTGCATGGATAATCTGTGTGTGACAGAGAGATTAGTAGATACTACTGATTCACCATTAGTGCTGTTCTTGACAAAACACAAATATAAATCCAGGTGTTGATTACCATCTTACATAAATTTGGCTGAAGACAGAGCCAAAAAAGCAGTCTCTACACAGGCTTAGAAGTTAAAACACCAAGATCAGGAATCTTCTCTCTTTGGGTCTAGTTTTAAATGACTGGATGTGATGTAAGGGCAGACTCTGAAGGCTCAGCTGAGAGCTGTAGAGAATTCTCTTGCACACACTCAAGCAAGAAGGCTCTCTAGCAGCATAGCCTGATGTTGAAGACATAGACAGAGTCACAATGCCTCAGTTTGAGTTGTGTCTTCAGTCCTAGCTTGTTGCAAGACTTGGCTCGTTGACTGGACATTAGCAAAAAGGCCTTCCCAAAAGTGTTGTCAAGGACTGGAACAGGCTGCCCAGGGAAGTGGTTGAGCTGCCATCCCTGGAGGTATTTAAAAGACAGATGGATGTCATGCTTAGGGACATGGTATAGTAGTGAATTTGGTAGTGGTAGTGTTAGTGTTAACAGTTGGACTTGATCATCTTAAGGGTCCTTTCCAACCTAAATAATTCTAAACCATTGTATGATTCTATTCTAAGACTCTCCCATCTCTTCACCTCTGCACCCTTTGTCAGTAGGGGTAGAAGTGTAAGACTGTAGAAGTATGTAGGCAAACCAAACAGCCAGAGGAGCAGTGTGAGCATGGGTTTGTTTAACATCGAGCATGTTCCCCAGCATACATTTGGGTCATCCCAAATAGCAGTATCCCACAAATGGTCCTCATTACAAGTTGATTGTATCTGGATGACAAAGACCATCCTTGTTTGTGAGAAGTTTAGCTGCATGAGCACAAGCTCCTGTGCTCTTGCGCATGGAGCCCTGTCCCACTGTATTTAATATAGGTGGTATCTCACTATGGTAAGGACAGAAAAATCTAACACAGCTATAGATAGATTCGGGACCCTTCTTTAGCTGTGTAGAACTGATGAAAATCACTAACCATCTGCTTGCCTGGTCACCCTGCTGTTTTGTACAGGCAGGTTTTCAAGATATGAAGCTGTAATTTATATCTTGTGAAGATTTGGTTCTTGAGGTACTTTATAAATATCCTGACTAATATCTTGTAGCGTAAAGCACAGGTTACAGTGCAAAATTGACTTCAGGACCATTTCAAGTAGCATGCTGTTACTGGCTTACAGTATGATTCAACCTCAGTTTTGCATTATGGTCCAAGCTATAAATGAAGTCCGCACATGCACAAGGTTCCTGTCCTACACAGGGATGCAGATTATGACCATTTGTTGGGAGTTCTTAAAAGCCTGCAATGCTTTAGTCCTCTGTAATGTAGCTGGCACAGACTACTGATGGACTAAAGACGTGTTTGGAACCATTTCATATGAGAATTCATGTCTCATAACACAGACTACTGGAAATGAAGGAGCCTGACCTCTGCAAGGACAGTTGGGTGGTGTTAGAAATATAATGCAGGAACCACCTACACCAGTGTGTAGATTTCATTGAAGATGAGATGTTGTGCCAAATACCTCAGTGACAGTTTGGCTGACAGGAGAAGGGTCACACAGCTTGGAAAGATCTAGGAAAAGAGGAAGTTCTTTTGGCCTGAAGTTGGTGTTCCTGTTATTGCTGAAGAAATAAAAGAATACATGGGATAGTAGAGTCATGAATAAGCGAGGCATTATATTTAGAGGGTTACCATTTGTATTACAGTAAAGAAAGTGACAGGTTAATTTCATGAAAGCTTCATCTTGCATTTAAATACATTTGTTGTACTTGAATAAACTTTTGTTCCATCACCCTCGCTTAGACAGCACATTTCTTGGGGCAGTTGCAGAGTCTTCTGCTGATGTGTGGTACAAGTGTGGCTGAATAACCAATAACCAAGTGGTATCAAGAAGATCTGTCATTGGGGCTTCTGATGGCCTAAGATTTCTCCTGGCCTTGGCAGCACAGATTGCTTAAGACCATGTTGCAGTTTCTTTAAGAATGCTTAAGACTAAGTGCCAGTACTGGCTCAGTTTATTTTTTCTTCTCTTCCTGTCCTTTTTCTTCTGTGAAATTGAAGAGAATTGAAGTACTTTGATTCCGCTTTTCAGTTTTTGACACCTGATCTACTGAAATATTAGTTGGAAATACTCCCAACTTGCTTGATAGACACAAAAGGTGTAGAAGTATGACATGGAAAGCTTTCAGATCTTTGGGTAATCCAGCCTAAACATAGGGTTCTTCTGAAGTGAGCTCAATAACTTGGATTTCAAGAATTTGTCTCTTACTGAAATGATACAAGTTCATTTGAGTGAGGGAATTTTCAGAAGGAAACAGAGAATATTTCTTCTATATCAGCACTTCCCGCATAGGCATCAGGTAGCAGCTACCCAGACCAGTTTGAGTTTGATGTGCTGCTGTATTGCAACCTAGTTTGCTAAATTTGCATTGTCAGCATTTTCCCATGCTCAAAGAACAATCAGTGCAAAACAAGTAAAAACCCAAAATACAGGATCTCATGGCCTAGCAAGTCTTATGGGGAAAAAATAAGGGGAATCATCTTTTAAAAGTAGTAACCTTTAATGAATATTCTCCATGAGTAAGACACCAGTGTACATGAGTCAGCCAGATAAGTAATTCAAGTAATTCCCCCTATTCAAGTCACTTCATGCACAAAATAATTTATGCAAAGCACAGCATGAGAGTTGGGTGTAGAAACAGAGATAACTTAGAACAATTTTACTACAAGATCCTTTTTTGTGAGCTAGTTGTAAAATACAGTGTCAAGGTCTGTCAGGTTGAAGGCAAGAGGAAGGAGCACAGCTCCAGGAATGAGTTCCAAAGAGGTGTCTTCTGCATCTTTAATTCAGCTGTCATGTTGTAGCAGGTTTTCATGTTCATCTGTCCACATCCTCTGAATGATTATTCCCATAGTCAGAGTAACACAAAAAGCTTAACAGACCTTTCATGACTTTACAACTGGATTACAAGGCTATGAGGCTCAGTAAGTGCTGCCTATTTGTTTCACAATAGAGCCTAAAGGATCCTGTTAAAACCGGGGCAGACTAGGTTTGGGGCATACTCTCCACCCTGGAGAGATGTTAAAGAGCACTTGCCTATGCATTAAAGGTTTATGTCTGTAAGGTGTCACAGGGGAGATAAATTTACATTTCTGGAGGGCTTCTGAGCTCTTCTTTGTGTGATGCTGGGACAGAAATGACACAATCATTAGGCTTGGAAGGGCCCTCTGGAGGTTGTCACCAACCCCCTGTCAAAGCAGGGCACCCAGAGCAGGTTTCACAGGAACATGTCCATGGTGGGGTTTGAATGTCTCCAGAGAGCGAGACTCCACAGCACCCCTGGGCAGCCTGTTCCAGTGCTCTGCAACCCTCAGTGTAACGAAGTTCTTCCTCACGTTGAGGTGAAACTTGTTGTGTTTTAGTTTATGGCCATCATTCCTCGTCCCGTTGCTGGGCACCACTGAAAAGAGCCTGGCGCCATCCTCCTGGCACCCGCCTTTGAGATACTGATCTGCATTGATGAGATCCCCTTTCAGTCTGCTCTTCTCTAAGCTCAACAGGCGCAGCTCCCACAGTCTCTCCTCATAAGAGAGATGCTCCAGGGATTGATAGTGCAGGTTATATCCAGAGTGAAACTGTAATTGGTGAAGTAAATACATCCATTTCCTATAAAACACACACTTTTAACTGTGCTATTGTTCAAATTGATGATGAAGGCAAATAACGTACATTTCATATAGTCAAAGAATACACATTTAGCACATTCTTACTGTAAGTTAACAGCATAATTGCTGGTTTTCTCTGTCATTATTAGGCGTTGTGACATTTTGCTGGGCTTTGCTCTCATTGGTATAATTTGTCCCAGCAAGGATTTCTGCACTTTATAGGCAGTCTATAATGTTATGGAGCAAACCTGTTGTAGTCTGATTTTGGCTAATCTGTGACTGGCCAAAGTGCCCCTTTCACGATGAGAAATTACACTCTCAGCTTCTCTGTCAATACAATTGCATGTTGCTTTAGGGGATTTCTCAGTGTTTTATAAAGCACCAAAGTTTCTCAGAATTATACCTTAGGATAGGATGGGCTCCTCTCACATCGCTTATTGCTGCTGCAGATTAGTGTGCTCAGCCATCAATATGGAAACAGCACAATTGGTGTACACTTGTCACAGAAGGCAAAGTATGCCCTTTCGCTGCCTCCTCAGCTCTTGAGATGAGTTTGGAGAGAAGGTGGTGTTGCTACAACCTGCCTCAGGTTCCCTAAGTAATATTTTACAGGTAGGACCAAGTTTCCCAAAAGCAGTAGTTCAGTAAACTGCAACCAGATAATGCCCTTAACCTGTAAAGCTGCTAAAGCCACCCCCTTGTTTGGACCTTGTGAACCTCCAAAATAAGGTCCGCATGTATTGCTCGAATCTCTTCACTTACAAGGCTCATTCCCATTTTGTTGGCATGAACACTAGTGTAAAGCTAATTCCATTTCTCTCTTTCAAAGGGTTATCAAAAGTGTTTAAATTGAGTTCCTGCCTCTGATGCAGTCTCTGAATTAGAGTATAAGGAGATGCATAAACGTTGCAAAGGGAGGTACAAGGTGGGCTCTAAGTATGCCCAGTGACAAGTGAGGTTAGTGGGATGTGAAGGCATGGGATGTGAAGGCATCAGTTACTCTGTGTTGCATGTTGGTGTCAGTGTTCTAGTTGTGGAACCAGCCACCTTTAATGTGTAACTCCCAGGTTGGTAGGAATCTGTACTCATCTCCCAGGTCTGGCCACACATACCACATCCTGCTCTATTCTTAAGCTTATTTATTTAAATGAGTATTTTAACCATGTCCTTTGCATGGTCACCTTGCAGTTGGCAAAATCAGCATCTACAGCCAGAAAACGTGTTGAATCATGTGGTGGTCTGAGTCCTTCAGGTTAAAGGTGGGCTCTTTTTGACTTTGACAAGCAAAGAAGTGATGGATGTTGAGAGTAGGAGCAGCACTCATGAATAGTGCATTTACTTGAGTATATAGTGCACATTCTGATTGGTATTAGTGTCCTGGAAATTACTACAAACTCCATGCACCTCATAATTGCTCTTAATTTTCTTCTTAAGTGCTGTATATGACAGGTGACTTTTTTTTGTTATGAATAATGAACAGTTCAGATTCTGACACACCAGCTAATGAATCTCAGTCAAAACTGGGGAAAATACGATGTTCTGTTTGTGATGTTTTCATTCAAGTCAGCAGGAAGCTGTCATTTATAGGCTTTGTTTCTGGACATATTTCAAGAAAGAAAAATAAAGGAAAAATTAGATATATATATGGCTCTCACTTATCTGTATGACCAATCACATCATCAGTGACATGAAACGTGCTTAATTGTAATATCCTTCTAAAAAGAAAACCAGTTTGGATGAGAAGTAGAAATAAGGGAGGAAAAAAAATTGCTTTTCTGTCTCTTGGGTGTTTACCTGAGTCCTCTTGTACCCTCCTTGTATCCTATTAACAATCTCAGACGTATTAATGGTTGAGTGTCTATTACACATCTGACTTACCCAAAGTTGCACAGCAAGTCTGCTGTAAACAAATCCAACCTCTGCCTTAACTCCAGCACTTCATGCTTCCTTACTCCATCATTTCTTCTTCATTTTACTTGTGTAGGACTTTTTCCCTGTGACCTATTTGAGATCAAGCTCATGGGGATCACAGGTCCCTCAGTATCCATGTAGGTGAACTTGCTTCAAGGGTTTAGTCCAGGTTCTGGCATATCCTTGGCACCAATAAAGCTCTCAGGCTCCTCTGGAGAAATCTTCTTTTGCTTGCAGAGGAGTAATGGTGACAGTGCCAGCCCTACTTAGAAATGCTTCATGGATTCCTGTTTCCTGGCTTAGAGATTGTGAACCTTTTATATTCATCCATGCACCAGAGTTCTTCATTATTTTCTTTTTTAACGCATAAAACAGAGCTATTGCCACAGTCTCGGTGATACAGACCCATCAGAGATAACTGGAGTTTCACATCCAAATGGTGTCTGCTGCCTTCTCTTCTAGCTTTTGTGTTTTGTATATCCGTATTGTGGCGTTTTACCAGTTTGGGGGTGAAAGACTTTGGAAAGTCAATAGCAGTCTTTGCTATAGCTTCTAATGTTTTTCCTCTGTTGAACATGCAGGGTAAAAAGGGAGAACCAGGATTCCCAGGAATCAATGGTCTGATAGGCCCTCAGGTAAGTGATGGTTTCATCATTTTCTTATATTATGTGGAAAAATATATTTTGTGGCAAGGTGACTTGGGAACCACAATGCAACATGCTATGACGTCTTTCTCTTCTCATGTGCACTGTCTCTGAAGTCGGTATTTCTCCTTTAAGAGCCAAACTAATATCCTGTTCTGATGGAGAGAAATCTGCTTGTCCGTCAGCAATTACTTTTACGTTCCGCAGTTTTCCAGCATCTTTGAGCAGGGACATAAGGACGTGTTTTGTGTGTGATTTCCCCATTGCTTGTGCATAAAGCAGGATCATTCTGGAGGGGAAACAATGCTTTGTGTTTTGCAATATTTAGGGCAATGTCTCAGCTAATTGTTGGCTGTGTGAACTGGTAATTGCGGTGATACCTCCTGTGCTGCAGTCTTGAGGGAAGAAGCAGTTTAAAAGGTATTTACTATTCAGAAAGCACACTTGTTTGAGCACAAAACTGGTTTTGTGGCTTTGTTACTCACATTGCTGCTTATTATAGAGGGATAGATATTGGCTTATTGAGGAAGGTAGAGACAGGGGCTTAAAGCTAAATGTTTATTCCCCCCTTGAGGAAGGATGTCTGAAGTTAACGAGCCCATAGCTGCTATTTTTTAAAAGCCTTTGGCAAGTTAGTGCTCCAAATTGCACCATCTGTAACATCATAAGGGCAAAGCAGTGTTGTGTATATTAAGGATTTGGCTCCACCTTGGATAAACATATTCTGCCTCATGTTATAAGAACACTGACACTTGCCTCTGGCTTGTTTTCTTGCTAACTTTGTAGCTGACCAGAGGCACTTTGTAGGGTCATCACCTGCAATACAAAAAGTATCTGCAGGGATGATCCTCTAGCAGGAAAGTTGCAATGTCACTTTAAGATGACTGTTCAGGATAAATCTGAGCATTTCATTCATTCTTTCAATAATAAATTCACAAACTGGGTCTTTGGCTCTGGGATTTTGTTTCAACAGTTAAATTTGGGGAACGAATGAAGAGCCCCCATTTCTACAGCTGTTGGTGATACGTGGCATCAGACAGCGCACTGCTAGGCAGCAGATGCTGTGTTTTCATGTATTTCCTCTGGCAAGCTTTGTCCTTGTAACAGGAAACATGATCTAGAAATGGTTCTGTGGCAGATGTTTCCTAATGAGCTGTTCACATGTCTGAGTAGGATGTCAGAGAGACACTCCAAAGGCTTGAGACCCTGTGCAGGTTGACGGCTCTTGTGTCCAGCTGGGAACCTCACCCTGCAAAACACTACTCGATACTGGTTTACATGTTTTTTTAAGACTTTTTCCTTTGGTACAGTCTCTGCTTTACAAGTATTTCATCAGATGCCTTCAAGTGGAATGAAGAAAGACAGTATTTCCAATGGCTTAAAAATATCAGCAGCCTTCCAGTACCTCAAGGGGGCTACAAGGATGCCAGAGAGGGACTCTTCATCAGGGACTCTAGTGATAAGACAAGCAGTAATGAGTTTAAACTTAAACAGGGGAATTTCAGGTTAGATACAATGAAGAAGTTCTTTACTGTAAGGGTGGTGAGGCACTGGAACAGGCTGCCCAAAGAAGTGGTGAATGCTCCATCCCTGGCAGTGTTCAAGGCTGGGTTGGACAGAGCCTTGGATGGTATGGTCTAGTGTGAGGTGTCCCTGTCCATGGCAGGGGGTTGGAACTGGATGATCTTAAGGTCCTTTCCAATCCAAACCATTCTATGAATCTATGATTATTTTATTTCCCATTGGATAACATTAAAAGGTCCATTCTCTTCCCCCTCCTCCTCCTCCCTCCGCTCCCCCCCCAAGTCTTCTGAACCACTGGAACAAGATTTTTCTTGCTTTGGGGGGGAGATTTTTCTCTCTGCATTATTTCTAAGATCTCTGACACTGTCCATCCAAACAGCATCACTTCTGCTCAGCTCAGGTTCCCTGCAAGTTAATATATATGCATGTGCTAGTGATTTTATAAATGTATCTGAGAAAACTGCTGACATAGCGTTAAGTAACTTTCCTTTCCACACAGGCTAAATAAAGTTAGCAAATTTTATGTTAATTAAAACTGCATACAATGCAGTGCCATTGAGGGATACTTAAATTGGCTGTTCCTCCAAGCTAACTGTAGGAATGGGAAAATATTGTTCTTATTCCTGCAGCAGCTCTCAGTTCTAGACATATTATTGCAGATCTCCATATTTCTGTGTGGAGAAAGTGCTTACAATTGGTTTGTAACAACACTACTTTTCAGTTGAACAGCACTTTTTGTGACATTAAATTTTTTGGGCACTTCATTAGCACTTTATTTTTCTTAACCGGGGGTGTTGGAACTGGATGATCTTAAAGTCCTTTCCAACCCTAACTATTCTATGATTCTATGTCCCAAAAATACTCAAGAAGACAAGTAGTTTTCTTATGTTGTAGTTACATGGATATTCATCCAAGTCATGTAGGGAAGTCTGTGTTCTTGCGCTATCTCCATGGTTTTGGGGACCAACCGGTTTGAGTTGGTCATACATAAACTAGGTTAGGACACTAAAAAAGTAGCCTCCCTTTCCTTTCCTATTTTAAATTTAAGTATACTTCTGTTTTCTGACTTGATTCCCCACACTGATAGTTGGATGGGCAAAAAGGAGTGGATATAGCTGCTGCAGAAGTCACATTGCTGCTGAAAAACATAGAAAAGACCATCAGAAGTTATTGTTAGGCTTTATAAAGAAAAATAGTTGCTGTCATGCTTGGTGCACCTGAGAAGCCACAGAAGGATCAGTGAGGTGAGCAAGAGAGCCCTTCTAAGGACTACACTGGAGCAGAGTCAGCAAATCCATTGATGGACCATGCTTAAGATGATCTCAGTCCAACTCTAAAGGGTTATTGACTGGGTTTGGTCACATTTGAGAGTTAATGTAAGTGTCAAATCACAAAGTACCATGTAGGAGGTAACTTCTCAGTTCCCCCAGCAAGCCTGGGAATGCTTTGTGTCAATAGGGTAGCAGCAGTTTTGCCTCTCTCTTTGCACACACTAACTCAAACAAAATTTTAATCCAAGAAGACTTTAAAATGTTTTATTTCCCTTCTAAATTAGCTCTGGTGGTGAGCCAGTCCATGTACTTATTTTCTACATTTTGTGTAGTCAGCACCCCCAAAAATGAGCACTTTAATTTTCCTGTGACCTTTAGAAATGGTGCATCTTGCAACATCATTAAGCCATGGAGTAGACGCTCCGGGTCTTATTTTCCCTCTGGATATGAATGATTCTCCTGCAGCAAGGACACAGACATCTGAACTCATAATGTGTTTATGTTGTTATTATTTATTTGTACTATTTCAGTTTCTAGGAGCCTTAATCATGGGCCAAACTCCTATTGCAGGCTGTTCAAATGCAGACTGAAAAATGAGCATTTCTGTTGAGCTCTTTCAGTTGTAATGGATGGGTACCAAGCACAGAAAACAATGAGGCTGTGCATTTCTCCATGATTGCCTAAGATCTCTCTATAGTTTGTATATCCCGTCATCTCCTGGTAGGAAAACTTGAGAGAAAGGGCAAAAGGCAGTTGGTGACATACATTTGAAAGTGCTTTTCTAGGCATGAGGGGAAAGAGACCCCTCAGCATATGCTGAGTGAGCCGTGGTGGCTGTGTTCACAGGCTCTGCAGTGGGAAACTGATGCCCCAGTGCTAACTGAGGGCTCAGGCACTCTGAGCTGTATCACTGAATGACCAGGGCTGGGATTCAGCTCTAAAAACAAGCACCTGTTGGGTTAAGGATGGGGATGGGATGCAGGTGTCTGAGCTCTTGTTGATAAAGATCTAGTTAATACCATCAGTGGAGCCTGAAGCTCTTCTAAAGCAGGTTGCTACAAATGGTCCAATGAGCCATGCTCTAGATTCCCCATGCTGAGCAGGTGCATGCTGTGAGATAGGTACCTGTGAGACAGCAAAATAAGTCAAAACTCTGAGATTTAAACAAAAATGCCATAGCTTACACTTTCAATATCTGTGGGCTGTTACTGATGTCTGCCTTATGTTAGATAACCTGGTTGTATAACTAAGACCTGCAAGGAAGACCAGTACAATCTGTACCTTTTATAGTTGTGGCTGGCAGTGATTTAATTAGTATAGACTTGTCCGTAGGGTGAGAGCTCGAGCCCAGCTTTTCTTATGTAATTCAGGAAATAAATGATACCCTCTGAAATGCATCCTGTCCTTAACATCCTTTTTGTGATGCAAGTTAATGCTGCAAAATGTGAGACAAGGATAGAGGCCCCAGCTGTAAAGCTTAGATTGAATTCAAACTATGCTGGTGTTGCTTGAAATTGGAAGGTATTGCTCAGAGCTATTTTTAATAAGATCTATGCCTTTAACAAAAATAAAGCCTTCACCTGTACAGATCACTAATAGCACTGGAACAGAAGACCATAAGGGAGGGGGTTTTGTTTTTCTCATATGCTGCACTGACTCAGTAAACCAACTGAAAGTTAACATACAAGGGAAAGAAATCTTCCTCTGTAGACAAAAGAGATTGTGTCCGTATCTTACAGTAAGTGGTGAAGTTAAGCAAGTGCTGCCTTTTCACTGGGAGCAGCAAATCCTTCTGGAAAGATTACTATGCACAAATCCGACTTTATTCAGTACTTTTACAGAGCTGGAAAGTTTAGAGAATTTTTGTTGAAAATCTCTTTTTCACAATAATATTGTCGTTCCAATTACGATGCCACCTGGTGAAATAACTGGAGACCTCCTCTGCTTATGAACTGTGGCACTACCACTGAAGGTGACTATAGAACATGCTTCACAGGTAAATGCTTGGGTCTGTTGGCTCTTTGGGCTTTTGATTTTCAGTGTCACCAGCAGCAGCCTTCTTCTATATTCTCTTTTATTTGTCTTGGTTTGTAAGGTAGGATTTAAGCAAAGAGAGCAAGATGATGCTCTAAAGCAGCGTTCACAGTAGTTGTGCTGATGGATACTGTAGTATCTGGGATGAGAAATGAAGGGCAGATTTGAGGAGCTGAACCCAGAATCCACTCACATGCAGTGGAGGAGAAATGGTTTGCTGGAATAGTAAGGGACATAGGGAGACTCATAGACTGCTCCCCAAAACTCATGGCAACAGCCTTGTGTCTGATGGGAAAAAAAGTGGAAATAAAGGGGAGACAGCTCAAAGCTAATAGGGTCTGTGAGGACATTCTGAGATGTGAAATTGCAGGGAGTAACTGGTTTTGAAGTGGAGAAAAGCACATACATTGGAGGAGAAATGGTTGTCAGGGCCATGGTTATGCATTTTGCTATCACTGGCAGCAGACGACATGCTCCTGTGTGTCCCAGAGGCTCTTGTTCATAAAGCTGGCACAATGCCTAAGAAGCCCAGACCACAGTCTGCTTTGACATGGTTTAAGGGCTTATCTAAGCCTTTCTCATAGCGTAAGAGTATCCTGTCATTGGCATGGAATAATAATACAGAAAATATGTCTATGTGAGCTTTGCCTCCAGAGACATATATCTGGAAAAAACATCAGACTTCAGGTTCTATTACGGAATAGCATTTGTTCACTACTCTCTAAAACATAGCCAGCCCTTCTTCCATGGAAAAGAGATTTAGGCCAAGCAACCTACTGATGTAGTCACAGAAAAAGGGTTTTGTTCCTTTTCAGAGCTTCCTTAGGGAGTGCAGAACCTAAGCCTTAATAGCTCTTCCTTTCCCATCCTGTCTTTCAGCAAGATACAATACTGAAAGAGCAGAGCATCCTTTAGTGGATGCTGGAGGACAAGCACAGCTGTTCCTCATATATGGAGTGTCCAATTTCTTTTCTGAGAACTGTCCCTGCATTACGTTGTCTAAGGAATGGAGCTGGATGAAACACAAACCTGAGAAAAATCCACACACATTCCCTCAATGATCTTAAAGATCATAGAATCATTGAAGGGTTTGTGTTGGAAGGGACCTTTAAACTCATTTAGTCCAACCCCCTGCAATGAGCAGGGACGTCTTCAACTAGACCAGGTTGTCGACCCACATCCAGCCAGACACTGAATGTCTCCAGGGATGGCTCCTCCACCACCTCTCTGGGCAAGATGTCCCAACCATAACACACACACACTTCTAAACACCATTTGAATTATAATAATTATTTAAAAAAATTTGTTTTCAAAGCAACAGTTTGAAAATACTTTGATTTAAACATTTTTGTAAAAGATACATTATTTTCCATTTGTTTTCTGAAGTGTTTCTATAGCCTTGATTTATTCTAAAGTTTTCATATATCAGTTTTTGCTTTTGCGTATAGGAACCATTCTATGATTCTACGAACAACGCATCAGTTTCTTTACTAGCCAAATCACAGTTTTAAAGGGACAACATTGGGACTGTATCTGGGACAAGGATTTGTGTAATTCATCAAATGATCTCTGGAAAAGGTGACTGTTTACAGCAGGTACTTTAATCTGGATTCAGTCTAAAAAAGGAAGCAAAGAACACAGATGGCATGAGATTTTGGGGTTAAGCGTTAGAAGCTGTCCTGCTCCTGCTATTCTATGTTTGGTTGGGGTTTGGGTTATTTTAATAACAGGTAAGTGCTGTCAGTTTAGCCCTTTGCAAATACTTAGCAAGAATAGTCCTTGCTCCGAAGTATACTCAGAAGTCGGGAGAAGGGCTACAATAACAGAAATATATATAGAAGCATGAGAGACTGATCTCACAAGTAAAACTGATTCACTCTGGCCGGTAGTAAAAGGAGGTCTCTATAAAGGACATGTATGATGTATTTCTGCAACTTTCATGTGATTTTGCTGTCTTACTGCTCTGTGCCTGTGCATCTCCCAGGGATACTGGTGGCCATTACATAAAACTGTTCTATGCCCGTCTCGGAGAGGCTTTTATCAGAAGAACTTTCCTTTAGTGACCGTAACATTTGTTGATGCAACATATGTAGAGGAGCCACCTGAATAAAGTAGTCTTGGGCCTGACGTCCTGGGCTATTGCTTCATGGAGAGCAATAAAACAGAATAATTTTTGGCAGTTCAGGGTAAGGATCAGTGTGCTTGCATGTCAAGATTTATGGTTGCATAAGGTTAATGTGGGCCAGAATGTAGAAAACTGAAGAGAAGAATTAGAAATTTGATAGTGAGACTATCAAGAGTTACTAGGAGAAACAGGATGATGACGATGTAGCACCTCACATTTTAGGGACTATGCTGGTTGCTGAAAAACTTCGCTTTTACGTCAGATTGACCCTTGTCTTTACTGTGTGTGGGAGCTTGTATTATACCTGGGGATGCGAGCTGAGGCAGCATCCTGAGGCTGGGTCCTGGTTGGGTTTTTCCACCTCTTGGTAGAAGCTTTCTGCAGGGCTTCTCAGCAGTACCATGTAGAGAGCCAAGCAGAACCTCTGTGTCCCTGGTGTCTGAGGTCACCCGGCTGTGTCTACACTATGGTGTTTTCTCTTGTGCTGGGTTAATTTGGACTGTTGGTGCTTTTCTTTGGCAAAACCTTCTTGAGGTGACGGCTGGTTTCGACCAGATGTCTGCTGATGGGACTAGAGAGCTCTTTAACTATGGGAGCCTCCTGCAACAGCAGCTGGACCCATGTCCCCAGAAGTTATTTCAGGGCTTCACAAGAGTGCATCAGTGCATCCCAAGGGGATGTTTTATTTGTGCTCACATTTGAGGCACTGTGCAAATGCTAAAGTAGGTGGATGAATCCGTGTCTGTTCTAAGCCTCAATGAAAACGGTTCATGGGAGGCAAGTGCATCTGCAGGTACTTTTTTGGTCGCTTTGCCCCATCTACTGGTGAGAAGCTGTCTTCTTTTCTGGCTGAGTTTTACAAGTGTATTCTAAAAAGAGCGCTTATCTGATACCTTCTCTGTCAAACCATGCCACAAATAACTTCTTGTCATCACTTTTTTACACTTTTCTTCTTTTCATTTTTTCCTAAAATGTGAAATGCTAATATTGAGCCATGACTCATAATACCTTAATCGCAAAAGCTGTGCTTTGTGATATTGAATGATGAAATTCCAACTGGCCATTTTCTATCTTGTATCAGTTCCTCAGCTTCAATTCTTTACATAGGATTGGGAGGAGAGTGGGGGAATGCGGTTTGTTTTTTCAATACAAGCACACCAGAACTGTCCCTATGCTGAAAACTGAAAACGAATGAAGTCCTGTTAGAAAGACAGAAGAGACAGCCAGGGTAAAACTCCAACTCAGTCATATATATCCACTTCTCACATCCATTCTCATATTGTTTGCTTAGGTCCTGATCCAAAAACCACATGAACATATGCTCCATTCTGAGCACAGGAGGATTCTTATCTGGTCTACAGCAGAAGCTGGAAGTAACAAACACCTCTGCATCTCAGGCAGCCTGTTAAGATTTGTTTAGTATGGAAACAAATTTCTCATCTGGGAAGCCAAATTTAACAATTTGCTCAATACACAAAAATAAACTCCTCTGAAAATCAAATAGCTATTGAGAGAATGGTTTCCCTGAGAAAAACAGCTGTTGCAGGGAAATGAGTAATAAATACCTTCAAGATATTTCCAACTGAACGTGCGCATTGAAGTATGAGTTTGTGAGGGCATTTTGCTGTCAACAAAGTTAATGTAGAGCACTAAAATGGTGGTGCATTTGCTTTGAAGAACTTGAATCAGTGCATTGTTTCTCCATACTCATGGATGCATATTGCTCCCTGCCCCAGTACAAACCTGTTCCACCCATTAGTTACTTCAGAGATCTTTTTGTAGAGGTAAATTGCTCACTTTGAAGTGACATTAATCAAGATTAAATTAGGCTGGATACTACATGAGATTCCACTGGACAAGCTTTGTGCTCTACGTTACCATTGATGGCCTTGAACTCCTTCATCTCTTATACTGGATTCAAGGATGGAGCTCACAACAGCAGTACTTAGTGGCTCAATCCAGAGATACTGTTCTGCTCATAAGCCTGATTCCCTTGGAGAGCTCAGTTTGGCATCTTACACTCTTATTTGTTAGAAATTAATGAAATAAAGCTCAGTGCTTTTGCCCACTTTGAACAGGGCTCTGACTGCACAGAAAAGGACCTGAGGCTTTCAGCCACTATCACAGAGATAAAATGGTTTTGCTTCATCTCTTGCAGGGACCTCCAGGGCCCCCAGGCGTTGCTGGACCTCCTGGAGCACCCGGAGCACCAGTAAGAAAACAAGTGTGGATTTTGGTTTATATTAAAGAGAATAAAGAACAGGGAGAACTTTAGGTCATGGTTTCCAGCAGGAACTGAGTCAGGACCTCTGGCAATGTGTCTTTTATGTTTTCTCACTGAGAAGCTACAGCTGGTCCTAGAGGACAGCTTCTCTGTGCCAAGCATTGGAACCATGTTGGTCTTCCCTGGTCAGTGTCTACAGGACCCCCCACAGCAGAGATCCAGCTACTGTGGAAGGGAAAATTGCATTTAAATTAAAATCTAGGTTGCTGTAAAGTACAGAAATTAGGATTTTTATATTTTTTTTTCTCCCAATTCGTTTTCCCAGGGGCTTCCAGGAGAGATTGGAGTTTCTGGTAAAACTGGAGCACCGGGACCACCTGTAAGTGTTAAGGAACTGCTTCCCTTGCCCCTGTTGCTCTCCTTGACTTCAGATACTGCAGTTCTCAAGTCTTTATTTCATTTCCTGCAGCTTGTCTGAAGGCAAGGTTTTAATGAGGGCTTGAACACTGTCACCTTTAATGCAGGCATTGGCATCTGCTGCCTTTTGTGAATAAGGATATTACCAGATGCAGGTCCGCTATTGTCCGCTATTCCTACACTCTGAAGACCATTGTATTTACTTTATAAGACACCTTTCAAAAGTCATTTTGCAGTTGGCAAGATATTGCTCTTCTGAGCCTGGAGTTCTCTGAATCAGGCTGAAGAACTCACAGAATCTCTGATTTGGCATAGAAATGTCTGTTGGCTGTTAAGTCAACAAAGGTGAATTATTCAATAGTTGGTATTAAGAAGTGCCACAGCAACCTCTGTGGTATTTGGGATTGACTGACACTTGGAAAGGGGACAGAAGGTTTTCTCACCATTTTAAATGCACTGCAGGAAATAATTGTAATTCTTATCTCGCTGAATGATTCTGTCACTGTGTTGTATAATTCAATTTAAGGAGTTTATGTATTGTATAAGAAATTACCACTATTTAAAAGGAGAAATAAACTTTAAAAAATTTTTACAGCTACAGATAAGAGACTTATAGAGAATTATAAATAAAAATATAATTGTAAAATTTATTTAAGACTCCATAGTGCCCAAAAAAGCTCTATAGTGTTGCTTCTCTGTAACAACACTGACATCCAGTGGTCATTCATCAAAACTAGGATACCGGAAAACAGGCCAAGTAGATACTGTGCATTGTGAGAACTTTTGTGTGTTTTGAGGCAGAGGAGGGGAAAAGTCAAAGCAAACTGCATGAGATGGTTCTTCTTAAACTTAGGTGCATGACAAGAGGGATGGATTGAACGTGCTTATGCTGATCTTGTTGTTACTGGTGTAAAGAGCAGCTTATGGTTTTCTCTTATTTAGGGGTTGCCTGGCAAAGATGGATTCAATGGGCTTCCTGGGCTTCCAGGTCAAAAGGCAAGTGGCACCATTTACACTGGTATTAAGCTACTTATTTGGGAAGATTATCTGAGTGAGCTAGTAAGTGGGAAAAGGGGCACATCTCTAGAGCCAAGCACCCTCTCACTAATCCCACGATCACTGAGCCACTGGTGAAGCTCCTGGTGTGTGTACTGAGTCGTTATGAAGATGGAGCTGGTTGTAAATAGAGCAAGGATGAGAGAGCCTCTTCCAGTCTTCAACTACTGCATCCTATTTGGCAAATACAGGCTGAGCATTGCAAACAGAGATGCTTCTACTTCATTCAGGAAAGCCAGTGACACTGGCAAGGCAAGGAATGTGTTCAAAGCACAAAGAAGAACAAAGAAGTGTGTCAGTCTCCAAAGATGTTCCTTTCTTTCCTCCATGAAGGGCAGGAGAGAAGAGCTATCATCGCCCTATGGCTTCTGTAGGTCTGTGTGGCAGAAAGACAGTTCTTCATTATTTCCTACTTCTTATCCCTTATTCAAAAGCTTCTGCAAATGACAGATTGGGAATGACTGCTGTCTCTGCAGTGGGAGAAGGGAGATAAGAGATTTAGAGATAGCAGATACTCTGATTGTCTTGCCATCACTACATAATAAGTGTCAAAGAAATGTGCCATATTTTGACTATGAAGGCCAAGCTAGGATTTGGGGATGATGATGCTATATTGGAATAAGGAGAATAGCTCTTAACCATCTACTGCCTTGGACTGCATTGGCAGTGGTCTTCATGCCTCTGGTACTTGAGCATTATGACCCCTACTTTTTCCAGGAGCACAGTACATTTATACTCACCTCTCTCAATTGAGTGCACTCAATGCTTGAGCCAGAGTCCCCAGCTCCCATTTACTGATGAATAAAGGTGAAGAATTAATACATTTCTGAGGCTAAATCAACAAATAAACTCTGGATTTACTCCCAGCCCTGTGTAGTACCTACTGCACTCCTCAGCTATGCAGTGCATTCCAGCCTCTGCTCTCCATCCTGACACCACCAGCATTGAAAGTTCTGTTTCATTTATCTAAAAAGCCCAGTGGCCATGGTCCCAATCCCACAATTAGTTATTTTTCTTAACAGAAATAATGTAGACTTTCTAACCATATGTAATTTGAAGAAACTGAATATGGGTTTTGTTTCTGAGGTCATTCACTATGGACATCTTTAATGTAACAGTGGTTGACTTTGTGTTATTCCAGAAATATTCTGGTAGGGTGATTGGTGCTTGAGATGTGATTACATAAACTAGAATGGAAAATTTCAGGAACCATATTCTCACTTGGCTCCATTTACATCCTCAGGCTAATACTGAAGATCTGACTCAAAATATTCCTCACTGTTACCTGCAAACATGCTGTGCTACCAAAGGAGTTTGTATATTAACTTCTTATGTTCCCTGCAGGGAGAACAAGGGGAAAAGGGTGAGGAAGGCTTTCCTGGAAAACCTGGCTCTAAGGTAAGGAATTGTATTTCAAGTTGACTGTAGCCATTGAGTCAATCAAGGTATGATTTTGAAAGGTCTTATACTGAAGTAAGGACAGTAAGATTCCTCTAAAATTGAAGGTGTAAGTGGATGAGCATAGACAGCTCATTGCCTTTCAGAATTCATGGTGTTCTAAAATACCAATCCCCATTTGGTGCTCCTCTCAAACCTACATGTATAGGGAGATCTGACCTGGCCTTTGTGTTGGCTTCTTGCAGTCTGGGTTCTCAAGCCATTAAGAATGCAATTTCAGTGTCTTATGGGAAGTAGGTAGAGCACAATGGGCCAGGACAGTAGAAGACACATTTACTAATGAGAAACAGTTCTTGCAAAAGAGTCCTTGCAATGTTAATGTTTTGATTTCGTTTTTCCAGGGTGAACCAGGGAGCCATGGCCAACCTGGAGAGCAGGTGAGCAGGAAAAATGATCTTAGCAGCAAGATTTCAAGTGACCTCATGCAATGACAAAGACATTGGCCAATAACAAGATCTGTGCGTGTCATTTGCATTTGATGGCTCAAGCCCACTGCCACAAAGGGTCAGACCCCCGGCCAAAGCACTGCCACTTGGTCAGGGTCATCTCCCCACACAGGGCAGTTCTTGCTTCTAATACCACCTTCCAAAACACTTGTTTCTCTCTCCAGTGTGGTGCTCTCCACACATTTCATAACTATTCTCTTTACTGTCACCTCAGTCATAAATTATTGAAAAATGCAGCCCCTAAGAGGACTTCACTTAATATATCCTCTGAATTTGACAGAAACCAACTAATAACAGGTGTGTGAGTGTAGTTTCTTCTGTCAGTTGTAAGCCATCCTTCAGAGATCCTTCTTCTATGCTGCATTTTGTAGTTTGCTAATGAGAACATCATGTTGGCCTGTGTCAGACATGTTACTGAAGATACATCACACAAATGCTTCCTTCTTTGCTTCGTTCTTGTATCAAGGGAGGGAACTGGATGGGTTTGATATAATTGTTTTTTAAAATTCACCTTGGCTGTTTTGCATTATATTTCTGTCCTTGAGAGCATACAAACTCATTGAAGTTTTGCTTCAGTATCTTTCCAGAGACCAAAGTTACACCAGCATCCTGCAGTGGCTCTCATAAAGCACCATTTTCTCCACCACAAAATGTCACTCTCATTAGTCTTCTCCAAACATCACCCTGATGTTCCCCCAGCTTCTTGTTCCTCATCTGATTTCTTCTGCAGACTCATTGTACCTATATCACAATAATGTTTTGAGTCTTCCCATACTTCAGAGCTAATCTCTTTAGAGCAGGAATGACCTTTTCTTAGTTCAGTATTTGTACAGCACTTAGTGCATTTGGGTCCTGTCCATGTCTGACATTCTTTATGATATTGCACACAACTGCAGATAGCAGAATAGTTATAAATAGGAAACCACATGGTTATTTTTAGATGACAAACTGGGCCAACTGGGAGCTAAGTTTGAGAATACTTGATATATTTAGAACAAACCACATGACACAGAGGTCATAATTACTTCAATAGCAAGTATTATAAAGCAGAAAGTCAAAGGTAAAATTCAAACAGGAAGAAAACCAAATGTGCAATAATGCATCCAGAAAATTCTAGATCTCTTTGTCAGGTAACATCTGTACCATTCAGATTAATACAGAGCAGGTTTTGCATTTCCAGGCCATATGAAAATAAAAGATTTAATTTCTTTTGCTGATTTTATTTGCTTGTTTGCTCCTGCTACCAGTGCAGCATGAAGAAAACATGTCCGAAGTTACATGTATTTGGTTAACAGTGTAACAGCAAAAAAAACCGAAGTCTTAGCTGCTGTTTTAAGTAATGATTTTCCATGAATAAGAAATTATTTGATAATCAAACTAATCCTATTTTCTCTCTCAGCAAACTGTATCTATACTCAATCCCGTTAAAAAGCTGGGGCATGCTCTGGCCTTACAGCGTAGACTGTGTATCAAGGTGTGACTGGGTGTCAAGAAGGAAACACCTGCAGTCATTATGACTTGTGAAGATTTCAGAGTTTAATGTCAGAGAAAGAGATAGACACCTAAAGGTTTCATCCTCTCCAGCCTAGAGTCATTGTGGCTAGATTAGCCTATTGTGAAGACTAGACTTGACGCATTTTAGCTGACATAAGAGAGAAAAGAGCTTGGTCCACCATTCTGCCTCTTCATTCTTAGTTATATTTATTAATAGAACCCATGATTGATGTCTGTTCCTGTATTTCACACACTTTCGTCTTACTTTCAGGGTGAAGCAGGTTTTCCTGGTCCTCAGGGTTTACCTGGGCTGAAAGGAGAAAAAGGAAACCAGGTGAGTGACATTGAGCCATGGCTTGATTCTTTTGGCCATTAAGCATAAGAAGGCCTTATCTCCAATGTTCCTAGATGATGTTCTCTCTTGTGATTGCTGTGGTGGTGAGCAGCTGATTGGTGTGTAGCAAAGTCAACAAGTACCCCTTCCAAAAAGGTACTTTACTGCCTAATGACTGTTCATAAATGCAGTGGAGGTGCTAATGAAAAGCGTCTATCCTAAATGCAAAAGGTTATGACCATACTGCTTGTGAGGCAGTAGAAGTAGAAGGTTCTTTAGGTCTCACTGTCAGATATATCTGCTTGTTTTAAAAACATTAAAATAAGATTAATAACAACAAAATCGCAAATCCCACTTGTCACTGAGCTCTGGAGAAGGCTTCGGATGGCTGGATCTTTTTCTGATAGCCTAACTTCGACTTATGTCCTAGTGTCTACTGCGTCCCCCGGCTAGCTCCAGATTTCCAGAGGCATCTGCATACTAGGAAATAGTTGAATCAGGGGCCTGACAGTAAATTTAGCCATGTAAATGAGGTCTGATCAAGTACTCCTATTTATTTATGCAGAAGTATACAAATACTACATAATTGGATGTGATCCAGAAGGATCTAAAATCAACTGGGGTCTTACAGATCAGTTTACCATATGTATAGTAAAGCATAAACTATAGAATATATTCTCTGTATATGTAAGATGGTAGTAATGTAGGTCAGATTTCTCCTATTTGGATGGCAAGATAGATACATTTTGTATATGCACTTTGATGAGCACTCGCATCATCCTTGTTAAGCATCTCTCATTCAGATGGCCAGGTTACCTGGGCAAAATAGAGAGGTAGGCGCTAGTGAAGGATGATTCAGAAATCTATGTACAAAGCTGGTAGTATGAATGTCTCCTTTGGGTCTCAATTCCTGTTCTGGTGCCTTTCTTGTCCTACTAGAAAAAATTAGGCTTTTATAACTGCATCAGGCAGTAGAATCTTCTACATGAAAGTTATTTTGGGATTGGCGAGTTCCTTTCCATTAACTTCACTGTTATTCACTAGCTTTTGAAAATAGTGTGGATTTTATGTAGCCATCTCCAAAATACTGCATTTTTAATTGCTTGCACTACATCATGGAGGACAGGTAAGATCAACTGAAAGTGTAAAATATTCTAGTGGGATGGATGCAATCTAATCAAAACATGAGTATTTCTTGCTTTCCTTTGCCTTCTTTTAGGGAGAAAAAGGAAAAGATGGCTTCCCAGGTTTGAAGGGTGAAAGAGGAGTAAAGGTAAGTCATGAAATGAGCATGATCCTCCTTAGACAAGAGGGGAAGAGACAAGTGGGCAGAGATAAGTGATAGAGGAGGATATCTGAGGAAGAGTAAAAACATTCAGAGTCTTTTAGCTGAGCTTTACAGAGAAGCAGCAAAAAAAGCTGTGTGTGGGATGGAGACAACAATTTGTCAAATAATGCAATAAAGAGTAAGGAGCTGATGAAATTTAAGGAAAACTTTTTTAATTCAAGGGAAATTTTCATTGTTTTAGAATTGGCTGATACAAGTGAGCCTGCAATTAAATTCTAAAGAAGTTTTCTACGCCTGCCTGTGATGTACTAAAACAGTAATTTAAAGAATGGCCTGGGCTTCTGCCTCCACAACACCATTAATTTTAATGAAAATGAGAGAACTAGATAAGCGTGATATCTACCAAAATTTGCACACAAGCTTTGTGAAAATAAAGGTGAAGAAGAAACATTGACCTTGCAGATGCCTGTGGTCGTATAGTGAAAAAAATGCCTTCATTATAGTGGTGATCATAGAATAGAATCATAGAATAGTTAGGGTTGGAAAGGACTTTAAGATCATCCAGTTCCAACCCCCCTGCCATGGGCAGGGATGCCTCACACTGAACCATGTCACCCAAGGCTCTGTCCAGCCTGGCCTTGAATACTGCCAGGGATGGAGCATTCACAACCTCCCTGGGCAACCCATTTCAGTGCCTCACCACCCTAACAGGAAAGAACTTCCTTATATCCAATCTAAACTTCCCCTGTTTAAGTTTTAACCTGTTACCCCTTGTCCTGTCACTGCAGTCCTGAATGAAGAGTCCTTCACCAGCATCCCTATAGGCCCCCTTCAGATACTGGAAGGTTGCTATGAGGTCTCCACACAGCCTTCTCTTCTCCAGGCTGAACAGCCCCAACTTTCTCAGCCTATCTTCATATGGGAGGTGCTCCAGTCCCCTGATCATTCTCATGGCCCTCCTCTGACTTGTTCCAACAGTTCCATGTCCTTTTTATTTTGAGGACACCAGAACTGCACACAATACTCCAAGTGAGGTCTCCAAGTGATAGCCATCAGGAAGGGGGTACCATTTTGTTCTTCTTAGCATACACTAGTGACTTTCACAGCTATGGAGGTGGGAATGCTTTCATGGGTGGCCAAATGACATCTCCAGTGAAGCACTTGAATATCCTATGTCTGGGAAGTTTGTATGCAGTTCTTGGCTTCGAAGTGTCAGGGGGACTGATGTTTGTGGAGCATAGCCCACAGGAATATCAATGGCAGGTAAGACACCCACTCTATAATTCTCATGAGGTACTTCCTCAACAATATAGTTTTAACTAAAAAAAAAATAGCGTGAAAACTGAATTTAGAAACTTATATTTGTGATGAAACACAGAGGATTCTTTTTTCTTTTTTTATCCACCAAGAAAGTTCAGCTGAAAAATGTTTTTCAATCAAAAATTTAGATTAACTTTAACTTAAAATGTAAATTAAACTCCATATCAGTCCTACACTGAATGGGTAACATTAAAAAGTCAATGATCTGTGGAAGTCATAAACTGATAAAGACAAGAAGGTGAGAACCCTCCATGCAACAAACCAAAGACAGCAGAAATTCTGGCCAGAGCAATGAAGTAAATTCGTAGAATCATAGAATCATTTGGGTTGGAAAGGACCTTAAGATCATCTGGTTCCAACCCCCTGCCATGGGTAGGGACGCCTTTCACTGGAATGGGTTCCTCCAAGCCTCATCCAACCTGGCCTTGAACACTGCCAAGGATGGAGCATTTACCACTTCTCTGGGCAAACAGTTCCAGTGCCTCACCACTCTCAAAGTAAAGAATTTCTTCCTTATGTCTAACCTGAATCTCCCCTGTTACATTCGAACGCATTACTCCTTATCCTGTTCTATCCATCAGAGAAGTGCTATGTGATTTGCAGTGTCACTGAGCTGGCAGGTTGGGACTGGTTAAATCTCATGTGATGATGTTGCATCTTCTACCTGATAATGTTGAGTTTTATTTGGGAGTCTTTTTATATCCTTAGATATATATTTCTTCTCTTTCTAGGGTGACACAGGTTCCCCTGGGCCCCCAGGCTTACCTGGAACAGTAAGTAAGATTGCGTTCTGTGCTGTAACAACATTCAATGCATCACCACACTTCCTCCACACAAATTCCTCATAAAGTGTTAAAGTTCCTTCATTTACTCTCAGATTATCTCCCTTCGCTTCAGAGAAGTGATGTTGAGGTGTATTTGGACTTCGTATTTTGAGGGAAGGTTGTGCCCTCCTCTGTCTCTTTGCAAACAGCATTTTTATGTGCTTTTGCCTTATGGTAGCACTTACATTGAATTCGTGATTTGTTTAGCAGCTATGGGAGCTATCTATCTAAAGAAGGTGGTGGCTGAGAACATGGAATACATTCATATTCATTTTTCAGGGTGAGCTAGATTTTCCCACTGGGATCTCAGGAGAAGGCTGGCTCACTCTCACAGATACCAGTGAACAACAGCTTGTCTTCTTGGGGAACAATTCACCATTTTCCAGGAAAAGCAAAGGGTTTCACTTCTCACTGACATGAACGTATGGGGTGGAGCACTCAGCTTCAGTGATGCTGCAGCCTCCCAGCGCCTCCATTGCATACAGTACCATGCTATGCTGTAGTCCCAGAAAGACCCTCTCATCCCAGAGGTCATTCTGGATTCAGCACCAGATCCACCACACAAACCAGTCATGATTGGTTCCACATGCCCTTCTGCTGATACAAAATTAAAGACCAAGAAACCATGAATTCATTTTTTTTAAATAAGCCTGCAAAATTACTTTTGGGATCATGAAGTTCACTGGTGATTAAACCAGCATCTACAGAGAGTCAATGCATAAACCTCTTTATGTATAATATATTATACATTTATACATAAGATTTAAATTAAAAATAAAATTTATAATAGTAAATATATAAAACTCTTTTCCTAGTGTTCCCTCCAACAAAAGCTGAGTAAGCAGCTTGGAGGGAGGACTAGGAACAGACCTGTCATTGTAACAGGAGGGCTGACTCCGGTCTCAGATCCTACAAACATGGTAGATATCCACTTGTCAGCTTTGCTCGCCACAGCTGGATACACCTGCCACATTGACAGGTTATGAAGAGAATTTGAATCAAGGTATGCTGGTGAAAATCAAGCGCCTAAAGACTTTCACGCAGCAACGGAACAAGTGTTATAATTTATTGCCTGCCATTACAGAATCATTAAATAGTTTGGGTTGGAAGGGATCTTCAAAGGTCATCTAGTTCCACCCCGCCTGCAATGGGCAGCGACATCTTCAACTAAATCAAGTTGCTCAGAACCACATCTAGCCTGGCCTTGACTGTTTCCAGCGATAGGGCATCCACCACCTCTCTGTGCAGCCTGTGCCAGTGTTTTACCACCCTCATTTGTAAGGAATTTCTTCCTCACATCCAGCCTGAATCTTCCCTCTTTTAGTTTAAAACCATCACCCCTTATCCTTTCACAACAGGCCTTGCTAAAAAGCCTCTCCCCATCTTTATTAGCTATTCTTATTTCTAAGAACTGAAAGGTTGCACTAAGGTCTCCCAGAGTCTTCCCCAGGCTGAACAACCCCAGCTCTCTCGGCCTTTCCTCATAGGAGTAGTGCTCCATCCCTATGATAATTTTTGTGGCCGATCAGTTGGGCTTCTTCAGTCTGTGCCAAAGGGTGAGTCATACCTTTGTGTAAGATGGCTGTGTAATCCCAAAGACAACCCTGTTGAGATATATATGTCTTGTATACAGTTCAAAGCAAAGAGACAACCATCAAGGTCAGCCATGGCATCAGGAAATCTAGCAATACTGAAGATGGCTGCAAGTGGAAAAGTGTGCTGGAGATTGCTTGGAGTAAACTTGCTAACAAGGTTAAATACTGTTTTTTCAAAGCAGTGGGGCATACAGGATGTATTTGTGTTTATGTTCATATTTCAAATACTCCAGGAAATGTCAGACATTTGTGGGCTTTTTTCCAAGCAGCCAGATGTTACAATGAGTTGCTCATTTATAAACCTGATGGATATATGGAGTGTGTAATCTGTAATGACAAGGCGAAATGCATGTAATTTATTACATCACAAGGAAAACAGGCAATGCTTCTTTTAACACTGATTTCTCTTCCAGACAGCCTTCTTCACCCCACACCCCAGGATTCCTGTAAGTAACAATTCTAATAAACATGACTTCTGCCTTATTGCCTCTTGTATGTGATAGACACACAGCTCCTTAGTATTTTCCATGTTATTTATATGCTTTCAGTAAAAGAAACTGGTTTGAGTCTGGTTCTGGGCAACTTCACCATTGTAACCAATCATGATATGTCCACAGCTGCCCTGGTAACAGCAACAGCCTGTGGTCACAGTTGACATAGCTATATGCTGTCCCTGTCTCTTAAGTTTAGAACAAAGTCTCATTTCCAACTTGCAGTACATTGTGGGAAATATCTGTCATTACACAGGATTAGACCATTGGTATGTGAATAAGCTTGTTTAGGATCAGGAGGCATGTATAAGTGACATGTACAAATGGCAGAAGTAGGCTGAAAGAGTGCCATTAGACAAGAAAGTGCATATGCCAGGTACTTCAGAGGCTGAGGAAGGAAGCAGGGATGTGAGGTAGTACTGCAAATAGAGTTAAGATTTTGTTGATTTGCTTTTCCCCTTGACTTGCAGTTTGATAATACCTTTACTAAGGAAAGGCGCAGAACAATGACATCTTGTGTGGTCTTTGTAGTGGTGCAGTCACAGGAGGAGTTCTCTCTTCTGCTTTGAGTTCATTTGTCTTGTAAATGAGCTGCAAGACAGTAAAGAATAAAAGGTTTGAAGTGTGTTAGCAGGTCAGGTTGCTGGGATTCCTCTATGTGTAAGACGAATGTGATGATACGGTGGCACAGGTCTTGTACATAGTGTTGCAAGCTTTGGGAGCTGTAAATCAAAGGTATGGATAGTTACCTTTGATTTACAGCTCTACAAATTAAGGTGTCAGAAGGTGGTGATAAGCCTTAGGAAATGTCATGGGTTATATTATAGAGGCCAGCAGGGTGCTGAAGGCTGTCAAGCACTTGCCAAAACACAATACTTGCTATTGCTTTCCATCAACTATGTGGTGTATAGTACCAGGTAACACAGCCTGGACAGAAGGCAGCAGTTCTATCTTCCACTTCAGCTGGCCACAGCTGAGCCCTCACTGCATTTCCTCTCCTTTAAGTGGCACAGGAATGACTAACATGTTAATTGAGATGACAGGAGAGCAGGTTTGCTCTCCTGGGCAGGTCAAGGAAGCTGCAGGCACTGATCTGGACCAGGTTGGTAGCATCTGTTAGCTGTCACTGCATCATCCTGTTCATTGAGCCATAGGAAAGGAGTGGATGGCAGTGGATTAAGTCCAGCTGCCAAGGGTAAAGGTCTTCACAATGTGCAGCACTAGTGGACACTGATAACAGATAATACATCATTGAGGGCTGGGCAAATTTGGAAGGAGTCTCAGGCAGATTTGTTGGGAGGTTGTGCTAAGAAATGCTGCTCTACCCATGTTTGTGGCTGTGCTAGGACATTAAACTGGAATTTTGCTGATTTTTCATTATAATGAAAGTCAACTATCAAGGAAAAAGTGGGAGAAAGGAGAAAATTAAGGAAGCTTCCTCCCTTTACTTGTTGAGTTACTTCTTCCCTTTGCAGTCTTATTTTCCTTAGTAATATATGCCCTTATTTCCACTCAGTAACACCATCCCTGCCTGCAAATGCATTGCGCTATGTCTGTCATTTGTTGCTTTGCACTCTCAAAAGGCTTTCAGAGCTTGAAATGTCGACCTCCAGGCACAACTACACCGGTTACACAGGGCCCATTGCTTCAACTTCTTTTGGTGATCCCATTACCTTTCTGAAGGCCACTAGATGGCATCAGGGACTGCCTGATTGAAGATGGTCTAACGGGGTGAAACTTTCAGCGTAAAATTCTTCCTCATAGATAATAATATTCATCATGCATAATAAATTCAGACATAAGTAATATTTATGCAGTTACATTTGTTTTGTCTGTCAGAGATTAATTTGCAATTGGACTTTGAATTCCCAGGTGTTACAGAAATGATTGGCAAATAGCTGACGTGAATAAAATTCAAGTTGATTTGTCTTGGCTTCTGCATTTTGAATGATCACTATTCCTTGTTTGTATGTGTAGATTAAACCACTGATGTTCTTACTCTTCCTTGATTGCATAATTGAAGCACTTTGTATGATAAATAATGAATAAGTAATGATTGCTGGTGCCTGAATACATATGTTCATATAAATATACAAATGTGAGTGTTCATGTAATGCCTGGTTCATTCCAGCTGGTTCCACAGGTGTGTGCTGTTCCTTTTCAATTTATATAAAAGCAGAAATATAGAATTATTGATTATTTTTTCTAGAGCTCAGAACAAAGCTGATGAACTGTCTGGAAGCATCTTTGATTTACTGTAAGGAGGAAGAACAGGAATAAATTAATCCTATTAGTCAGAGATGGTTGCCCATGAAATAATGTATTGACATTGAAGGAGGGAGCAGAAGTGGCATGGATGTATGGAGATATTGACAGAACTAGAGATCATGAAAACCTACATAGCGCACCTCTCTGGAAGTGCTTAAAATGAGACCCTGAACACCTCTCTCTTAAAGGTGGAATAGGGAACTGTCTGTATGTGGATTATTTCTCCAGTTGCAAGATACCATTAGGTCTGTGGTCCTACACAGAAGTGGTGCAGTGGCACTGATGCTTTTGCTATTGGACATCTTCTCTGGCCTTTTAATACATTGGAACTGAATTGATTGAATTTGGAATGGCAAATTCTTTAACTACTGTTCTCCATGAGGGAAAAGTGTTCTCTTTTCAAATTACTGCATAACAACCCAAAAAGTCTAGGCAATCATCTCCACGTCTTAGTGTGTGATACCAGTTTTGATTCTTTGGCCTCAAAGTCCTTTGAATAAGCTTCTGTAAGTCAGAAATGTATAACTGATTGAAATAGCCCTCTTACCAAACGTGACTAGTGTGACTTCTAGCCATGGAAATAGCCTTTTATTTCTCTTTTATTGTTTTATATCAGGGTGAACCTGGACCAAAAGGGGAGAAAGGAGATCGAGGAACAAGTGGAGAACCTGTAAGCACAGCCAAATGTTTCCTCAGTTGGCTTTGAACTTTAGCAAGGAGAGGACATGAAAGTTCCCTGTTTTGGAGGGAGAGGGTGGGACATGCTCCTTCCATAGCTGGGATGCTTCTCTCATCAGGCCACAGTCGGCGTTTGGCTTTATGCTCACTGTAGAGAAAGCTACATGAGTACATGAATGTAAGCACCTCATTTATAGTTCCAGACCTTAGTAGCTTAGGAAAGAGGACTCTGGGGCTTGATAGGCAGAGCCTGGGTGTCAGTAAGGATGTACAGGATTTATTTAGGGGTTTTGTAGAGAAAGCTACATGAGTACATGAATGTAAGCACCTCATTTATAGCTCCGGACCTTAGTAACTTAGAAAAGAGGACTCTGGGGCTTGATAGGCAGAGCCTGGGTGTCAGTAAGGATGCACAGGATTTATTAAGGGGTTTTGAAGTGATGTAGCCCAGCATTTGGCTACTTTAGTTGTATTCTGTATTCTTTTGTTCTGAATTGAGTCTCCAGGAGAAACAATCCTGTGCAGTCACAGCCTTTTGACAGCCACCTTTCCTTCTCTCAGTGGGAGGAAGGAGAGACATCTCCTTCAGCTCAGGAGAGGAAAGGAGCAGTTTCCTTCAGTTCCTTCACCTTCCTCCCTCTGTTTTTTTTCAGGGATTACCTGGGATTCCAGGTGAAAAAGGTGCCCCAGGACCTGCAGGAGCAGAGGTAAGAGGGCCCAGCCTTGAAGAAAACCTTTGACATGATCAGAGAGGGGTCCCTTCAAGGTCTGTATCACTGTAAGTAGTTCTTCCCCCATACATCAACAGCCCATTTCTCCTTCCTCATTGTTGTAAGTTCAAGAACTTCTGTATTTACTTATGCTGGACATCAGGACAACATGAGAAAAATCAAAGCAGACACATAACATCTCTGTAGGAGGATCAATATTGCCTGAGAGACTTCTTCCAACTTTGGTACTCTTCAAGAGTGTATCTTTGTATTAATTCCACCAAACCACAGGTCTCAGATAAGTTACTGCAGCACATTACCAAAACATTGCAGAGCATCCAGATTCAACAGCAGCCCATTTGACCTTGAACACACTTGAATGCATTATGGCTCATGTGAAATGGTTTTATAGTCTCAGTCATCTTCTGAGAACCTCTTGCCTTGCACATATTGCCAGTTATCACTGAAGTGCATTTTCATGTCACCATGGGTAGGTGTTCACTCTGCCACCACATGTGCATATATGACGGCCCAAGCCATATAATTAACCATTACTTTGGCATCAACAGCTTAAAGATGTTAACAGAAGTCTTAGCATTATGGAAAAAACAGTAATACTATGCAAGTTTTAACTGACATCTGCTATTCATCTGTCCTGCCAAAATCCTGAAGAAAGAGCTACACGGTCCATAGGACTAGAACAAACCCTCTGTACTGGGATCTATTTTGACCATTTCTAAATAACTGTTGTTTATATTTGAGAACTGCAGGCAAAACAACTGTCTTTGTGAAGGGAGACCATCAGAGTTGATCTGGAAATGAAATCACTGGTAGGCCTGAGGATAGGAAAGAGTCTCACCCAGATGAATGCCTGCAAGTGTCAGCATCCTGTGCTGTGAAACAGCCTCCCAGCTGATCAGTCATTAGCAATTCTTCTTATGTCTAAGGGGTTTATTTTTGTATTTCATTTTCTCTCTGCACACAGGACTGGGAGCCATTTCTTCAGCTGTTAAACTCTGTGAATTGATTAATGAAAACCATTGCCTACTGCACATTGTTTTCATCTGGCAGGCAGTTCTGTCCCATCTCTAATCAGCTCCTATCTCTCTTGTTCCACGTAGGGCACAAAGGGGCAGAAAGGAGCCCGAGGAGAAACCGGAGCCCCTGGAGAGACTGTAAGTAACTGCATCTTTCCCTGACATAACACACCTGAAGGGACATTGAAGTCAATACATTGCAGATCTGCAGTCCCCAGCTGCACATCCTAAGCTGCAGCTGGAAGAGTCACTGCTTGTGGGCAAACAGGCGCAGCTGCACCAAACAGATCGATGCCCCAGTCAGCCAAGCTCTAAACTGTGAATCTTCTGTTGGCCAAGTCTTTTTCTCTCTTACAAGATGCGCAGGGTGAGGTGCCTGCAGAGCACTGGGGTATTAGACAAGCCCAGGCAGCCAGCTGGTGCAGGGAGCTCTCAGCAGCAGCCTGAGTTAGGTTTTGACTATGGATGGGTTTAGGCTTCTGAGTCAATTCTGCTTTCTTTAATACAGGCCCATCACCAGAGGAATCATCACATAGTGTTTTTTGAGGCATGTGTTGTAGGGACTGCTGCTATCGTCTGACTGTGTGCTAAAGAACAGCAAAGTCCTGTTTTACTGTTGTAACAGCGTCTAAGCCCTTTGCAGCTGAATAAAAGGTCACGTACTTTCTTTGCAAGCAGAGAAAGAGACTGAAGTATTTGAAATAATGACCGAGAGAGAGGATGATTCTGGGAGAATAGGAATAGGAAACACGAAAATCTCTTCTTCCACCTTTTTGTTCATGGCTTTCTTTCTTTGGCTTTTTAAGACATTGCCTTTAGCAGTGCTCTGACTCTAAGCTCTGCATTGCCCACTTCCAGCTCCCTTTCACTCTTGGCTGAAGGATTTCCTAGTCCCCCTTCCACCAAAATTGACCATTTCTTTGTGTAAGCTGATGGCTCGGAGGATGCTGATGATATGGAAATGCAGGTACATGCAGGCACATCCTTTCACAGACTGCTCCTGCTCCAAATGTTTTTACTGCTCATAAGAATGTGACTGTAAATAACAAAGAAATAAGGAAACCTTTAATTGTCATTTAGTGACCCAAAAGCAAAGATAGATGTTCACTATATGAAGAGCTGTGCTGTGGAAGAATTTCATCATCTCCCAACTGTTCGTATTATCCTACAGTATACTGCTGCCCAGCCCTTCCAGTAAAAGTATTTCTGTGTACTCCAAGTCAGATAGATTGTTTCAGTCTGCTGGTGCAAATGGTTTTAGATTGTCTGGTTTAGCCCTAAATGGATTAGGTGTCCTAGTAGAAACTCTTTTCCTTGCAAAGCTGTGATGAGAGGTGAACCCTGGTCGCTGCAGGGTGTCAAATAACTGCAGAGGTAGCAACTTCAACTTATATGGTCAAGTATATAGGAAAATGTCTAAATATAACCTGGTAACCCCAAACATGCATCTCTATGGGGACATAAATCCTCAAATATAAGTCCTCTCATGTCCCCCTTGCATTCTGGAGACATACATGGGCTTTCTCCACCACTTGCAGACAGAAAAGCCCTGCAATTTTGAAATACATATGGTTTGTGCTGTTCATCTATTTAGTGTAAATGAGTGTTTTCAGGTACTGTTCCCTAGAGGAGGAAAAGGTAGAATTGTCAACAAAGCATATTTTGTTGACCTAGATTTATGTTTTAATGCTAAATCAACATACTTTCCTCCATTCTTCTGATGTTTCAGGACCAGACTTCTCTTCCTTTCGGCTAGATTTAGGATTTATTTTGATGGAAGGTAATTTTAAGCTCCCAAAGAGAGTCTTCATCCATTTTGCATTGTTTTATGCTGCTTTACAGCCCAAGGTATTTCACAAAAATGCTGTGTTTTGCTTTGTGCTTGTGCAACACCTTGTCTGACATAAACTCCAGTCTCACGTGGAACATCTTGTTCCCGTGTCCCTACCCATGTCAGGGGGTTGGAACTGGATGATCTTAAGGTCCTTTCCAACCCAAAGCATTCTGTGTTTCTATGATTCTCTGATGGTACAAGTTGTGAATTACACATACAATTCATTTTCTTAACACAGGGTGTGACTGGACCAGCAGGACCCCCGGGTCCAAGAGGCTTACCAGGAAATGTGGTACGTATGTATCAGTGTATTTGATTTCCCATTTGTGCCCTTATTTCTTTATCAAGTATATTTAGTTTTCCCTTCCACAGGGTTTATTATCAGGTTCAAAAGGCTGTGTTTCATTACACTGTTTTTATGGTTGAATTGAAATGAGACACCTGGGAATGGTGTATCCATGAAACATATTCTCATACTCATTTGTGTAGATGAGGCCCCCAGTGATAGGCCTTAGTGGTGGTCTTGGCAGTCTTGGGGTAATGGTTGGACTTGATGATCTTAAAGGTCTTTTCCATCCTAGCTGATTCTGTGATTCTGTGTAACAAGAGGGAGGCATGGAGCTGCTTCATTCCTCACCAAATGGTTAAAAGTGATTTTTGCTGGCAGGTCTTCAAGAGAAAAGTTGCAATATTTATTGTCTTGGGTTTGTTTCCTTTGCCTTATTTTCTTTTTTCCTGTCCTTTTGAAAATGTGACTTCTTGATATAAAAATTGCATGGTAAACATCCATTTTTATTATGAAAGCATGTAAGTATTTGGTCCTGCAATCAAAACCTTGAAATCGATACGGTGTCCTTACCTCAGTAAGTGATCGTCATCATTGCTAAGTTGATAGAGCTTTTCATCTCTGCAAAAAAATCTTTGGACTAATCTACTCACTGTTCACCAGTGTAATTTTCTTTCTAGTACCTGGGGGTTTTCTTTGTTTACATGCAAGTAAGTGAAAAACAGCAGTTAGACCCCATCTTCTAATGTATTCAGGCACAGTGGTTTAGCACAAAGGGCTCCTTAAGGCAGAGTTTATTGCCTGGGCAATACAAGAAATCTTAAATTGCCTTTCTGCTAATTACGATAAATTTGATTGTATTCATACAGTGATTAAATTTCAATCTGAAAGATGATATTGAAAGTGAAGACCATTTTCAATTTCATATTCATTTAAGCAAACTTCTATACCAGGGATCCCAATATATTATCTGTAAAAGCTAATATAGCTGGAAATAATCTTTACTGGTACAGAAAGGAAAATAATTATTGCATCCATCCTGAAGAGGTGTTTTGCTGACAGGCAGGGTATGCAAAAAAGCAGCCATACACTAGCTGTATAACATGCGTAGTTTATTGAACCAAGCATACTAACATACTAAAGCAAACAAGCACTCTAAGGCAAATTGGGTATATATCGATATATAGTAAATAAGTACAATAAAGCAAATCAGATATATATGTATCAGTAAAGTACAGAGGGAAATTAGCAATGCTTCAAATCATTACTGTGTAGAAAGAACAGAGGTTAAGAAGAAATGCATCACCAATCACCACTGAATCATCATCCAGGCCCACAGTTCCAGCTAGGAAGCCCCATTGCAGCCGATGCCAGGAGTCTCGGGTGACTGGGAAAGTTCCTACGTGATGCATCCACCCATAGGTGAGGCCTCGGAATCAGCTACAAGGGGGTCCTGCTTTTATACCTGTAGAAAAACAATTGCCTTTATGCCATCTCTATAGGTGTTTACTCATGGGGCCATGCAGTGTCTCATGATCTCACTGTTGTCACAAGGAACACAGACATATATACTCTCCTGAATACACCGTGACAAAGCCTATACTTTGTTATGTCTCTGAGTCATGAGTGGGAATCAACTCTCAGCTGGGGTCCCATACGTTACAGGAGGTCAGTCCAATTGCACTGGTGCCAGGACATCATTTCACATCTTAAAATGGAGTAACACTCCATACTGTGTTTTGGTGAGTTAAGAAGTTACAGGATTTAATTTAAAGATCTACATCATCTATAATTTTGACAAGGAATCCTTTGAGATTTGCCAGGCTGTGAAAAGGATTAAAAACTGAAATAGAGGTAAAATGAAATAGCTGTTTTACAATGTATAGTTTTGGAAAGCAGTAACCATAAGAAAAACACTATTGTGAGACTTTGGGCATGTCTGATACAGAGGTTTTGATTGGGAGTTTGTTGGTAATGGATTAGGAGCTGCTGAGGATTTCATGGAGTGAAAAAAATGTGGTTATAGGTAGAAGGAGAATGCACAAATCTGGGATTAGCTCAATTTCTGCTTTTGCTTTTCAGTTCCTTTTTATACTGAAAATAAAAAAAAAAACAACCCTTTAAGGACTTGGTACACAGCTTTTCTGTGGTATTCTCTGGATTACAGGTTGCCTGTACTGGAAAATGTAAAACTGATATTAATCCTATCAGGTGTACTAACCCCACAGGTCAATTCAGTTGCTTTAGCATCAAATACTGCCTAAAAAGAAAGTTTTAAGCTTTAAAGTTCTTTTCTCTCCAGGGTGTGCCTGGACACCCAGGGCTACCAGGAAAAGAAGGAGAAAAAGGGGAAAAGGTGAGTTTGTTCTTTCATTAATTACTTTGTTTGCTTCTTGGGCATTATCCTCTGATTCTGTGATTTTAAGTAGCCTGCAAGAGAAGCAGTCCGGACTGGGAAATTATGTTAGTGGATGGTTAAGCCACATGGGCTCATTAGATCATTTTGTCTGACCTCCTCTATTACACATGCTATAGAGTTTTCACCCTGCTGCAGCTTTATAATTTACTTAATAAAACCACTGAGATGCAACTGGATTTAGTGATAAAACCACTGAGATGCAACTGGATTTAGTGAAGCCACTGCTGCACATTTTGTAATGGTGATCTGCTGTTTTCATCACCTGATAGGAGCAGGGGTTTGGTGATTTAAATACCTCCTGTTCATCACTGTAACCCAAAGCTGGAAGAAAAACTTGGTTTTATGGTTAGGAAACTGAGATTTCTGCTTTCCTGATAAGCTGTTGTAACTGAATCATTAGTTTAACTTTCTAATGCATCCTTTCTTACTTTTTGCCTGCCTAGCCTAACTGTTATGTCACACCTCATAGCTAGACAATGAGCTTTATGAGGTCAGGGGTTTGTCATTTACTTATACATTGCAGAGCCCAGCATGCTGGTGTCCTGACCCTTGTTTGCTGGTATAGGAATGGTTAATCAGAAATACAGCCCCGTAATGCATACTTAAGGAGTTTAAAAGGGGATGAATCCCAGCCTATTAAGTCAAATCATCTTCCAGATTACTGAGATCTACCACAGAGTCATGTGTGGACCAAGGGCTCTCTCATATACTGTGGTGGATAGAGTCATGTGCTTTGCTCACAAGAAATAGCAATATATTTTATTGATATAAGACAGCAAGCTAACAAAGTTCAGTGATAAATGTGATGGTGGTTTAACAAGATTTGATGACAAGTTTATTTACTGCATAGAGAGCAGTGTCAAACAAAACTGTCAGGGAGACCTTGCCACTGAGTTATGAGGTTCAGAAAGGATCCTCTTGCATCCTTAACTCCTCAGAGGAGCAACCTTGAGAGGTGTTCCTACTCAGGGGGAGATCTTGGCATGCAGCCCGGTGCTGTGCAGGAATGAATTCTGGGCTGCCCACTATCTATAGAGTAAAATGATTGCCATATTTGCATATCAGTTTCAGATGTTAGTTTCTTCCAAATTTAGCTGGAGTCAGACATTGACAAGCACTTGGTTAGGTGGGTGCGTTTTTCAAATGAGCCCTTGGCTATTGTATTGTTATCTCTCTCCACTTTCAGCTGGATGCACCCCTTACAATTGCCATTGGTGGTTATCATTTAAGCAGGGTTATAGGATATAACCCTGCTTTGCAGTGGGGGGAAGCACACTGTCACATATAGCTCATTCCTCAAGCATTTTGAAGTCTTGTTTTACTTTCCTTAAGGAAAACTACTCATGCCTTGAGATTACTGTAGGAAAAGACTTCCTGTAAAACAGGCTTCCTATGATGCCAAGAAAAATTCAGATGAGAAGGCCTGAAAAACGTGTATATTTCAGTCCCAGTGAAAGACCTGAATGATTTATGTATGCTACTAAGAGTTTTGCTGAATTGTCTTCTACAGGGTGATCCTGGAAAAGAAGGAAAAATGGGTTTACCTGGTCCAGCTGGTGAGCCAGGGCGTGCTGGGGAGCCAGGTTTGCCTGGTAAGGGTAAAGATGGAGAGCAGGTAAGTACTGCTGGCAAGCTTTGTGCTTGAGTAGTATGCAATAGATAAGCATGACTTCTGCAGAGCACTGAATTTGTGATAGTGTTTGCTTGCATTGTCACAAGTCATCACAGGCTGTCTACCTGAAGATACAAAGGGCCTGGCTGTGCAAAAATGCTGCAGATCACAAACGTACATCCAAAAAGGCAGAAAGAATTGAAGCTGTATTTCTGAACGTTAAATCTCCTTTAGTGTGCTATGGTGACCATTGAAAATGGAGACCTCCACAAGGAGTAGCCGTTGTCTTTGGGACCAGTAAAGATCAGCTTGATAGGCAGTTCCCTAAAATCATCTAATTCTAGCCGAGTTAGCAGATTATTTAATTTGCTTACATGTTATCAGTAAAATGTCAGCAGGACAGTATGATATAAGGAGGGTGTTGGTGGGGATGCTTTTTGCCTTGACTGTGTCGAAGTCCAGGCTCCTGTTTGGCTTCATGATAACTGTTTTCTGGTTTTGATTCTGTCACTTTAGGGGCAAAGAGGCCCTCCAGGCTTGCCAGGACCCTTTGGACACAAGGTGAGCATGGACTTTATTGTGGACTGGCTCTCTCAATTGCTGGAACTGAAGAAAAAAATATGGTGAAAACATGTCCTGTTTTCACAGGAAAATAAGAATTTGCGAAGCTGCCGCTCAAAAGTGCACTTCCAGCCTTTTAGGAAGTTCTTTTCTTTATTAAAGATTTCTTTATTAATGTAGATGTAAGATCATTAAGATATGAATTAGCTGTGTTCACTATCCACATTTAAAAATCCTTCCAGCATTATATGGGTTCAACACAGACTAAGGGCTCAATGCACACTTTTTAAGGGAAACTGTGACTGGAGACCTCTAATCCACACAGCTAGAGAGACATTGCGTAGCTAAAGGATGATCTACTCTTGAGACTGCCTGTCAGCTCCATAAAGAGCACCCCTCCATAGCACTCATCTGTCTCCAAGGAAGATGTGAATTGTTTTCCAATGGGACCAGATAGTCCTGGATTGCCCTCATGTTTTGTAGTTAAGGCAAAGACTACATAGTTGATGATGTTAATGACACTAATTTTTCCAGCTGAAAGTGATCTTTATTCCCTTATAAATACACAGCAAATAGAGAAAGGAATAGAACAGCAAAAACCTTTGCTGCTGGGAGTATCTGGTTTCTGCTTGAACCTTCAATCAGACACGTTAGAAATTCTCCTCTTTGAAATGACTGTGTCCTCATCTGGATTGGAAGAAGAATGGGATATAGAAACTGATTCTATAAATGATATTAATAGGAATATTGCAGTAGGAGATTAGCTCCATTGTGGTCCTGTATATTTGAAATAATCAGACTGCTATAAAATGCTTTTATTTTGCTGCATTCTGTATAAATGCATTGTAGTCAGTTGTATATATCTTTTGAGAGTTCAGAACACACACACACAATAATAGGCTGAGAATTAACATTAAAGTCAGAAAAAAAAACACTTAAAACAACCTCATGAAATACCTTATTCAATATCGACACAAGATAGAAGGAATCTTAATTGTGCATGGGGAAATGCTATTGAACTTTTTGTATTGAAATTATGTTCTTCAATAAAATAGAGCAAAAGAATCTGCTGGAGTGTTTGAAGTAATCAGAATACATTTTCTTTCACCCTCCTTGCAGCATTGTTTCTTTGTAATATAAGATTAGTTTAAGAAGAAATAAAGAAAAGGAAAAAATAGGAAGTATTACAGACTGAACTTTGGGTGGACAGAATCCATGGGTAACGATTTTTCTATCATGCTTCTATATAATTGGAAATAGCATAACAATAAATAACCTGAATAAGATTCATTGTTATAAATCTACTGCCAACATGAGACCAAATCTCACAACTGCAATACAGTCCACAAAAATCTTACTTGATTACAAGAGAACAGACTTCAAATTTAAGTATTGCAACTGAATTCTTTCTTAGCCCTCCAACTACGATGTCCTTTAAACAGTGCCAAGTAGTTTTCTGTCTCTGCAGGTTTTACTATTGAAAATCCTTCTTTCTAGAAAGGAGTTCTCTCCTTTTGCAGCATAGTCCTCTGGAGACAATGGTAGAACTGCTGATTATTTTTTTTACCCCCAGAACTGATCATACACTTCTGTGGGCAGGCCTATGTTGGTAAAAGAAAGGAGACCATTAAGATGTAACCAAACATTCCTAATTCTTTCTTCCATGGATAAATTTTTGGCACTGGTGAGGCCACACCTAGAATACAAGAGAGACATTGAGGTGCTGGAGCTGGTCCAGAGAATGGGAACAGAGCTGGTGCAGGGCCTGGAGCACAAGTGTGATGGGGAATGGCTGAGGGACCTGGGGGGGGGTTAGTGTGGAGAAGAGAAGGCTCAGGGGGGACTTTATTACTCCCTACAACTGCCTGAGAGGAGATTGTAGTGAGGTGGGGTCAGTAACAAGTGATAGGACACAAGGAAATAACCTCAAACTGCATCAGGGGACATTTAGACCAGAGATTATGAACAATTTCTTCCCCAAAAGGATGATTATAACAGGCTGCCCAGGCCAGTGGTGGAATCACTGTCCCTAGATAGGCGTGTAGATGTGGCCCTCAGTGACATGAGTTACTGGTGTACTTGGCAGTCCTGGGGTAAAGGTTGGACTTAATGATCTTAAAGGTCTTTTTCAACCTAGTTGATTTTATGATTCTAAATATTAAGCAGTGTTTGCAGGTTAGCCATCTACCACTGAAAGAAAGAAAAGCACAGTATGGTACTTAGATTTTCCCCAGGCTGAGGAAGGTACCCAATAGTCTGCAGGCAGAGGGAATTGTAGGAAATTGGATGTTATGCACTAAAATAAAATACTTGTAGAGGTTGTGTTCCCACTCTGTTATGTGATGTGGCACACACTGACATTGAGTGCTCACAGAGGTGGTCTGGAGGTCTGTAAAGGGAGGGGGCAATTTTCTTGGCATGATATGACAGTAACTGTCACATGTTTTCTGTCACCATATCGCCATGCTGCCATAACCTGATATGGTTCCTCTGTGGGCAGGATCAGGTCAGGATGTATCAGTGTTATGTTTGTTGAGGAACTTGACTGCATTTCAGTACTTAAAATAGGCCTATAAGAAAGATGGGGAGAGACCTTTTAGCAGGGTCTGTTGTGATAGGATGAGGGGTGATGGTTTTAGATGAGGGGTGATGGTTTGAAACTAAAAGAGTGGAGATTCAAGCTATATGTAATGAAAAAAAAAATCTTTACAATAGGGGTGGTAAAACACTTGCACGGGTTGCCCAAAGAGGAAGTGGATGTGCCATCCCTGAAGACATTCAAGTCCAGGCTGGATGTGACTCTGGGCAACCTGATCTACATGAAGATGTCCATGCTCATTGCAGGGGGTTGGACTAGATGAACTTTGAAGGTCCGCCAAACTATTCTGTGGTTCTATGTGTTCCCAACAGTGCACAAAGCTCTTAACTCCTTTCTTTGTTTCAGGGTGAGAGGGGACCTCCCGGCCTCCCTGGACAGCCAGGAGACAGAGGTGCTCCAGGAGTTGGGCTGGCTGGACCCCCTGTAAGTACCAGGTCCTGCTGCAATCTGTATCAAGGCAAGAACTTATCTATCACCACCTCGGGAACACGTTGCCTGTGCTCAGCTGTGCTAAGAGCATGTTTGACATTTCACCCTTTGAAGATGCAAATGGCAAACTAGTTGAGAAGCTGCCATTTGTGGCTCAGATGTCTACACGTCTGCTGTGAGAGCTCTTGATGCGTTCATATTTGGTTGAAAGGCAGAAAAGTGCTATAGGAGCAATTGATATCACTGGCTGTTACTCCTGACTTTTCTGTGTCATCTTGACACATTGGCTGTGGATGTGAGTTGAGATCTGTGCTGAGCCAGCAGGTCTGGTCTACTGGGCAGACAGAACCTTGCTGTCACCTTATTTGAAATGATGAGTGTGACACACATGCCCACATCAGTGACATAGTCAGCACTGATGGGGAAATACAAGATCTGGTTGCTTAAACTGCTGCATTCCAAGAGGCCCAGGGTCCCCATAATTTCCCCCAAAACATCCAGATCTGGCCTCATCTCTGGTCCCTCTATCTGGGAGTCTGCTATGGAAAGTTTGGATTTTCATATTGCTGGGCTTTGATCACTTCAATTCTTATCATGTACAACTCCTTTTGAGATGAGGGGGGGTTGGGAGTGCTCTGACTCTGAGCCCTGCTCAGAGACCTCCAGATGTGCTCTGAATTTGCAAGTGAGATGTTTAGGAGGAATCAAACTTTATTCATAGCTGTAACTGTTAGGTAGTATCTGAGACCTTGCATTCTTTCGCAACCCCTTGTACACACCATGATACTGTACCAATCACAGTCAATGTTTTCATGCTCTGGTTATCTAGATACAAGTTTCCCAATTAGTACAGGAAATTACCTTTAAAATGATGTCATATTGCTGTGTAATCCTGGTTGACAAATCTAGTTTTCTGAGCTAGGTTTCCACTTCATATTTGCTTTTACCAAGCTAAATACTATATCAAGTAAAGCAGACCGGGTCAGTCATGTTTTGCATTATGACTCTATCATGGCCTTCATGGTCCTCACAGTTACCAATGACTGAAGATTTGCTGAGTGCTATTTGTTATGATTTATCTAAGGAGCAGTGATGTTCTTGCATTTCTGAATGTTCAGTCATTAATATTAAAAAGAGATTAGCAAATGAGTATTTGGCTTGTTTGAAAGTCACTAGCTTGTGAGCTGCTTTTAATTACTGGTTCTCACATTCAGTGCAGGGGTAGATGAGTTCACTTCTGCATCCTGATGTACACTAGATGACAAAGTTATTCTTCATTAGGGCCTAAGCATCTGCTCATTTATGAACATGAATGACTAAGAATTTGATACCAAATATAAATATTGCTTGTGTCACACCAGAAGGTCACCTTTTTTGTGAGTCATCATTGTTTGACCACTTTTAGGGTAAGTAGCCACCTCCACATCACACTTTCCTGATCGATTTGTCTTTATTTATGTAATCTGCTTCCCTAAATACATTTTTCAACAGCTATTACGGTGGTTTTCTCCACTGTAGATTCAACATAACCTCAACTCCACTGCAAAGAGTCTGGAATCTGGAAACCATTGTATAACCTTGAATATATCAGGCTTTAACAAAGACTGAGTCCCATAGAAGAAAAGGAGTAAAGTCAGTAGAGCTGCTTCAGTGCATATCACACACTGAATTAAAGGTGTCAGCCTGTACCCTTTTTAGCAATGTGGAAACATTGTGTGTATAATACTTTCAGCTGCAGAGCTGAGAGGCAGCAACTCTTTTTAATTAGAGTTCTCGCCCTGTTTCCTCCTGTGCCCTTTAACTCCTCTTGGGCTTTGCTCCTGCACAGAAGGTACATACAGATGATGATTTTCTTACTTTGTCTGCTAAAGTATTCAGCTGCATAACACTGAGCCATAAACTGAGTATTAGCAGAGTGTGTTCTTCCCTCTGAACCAGAAGAAGAGAAATAGGGTGAATTCATATGCTTATGCTGAAGCTGCCTAATGGAGGTGTGCGCTGCGTAAGTAAAAGGGTTTTGCTCTTGTTCTGCCTTGCCCTGTTCATATTACTATGGGTTCAGAATTACGTATTTAGTCTTTGCTTAAGCAGAGCATTAAGGTGTCTTGCATGGAGGACTGTATGAGGATTAGTGAATTAATGTGCCTGAAATAGAAACCAAAGGTTGAAAAGTCTTGGTGTGAGACAATTTATTCAAACACAAAGCCAGAGATGTGAAGTCAAGCCTTTTTTTTGGGTGTATTTGACTCATCCATGCTGGATATGGATATTCCATCACTTCTGTGTTGTCCCTATAGAAGTGGATACCTTCTAGTGGCCCACTCTACTTGGCTACACCTTTTTAAATCACATCCCCAACAAAAAGCATATGCAGGTCCACTGCACTCCCTACTTTGACCTTATTTAAGGGCACAAAGGTCCTGTGGGATGCTTTGCCTTTTGTTAGAGGTCACAGATTACAGTGGTCTTCAGGACCTGGGGGAACTGGCCTGTCCCAGCCCAACAGATGTGAAGGTGCTGTGTTTCTACATCCTCAGGTCCAGCCAGTAGTGCTGCTAAGCACGTAGTGTCAATGGGCATGTGCACATGCAATGCACACACATAAGTGTGCAGCTACGCAGACCAAAGCAGAGGACAATGCTTTATGAACACTCACATAAACCTAAACAGCACTCTCAGAAACATGATCAAGAATGTCTCAATCACTCTTCTCCTCTCTGGCTGATGAGGTTTGAAGGCCACTGTTGGGATATATAAAAATGAAATGTGGATCTTTCCAGCAGCTGGTCCTGGACACCTACTTTCCCAGTACTCAGGCCTCTGCATCCTAATGTCCTCCAGCTGCTGACACCCAGACCTCTTGTCCTTGCCGGTTCATGTGGTTTCAGGTCCACTAATATTCAACGACCCAGACTCGGATTCCTGATCTCACCCATGCCCAAGCATGTTACAAACAGGATTTAATGTGAATATAGTAAATGGGGTTACATCAGGCTGGTGGCCAGTCACTGGTGGGGTTCCCCAGGGCTCAAGGAGGGTAGTGTAGGAGGAGGTGCTGTTCTTCTCTCTCTGGTGATCAGCCATAGGCTGTGAAAAAATCAAATGAAGCTGCATCAGGGGAAGTTCAGATTAGACACTGGGAAAAGGTTCTTCACTGAAAGGGCAGCCAGTCACCCTAGGGAAGTGGTCACAGCACCAAGCCTGTCAGAGTTCAAGGACCGTCTGAATGATGCTCTTAGTCATATGGTTTAGATTTAGGCAGTCCTGCAAGGAGCAGGGAGTTGGACACAATGATCCTTGTGGGTCCCTTCCAACTTCAGATATTCTATGTCTGCGGTGATTTAGTACAGGGCTCGGGAGGACAAGTACCATGTTAGCGTACAGCTGACCCCTCTGGTCCCTTTTTCTCTCTTTCTTTCTCAGTCTGCCTTTGACATTCCTTTAAACATCCTGTTGTGAGTATTCTACACCCCAACAATGTCTATGTGAGCAGCCTGTCAGACTTTCTCTTTTTCCTCACTACTCCAATTTTATGTTGGTGCTTCAGGACCCAGCCTCATCAGCACTTTCAGTGTTTTGATATCTGTGTCTTTTCTGTTTGCAGGGCCCAGTGGGACCTCCAGGAGACAAAGGGTCATTGGTACAGTATGTCTTTCTAACTACACCCAGATTTTGTGGGGAAGGGACAACCCCACTAATTGCATTTCTGCCTGTTATTTGATGAAGGCATGGTTAGTTTCTCCTTGCCCAAGGATGGTAGGCTCACAGTTTGCGTGACCCTTAAAAGGACTTCTCTTGTGCATTAGCAACTACTTGTCTGCTATATTGAGTTGTGAGAAAGAGCTGACTGGGACTCTTGGCATGGTGACAACTTTTCCTTGCCTTTAATAGTCCTGCAAAAAGAAAGAATGAGTTTAACCCTTAATAACTACTGCTGTCCTTACTGTTCTCTCCCTACAAGGGTCCCCGCGGTGTACCTGGTATCCCTGGACCACAGGGCCCGCCTGGCCAGGATGTAAGTAAACTAAAAGTGTAAGTGCTCAAGAAATCTGACAATGCTCAAATCTAATTTCTTATTAGAAAATCTAATTTCCCTAAAAATTGAGCTCCTACTCAACTGCAGCCATTGAGCGTTACTAGGATGGTAGAAGGGAGATGATTCACATAAGCTCTTACAAGTTGGAATGTCAGGGAGAAAAGCAGTTAGGCTAAGGAGGGTTGTCTCAAGGAAAGTGGTGATCTTTACCAGTGAACCACTTTTAAATGACACTAGAGATGGGACTTGGCAGCATACACTGGGGAACAATCCCACACTGGGAAAGGTTAAAATTTAAGCTGTCTAGGAACTTCTTGGAAGCTGCTAAGTAACCTATAATATTTCTATGAAAACTGGGCCACAGCTGTTAAAAAACTCCGTGTGAGTTCATTTTGCTGCTGCAACTGTGCACGAGAACTGACATTTTAACCTCTTGGTGCATTGTTCTCACTTGTGCCATCTCAGTGGGTGAGTCATGGAGCTGAGGGATATAGAGAAACATGGCAGGCACCCAGCTGGAAAGTTGACCCGTCTCGCTGCTTGGTTTTGTCGCAGTGTGGAATCAAAAAGAGGAGTGTTTTAAACTCTGCTGGTCAGCCAGCTCTGTGATGTGGAAACCAGTCCTGGATTAAAACCAACGAGGAGGCTCTGAAGAGTTTGAAAGGCTTGCTCTTTGGATTTGTGCCTGTTGAGGGATTGCTGTAGGAAGGAGGCAGTGGGCTTTTGTAGTTTTTCTCAGAGCTTCTTTGTGATGCTGTCATGCATCATAACACATCATTACAAGGAGTAATGGGCACAAACAAAAGCAGGAAAAGTTCAGGTTTCACAGTAAAGATGTTCTTTACTGTGAGGGTGGTGAGACACTGACACAGGTTGCCCAAAGAAGTGGTAAATGCTCCATCCCTGGCAGTGTTCAAAGCCAGATTGAACAGAGCCTTGGGCTACATGGTCTAGTGTAAGGCATTCCTGCTCATGACAAGGGATTGGAACTGGACGATCTTCAGGTCCTTTCCAACCCAAGGCATTCTATGATTCTATGTCTGAAATGGTATCAGTTTTCACAAAGTCCATGCAAAGTGCTTTTGAGCCCTAGTGTTGCTTTAATGATGTACATCAGCTGCCTTGAAGGGTGTACATTCCCATGGGATGGATAGCCTTTCGCCCTGAATGTCTGGAGAAGAAGGCCTAGTTTTCTTCCCACTTACTTTATCACAATACAAATTATTACGGCCAGAGTATCCCTGGCCATAATATCTTCCTGTGATAGCAGAAATGGTTCTTTGCCTTCATCACGCTGTGTCCCTGAGCAGCCACAGGTTCAGGATTGATTGTGTCCTGCTGACTGCCTCTAGATCTTTACTTTGTCTCAGATGTCTGATATTTTCAATAAAGCCATTTTAAACAGGAGCTGCAATAGATGGGTTTAGTACAACTGTATTGTGTGAGAAGAGTGACAGAGCCAGCTATTGTGAGTCCCTTTCTGGGTCTACTCAGATCAGCATTAGCTGGTCAGCTCTTGGAGAAGCAGTATTACAGTCTTTACATCTCTTCCTTTCCCTGCAGAAATTACCCAAACAGAACCATTCCTTATGGTACTGATAAAATGCATCCTTTATTACGCCATCTGTTTTAATTGCACTCAATATGGGCTTTAGGAGCTCTCTGTATCCTGACTGATAGCCTGTTAAGCAATTCTGCCTGCATTTCAGGAAGTGTAAATGCAGCTACAGGGCACATTCCAACATTCCTTGATGTAACAGCAGGGATACCTACTTTGACAAGATCGTGCATTTGCAGTTTCCTGATCTCCACTTTCATTTATGACTAGTACAAAGGATTTTTTGTTCTGCTTTTGCACTCTTGTGTATCAATGTAGTGTTCCTGTATTCTTTGAAGCATGCCCATTTTTGTACTCTGTTGTATTTAAACAGTATGTCATCAGGAAAGCTTCAATTTGAATTGCTAATATGAATTTACCATGCAACTCCCAAGCCATTCAGTGGTAATAGCTTCAATTACTTGCCTTGGTGTCTTATTTTTTGCTGTAGCCTTTGCAACTATATTCCATTTAATTTTTTCGTGGGCCTGAATAGCAGACACGTCTAAGAGTATCTGGTGAGTCCGCAACTGGAAAAAAAAGAGCAGAGAATAACCTAATGTATGTAAATGTGATTTAAAAGATAGTTAAGAAAGGATTAATAAGAAGATATGAAAGGATCATAGAGATCAGGTGGACGGCTCAGCCAGACAATTGCACTGACCAGCCCCTTTTACAGACAGACAGGGCAATGAGATCTTGGAACAGGCTTCCCAGGGCAGTGATGGAATCACTGTCCCTAGATGTTTTCAAAAACCATGTAGATGAGGCCCTCAGTGACATGGTTTAGTGGTGGTCTTGACAGTCCTGGGGTAGTGGCTGGGCATGATGATGTAAAGGTTTTTTCCAGCCTAGTTGGTTCTATGATTCTGTGATTCTATAACATATTTACACAGCTCCTTTTATACCCTTGTCTGTCTACTCCCCTGCTTGTTCCTCACTGCTTCCTTTTCCTATGCATGTTCCCTCATGAATTTCTACATCTCTATCAATTCCTGCACCCCCTCCTAGTTCAGGAGCCCCCTGGTTTACAATCTTACCACGTGCTAGGTCCAGCTTGATCTTCATGGAAGTGCAGACTGTGGTTTCTTGACAGCTCATCCAATCAGTGTGAGTTGCAAGGTTTGTTTCTTGTTAGGTCTCTATCTTGGTTTATTTTGTTTCTGATTTCTTCCTTTTGCCTTCGTTTCCAAAGTGACAACATCCCGGATCAGATAACCTTGCTGGATTAAACCTCCTCACACTCTCAGATGTCTTCATCAATTAGTGTGACTGTCCAGCTTTGGTTCCCATCACTGCCTCCCTTATGTGTTGGTCAGGTTTCTGTCCCCGTATGTCCTTATTTATGGCTTCCTCCTCGTTTTCCCTTGTTGCATTGAAAAAGGTACCTCTAAAGGAGCAGACACTCTCTGGCCTTAAGCTTACACTGCACATTTTTGGGGAAGCATCCATTCTCCCCTTTCTGTCTGCTAGGAGATAAAATGGTTCTGTTCAACCTACCTATTTAATTCCCATAGATTAGAAAACAATCTGAATGAGACATTCTCCTGTCCTACTATTAGCAGTGAGTGCACAAATTTAATAGGCTCTTTCTGCATTTTGATTATGATCATTTTAATTAACATAAACTTTGAATTAATAATTTTTTAATTATGTTAATTATTTATAGCTAAGTTCCAGTGTTACCAAGAAGTTAATCTTCCCCTACATTTATTTTCATAATTACAAAAAACTTTGTGGATGCATAATTACCTCCATGAGAGCTGCAAAGCAGAGATTTCTATTCTGACATTGATTTTGCCATATAGTGAGAAGGATAGTTCCAAGAAGCCTTTGTGTTTGTTTTAGGGTACATACACCTCAAACTAGAGCACATTTTTTAAATCCCCTGTTGGCTTTTTATTCCTGGGACTTGCAACCTATTTTAGCTATTGCATTTCAAGCTTTATTTTCAGTCTCGTAACAGAACCACCCCACCATAAGCCTGTAGGACTGGTTTCCTTATGCGCTTTCTTTGATTTTCCCATACATCACTTACCTAAGCCTCAATTTTCAGCATGTCATCTGCACAGCTTCCATCAATCCCCAGTTAGAGACCATTCCTCTATGTCACATTTTGCAGAACTGTACATTATACCTCCTCACTCCTGCACTGGTTTGCTGTACCACTCACTGGATATTCTACATAATGCCAGCCACTGCTGGCTGCAAGCTCCTGAAAGTGTTCAAACTTTATGTGCCTTCCAACACTGGTTATTTGGATCCGTGCATGTTCCCTCATCACATCAGCAGCATTTCTTTTCAGTACCATGCATTATTTTTGGGTGGGCTCTCTGAAGTTCTTCTTTTATGGATTTTTTTTCTGGCTTTCTCTTTTCTAGTTTCCTCTGCTGTTAGTCAGCTTGTTAGGTGCAATTATACCCTCTGTGCCTTTCTTCTAGGACTTTCATTCTGCTCTGAACAATGTTTGCAGATTGCTCCCTGTTGTCATCCTTTTCTAACTCCAGAAATCTTTCCTCTACATTGGACTCTGTTTCCAGTTGGCTGTTCTCTGATAATGCAACATTCTGAAGTGCCATCATCCTACACCTGGTTTGTTCAATTCAATGTCCTGTCTTATTTGTAACCTGTTAAATACATCTCCAGATCGACAACATACAGTGTTCAAGAATATAGGTCCATCCTTTTTTGTCTCAAGGCAATCTGATACTATGTGGATATCACAGCTGTGCTTAAATCTTTCCCAGGATTTGAGTTTTAGTCACTCCCTTGTTTTCTCATAACTGAGAAGTCTTTTCTATATTCATCTTCAAATAGATTTTCTTTAAATGCTCAAATTCCACTGGTAGCACCATGTCATGTTTCAGATCCCTGAGCAGAAGGCTGTCAGAAGCCCTAATGTAGAAACAGTTTATTTGTAGCTACATGAATAGTCAGCGTGAAAGACATTTTTGAATTGTATGTTCTGTGTTGCTTTCTGACCCAGGATGATGTAGAGATATCACAGCCACTCCAGTCAATGAGCCGGCTTCATTTGGAGCTCGGCTCAGATGCCTCTGTACAAATGCCCATAGCATGGGGAACAGACAAGAGGAATTAGAGATGTGTGCACGTCTACAGGGGTATGATATAATAGGCATCACAGAAACATGGTGGGATGGCTCCTACGACTGGAGTGTTGGAATGGAAGGTTGCAGGCTCTTTAGGAAAGATAGGCCTGGCAAGCGGGGAGGGAGAGTTGTCCTTTATGTTAGGGATAGGCTGGAGAGTGTGGAACTCTGTCTGGGGACAGGTGAGCAGCCCACAGAGAGTTTGTGGGTCAGGGTTAAAGGGAACATAGCTATGGGAGACATTACTGTGGGGTCTGTTACAGACCGCCTGATCAAGGAGAACCTGTGGATGAAGCACTCCACAGACAGATAGGAAAAGCCTCACGCTCGCAGGCCCTTGTTCTCATGGGTGACTTCAACCACCCTGACATCTGTTTTAAGGACGGTACGGCCCGGCACAAGCAATCCAGGAGGTTCCTCGATTGTGTGGAAGACAACTTCCTTCTGCAAGTAACAGAGGAGCCGACAAGGAGAGGTGCCATGCTTGACCTCGTGCTCACTGACAGGGAAGGGCTCGTTGGAAATGTGATGCTCCAGGGCAGCCTTGGATGCAGCAATCATGAGATGCTCAAATTTGAGATCTTCAGGACAGTGAGAAGAGCGTGCAGCAAGCTCACTGCCCTGGACTTCAAAAGAGCAGACTTTGGTCTCTTCAGGAACCTGCTTTGAAAGGTTCCAGGACAGTGAGAAGAGCGCTGCAGCAAGCTCACTGCCCTGGACTTCTTATAATAAGAAGCAGACTTTGGTCTCTTCAGGAATTAAACCTGCTTACATAGCAAATCACTGTACTGGAGAGCAGAAGGCTGAGGTTCAAGACCAAATCTGACCAAAAATCTGAAGGCGTGCACAAGTCCACTGTAGGAGAGGAACGGGTTCAAGACCATCTTAAAAATCTGAACGTGCACAAGTCCATGGGTCCTGATGAGATCCATCCGCGGGTCCTGAAGGAGCTGGAGAATGAAGTTGCGAAGCCACTGGCCATCATATTTGAGAAATCATGGCAGTCAGGTGAAGTTCCTGACACCTGGAAAAAGGGAACTATAACCCCCATTTTCAAGAAGGGGAAAATGGATGACCCGGGGAATTACAAAGCAGTCAGTCTCACCTCTGTGCCTGGCAAAATCTTGGAGCAGATTCTCCTGGAAGGCATGCTAAGGCACATGAAAATCAACAAGGTGCTTGGTGACAGCCAGCATGGCTTCACTAAGGGGAAATCCTGCCTGACCTATTTGGTGGCCTTCTATGATGGGGCTACAGAGCTGAGGGACAGGGGTAGAGCAGTTGATGTCATCTACCTGGACTTGTGCAAAGTGTTCGACACTGTCCCACACGACATCCTTGTCTCTAAATTGGAGCGACATCAATTTGATGGATGGACCACTCGGTGGATAAAGAACTGGCTGGATGGCCGCACGCAAAGAGTTGTGGTCAATGACTCAGCGTCTGGCTGGAGACCAGTAACGCGTGGTGTCCCTGAGGGATCGGTGTTGGGACCGGTCTTGCTTAACATCTTTGTCGGTGACATGGACAGTGGGATTGAGTGCGCCCTCAGCACGCCGATGACACCAAGCTGTGTGGTTCGGTTGATACCCTGGAGGGAAGGAATGCCATCCAGAAGGACCTTGACACACTTGTGGGGTGGGCTGATGGCAACCTCATGAAGTTTAACCATGCCAAGTGCAAGGTCCTACCCCTGGGTCGGAGCAATCCCAGGCACAGCTACAGGTTGGGCAGAGAAGAGATTCAGAGCAGCCCTTCAGAGAAGGACTTAGGGGTGCTGGTTGATGAGAAAATAAACATGAGCTAGCTTCAGTGTGCACTTGCAGCCCAGAAAGCCAACCGTATCCTGGGCTGCATCAAAAGGAGCGTGACCAGCAGGTCGAAGGAGGTGATCCTGCCCCTCTACTCTGCTCTTGTGAGACCTCACCTGGAGTATTGTGTGCAGTTCTGGTGTCCTCAACATAAAAAGGACATGGAACTGTTGGAACAAGTGCAGAGGAGGCCACGAGGCTGATCAGGGGACTGGAGCACCTCCCATATGAAGATAGGCTGAGGAAGTTGGAGCTGTTCAGCCTGGAGAAGAGAAGGCTGCGTGGAGACCTCAGAGCAGCCTTCCAGTATCTGAAGGGGGCCTATAGGGATGCTGGAGAGGGACTCTTCATTAGGGACTGTAGTGACAGGACAAGAGGTAATGGGTTAAAACTTAAACAGGGGAAGTTTAGATTGGATATAAGAAGGAAGTTCTTTCCTGTTAGGGTGGTGAGGCACTGGAATTGGTTGCCCAAGGAGGTTGTGAATGCTCCATCCCTGGCAGTGTTCAAGACCAGGCTGGACGAGGCCTTGGGTGATATGGTTTAATGTGAGGTGTCCCTGCCCACGGCAGGGCAGTTGGAACTAGATGATCCAACCCTAACTATTCTATGATTCTATAAGTCTGTGCTTTTCATTGCACTCCTTAAAGCAAATGCTGTGTGAATCTTCCTGAACAAAATAGGCCTGGGAATATAAGATCTGTGTAACTGTTATTTATGCAACCCTCTTCCTGCTTGCAGAAGTGGTTGGGAACCATAGTGGAGAGGATGCCAAAAGCATGACCTGGCAATTAGCATCTGTGAAAGAGAAGGGACTTTGGGAACATCCCATAATCTTCTGCATTCACATTGCTGCTCTGTATAAGAAGCAAACTATAAATGGTTCTAATGTCTCCTTATATTTACTCAGTTCCACAGAAGGACATTTGTGGGTAATTATGAGCTAAGAATCTTCTTCACACTTTATCTTCTCTTGGCTCTCACCTGCAGAAGGTTTGGTTCCTCGGGAAACAAGCTTTCATCTGTGGACTTCAGTACTACTTCACTTCCACTTCAGCTTCACTTCAGTTCATGCTTAATATTCATGTCAGAAAGTCAAGGTAACTGAAGAGTTTTTGTTCACCCAGAAGTGTTTATTGCGGACATAGAAAGGGAGCAATCAATATATTTTCCCATTTTCTCTCTCCTCTAACAAGAGGTACAGGATTTAAGTTCTAAGTGAGATACAAGGATGAAATTCAAGTTTGCCTTATAGCTATCATTATGGTGTTGCAGGGTATCTGAATGTGTTTAAGCTATTCATCCCCAGGCACCCAAGTAACTTTCCATCTAGTAGTCTGCAGAAATAATACAATGAACTGATTGGAGGCAACGGATCAGCCTGAGACAAGGTGATTGACAGAATGCCTAGTGCCCTTCCCGGCAAAGCATCTGGCCAAGTTCTGAAGGAGCTTTACAGGTGGAAATATGGGATAGTCTCAGAGAGTCCCTTAGGTAGCCCCCGTGAAGACTAAACTGATTGGAATCTACTACTGATATCTTCAGAGTATTAATTAACATCCTGCGTGAAGAATCTGGCATTGTCCCAGAGCCCTCTCCAGATGGCACCTGCTGCAGAATCAGCAAAACTGAACACAGATAAGGTGCTTTTAAGTGGTTTTTCTGTAGAAACTGTTCCTGCAGGTCCAAAAATGGTCACGTAAGATGGCCTTTTCTATGTGGTTAAGGTAGCTAGCAGGTATTTTGTATGTATGTTTTTAAGGCTCTCAATATGGATAAAACTTGCATATGCTTGAGTGATGACACAGGGTGATGGGCCAGGTGAATCCAGGAATTTAACAGAGAATGATTTGGAGAAATCTCACCCATTCCAACTTGAAACACCAGTGCAAGGATCCTTGCAATGCAGATTTCTGTCATCATCTGGACGTTGATAAAAAAATTTGGTTTCTCATGTAAGCAATATTTTATCCAAAGAGTCAAAAATAATCTTTTGTTTCACTTTGTCTGTTGATTTTTTCTTATTTATTCATATTTATTTTATTTTTTAACAAAGCAATGGTTTGCTGATGAGAAGCAAACTATTAAGGGATGATGTCCCCTTTCCAAGCCATAACTTCCCGAACCTTAAATTCTAAGGATGCTGGTCATTTCTATGACATCACAAGAAAACTGATACCAATTGTTAAACCACAATACTAATACAACCCACCAACAAAAAGGCCCATTGCTATTTCATGTGGAAGGGACCTGTCTGCAAGGCTTGTGCAAAGCAAGATCTTGATTTTGCATGTTACAGGTATCTCCAGGAATCAAAAGCTTCATCCTTCACATTATTGCAGTGCATAGTGCTTCTTGTGATAAGAAGACAAACTAAAACAATTTCAGACTTTATGTAACTGGCATTTAACAAGGTCACAGAATAGATAAATGAGATTTAGGAGGGGTTCAGAGGATGTTTAAAGTCGTGGATATCTCAAGGATTTACTGTTTGTCACATGCAAGAAGCAGTGATGCTCAGTGGCAGAAAGTAAAATGTGCTAGTACAGAGCGGTCAGCGGATTAGGGGAGCATCTCATAACATTGCATGACAATTTCTCTTTCTCTTGATCTGTAGGGTCTACCCGGAAATCCAGGGGAAAGAGGACCTCCTGGAAAACCAGTATGTAACTTCACTTCTACATTACATCTTCTTTTTAACTCAGTTTCCACCTCTACACCTCACCTCAGAAGTGCACTTCAGTGCATTTCCACTGCTGCTCTTTCCAGCTGAGCAGCTTGAAAAAGCACTAAGAACCTCTAAGGAGTTCTGGTAAAAGTATCTGTAATGGCTTTAGAACAGTATGGAAATAACAGGATATCCTGCATGTAAATACCCTCAGCAAGAGCTCATCCCAGGTGTGATGAAGTGCAGTAGAAAAGTAGGGCAGGAAGTATGTGTTTGACTCAGGAAGGGCAAGGGAAACCAGTAAGAGTCCATAAGCATGTTCAGGAAAAATTCTTATATGTTGATGCTGTTTAAAATTGCCTGAGATAATGAATTTCTCATTTCACAGGGCTCCCCACCCCTGCTCTCTCCAGAGGACATAAATCTCTTAGTAAAGGTAATCAGCCTTTGATGATGGTGGGAGTTTGACTGTATGTTTGATTCAGACCTGACTAATACTCTGTGGTGGGAAAGTGTCAGAGCTACAAGTGCAAAAGGTGCCTTTAAATACTCTGTCAAAGCTTGAAACTTGCAGGCCTCCTACTTGCACTGGTACTGGGACACTGGAGCACATGCTGGAGATCAAAATCTTTTTACCATCCCCCGCAGTGAAATGACCTAGAAAGATATTTAGAACATGGTGTGCGTTACAAAGCTCTGAGCCTTTTTTCCTCTTTGAGGCATGCATTCCCAAGGAGCAGCAAACATTGTCCAGTTGTATTGCCTAAGCCAAAAACTGGAATCCGTTTTAATGAAATGTCTGATTTTTCATGTATACATTCAACAGTGACTGGAGCAGTTTTGAAGTGTGGGTGCAGTCAGTTTGCATAGTGCATTTGAAAGGATGCAGGTGATCAACCCCAAATGCACCCATGTTTCAAAAGTGATGATCTCTCTGTCTGCTTTTCCTCTCCATGAAGGGAGTTGTTGTCTGGGAAATAAGTCAGTATTTGATAGCTGTTATTGCAATATCTTTACGGATTTAAATGGGCTGAGCTGGGAGATTTTTAAGCAATCTTGGGACATGGCAAGAAATCCTTTCTTATTGATTAGAAGAAACTAAAACTAAAAAATCACCTGGTTTAGCCAACCCCATTTACAAAATGTGCCTTTTAATTTTGCCACTGTAAAATGGCTTCAGTGAAGAGCTGTCGGTCTTAGGCAGCCAAGTGATTTTTCGGGAGGTTTCACTGTATGGTATTGTTTGGGATTTCTGATCAGGACAAGACTAAGAGAATGATTCTTGAGTATAGAATGCCATTTTGATGTTCCTTTGGTTTTGTGTTTTGATTATGTTACAGTTAAAAACACTTGTATGGCTTGCATATTCTTTCTGCTTGGTATTTTTTCATTCTACACTTGGTACAGGTTTATATAAAGCAACACCTTGAAATCCCAGATGAAACTAGGGCTCTTGGTTTAGGTGTTTCTCAGGTACTTATACAGTAAGTAGATAAATATTCATGTAGGAACTAACACTTAGAAAGACAGTTTACCCCACAATTTTGCAATGGATCATTGACAGAGTTGGGTGTTGGAACAAGTTCTCCCAACTGTCCACCTGATGATCAGTGTCTTCTGATGTACTGTCTTTTATAGACAGGATTTACTTCCCTTTTGCTGAAGGGAGTCTGAAATGAAAATGTCATACTCAAAGTAATTCACTTCTTGAGGACAGTAGAAATGTAAAGACTACTGAGATGATGCTTCAGAAAGTACAAGAGGGAGGGAGGGAGTAAATGTCCATGACAGAATTTGGCCAGGACACTGTGATATTTTCTTGGTGTTCACAAACTCCATCAGAGGAGTTCTCCTTGGCCATGCTAGCTGCTGAATACAGTTTCTTTTGCAAAACACCCTTCTGACATTGTACTGCACCTAACAACCCGCCCTCTGAGCAGTAGCGTAGCTTTCAGACTCATGTAGACACAGTTTTCTAGTAGTCATGTAGCTTTGAAACAAGGTTGTTCTTGATAGTCTTGCTTTGCAGTTCTCTGAAGTCCCCCTAGGAAGACCTTTTCCTTGGTTTCTTAATCCTGGATGATCAGTTAGGACCTGTCCAACTGGAACTGATAGGAAACAACCCATGTGAGCATGTGTGAGTTCAGCTGCTAACCCCCACTCTGCTCCACAGTGTATTACTAATTTCTTTCCCTGTGTTCTCTGCTAGGATGTGTGTGCTGAATGCCCTCCTGGCCCACCAGGATTGCCAGGCATCCCAGGTTTCAAAGGTGATAAAGGTCTCCGAGGACCACCAGGGAGAGACGGCCAGGATGGGAAAGTGGTAAGAGAGCTGGGGAAGTGACCATGTCTTGGACATGTTGTAACCTTGTTTTCTTATAATATCTTTAGATGTTTGGGATTTTTTTGTCAACAACCTATTAAATATTTTTTAAATGTTTGTAGAGTCAATGGACTGAACTAGTGTTTACCTCTTCTGCATTGCAGGGGCACGCTGGTCCCAGAGGTCCTGCAGGCCCACCTGGGCTTGATGGCCCAAAGGTTAGTTGGTTTTCTTCAGTTGTCTAATGAACACTTATTTGTGACTAATTATTACACTGTAGGATCTTGGTAACATCCGTCTCTGTAAAGGGGTAGGTCTGGCCTGTTGGGTGGACCCTGTACTGGCAACTCACTGGAATGCCACATGCATGCTGAACTGTACATGAACACTGTTTCCCTTAAATAGTGGCTTCTATTATCCCTTTGTTCACACAGACACACGTGAAGGGCCTCATTCTTGATGTTGATTTTCATTATATCAGTGTGCTGATGACATATAAGTACTTAGAAGTACATCACCTCGCCTAACTCAGGTGAAGAGGAAATTAAAGCCTTGGCAGTAGCTCCCCTGCCTGTTCCACTCCTCTTTGAGTCCTATATGCTTGAATCATTTAAATTAAGGCTGGTTCAATGGGTTGCTGGGCTCCCTACACACTATCTGTCATGGCGATTTTATCCATGGATTCTGCTACCTTAACACGCTATAGGAAGAATTCCTTGTTTCAGCTTCAGACTAATGGTCTAAGGCACAGGCCAACATAAAACTTCTGATGTCTGAAACATTCCAGTAATGATGCTTTTCAAGCATGTTCCATGCAGAGGTCTGTCATCAGTCTGCTCACAATGCCAGAGCCTGGTCACAAGCAAAACCTTTACAACTACTTAATGTGAAATAAATCAAAACAAATCAATGAAGGGAGAGTTAAGGTGATTTCATGACGGGCCACAGTTTCAGTCTTCCCTGCATTACTGTTGTGCTGTCTAAAATAGCTTCTGCTGGTTTAACATCATTGTATTTGCACTTATTAGAGTGTAGGACAAGCTAATAGAGATTCATGAATTCATTTTATATCTTGTAATTAAAATTGTGTTGGGGAGAGCAATAGAGTCTCAAAAGTAAATATAGGGTTGATCAAAATGGAAGTATGTTCTGGGATAAAATTTGCAGAAGACTTAGTAACCCATAATGACAATAGCTGGCAGAAAAGCCAAGCAGCCTGAAACATCCCATGTCTGCTGCTTTCTTATATGCTGTAAGAAAGCAGAAATTTGGGCAGATTGGATGTTTAGATGAAGTAACCAGAACCGTTTTTAAACTGTACATGTTCATAAAATAAATTAGTTGATAGCCTAACTCATATTCAGTGAAAAGGCAGATTCACAGAGTTTGTAAATGTTAAAAGAAAATATTTTAAGACCCTGCAAAAGTGCAAACACAGTCTTTGTGACTTCTTTCTAAATACATTAGGCAGATCCTTGCAGTGAATGACTGTACCTTCGAAGACGTAGTATATTGTCCTTACCAACACCATCCAAACTAGTATGGGGTCCCATTTTGAAATAGAACGGTAACCTGCAGATATTTGGTCCTGAGCAGCCTCATTCCTTCTGGCAACATGAATTAGGCCTCTTTTAATTAATAAATAGCAGCCCCTCTGTCCCCTACTTATCTCCTAGCTCTCACGCAGCAAACCAGAGTATTACTTCCATGGCCAGCGACTCATTAGTGCTCCATGTGAGACTCATCTTGCCTTACTTTAAGCATAGGTAATACATTTGAGCCTGTACAGGATGTACATTTGAGTTAGCTGCCTCTGTTGTGTTAGCACTAGGGAAGAGAGAGATTGAGAAAGAGGGGAGCACTTTCTGGGCATGAATTTTCTGACTGCACCTTAGAAACGCCATTTTTATTGTGGCTGTTTCTGAAGGGAGAGTTGATGACTAGCTCATACTGTTGGGTCAGATCTGATTTAGTGAAGTTCCTAACAACCTGTCTAATTTCTAAGGATGTGTAAGTCTTTTTCATGTCCATGAGACTACAACATAAAAAAATGGGCTGTACTGGGTCTGCTCAAAGGCCATTCTTCACATATATTCCTGGCTCCAGCATTGGTAGTAAAAGTCTAGGGAAAAATTTAGAAGGAGGGCAAGTAAACTCGGCCTTAATTTATGAGTTTTATGCTCAAAAATATTCAAGTGCTTTATGAAATAGTTCAGAAAGCTGATAAAATACTGAATCTAAGTGACTTTCAATGGCTTTCTTTTTCATTATCAGGGTGCTAAAGGAGACCGTGGTATGACTGGGGATACGGGAGAAAAAGGTGAACAGGTAAAAAGAGAATTTTCTTTCCAAGTGCATTTACTGTGATTGTCCCTTCATGAATAACTCTTATGATGTCTGTAGAGGAATATCCTTGTCGGAGGCAGGGAAGGAAGATGGGAGCTCTTCATTGCTGATAAATCTCAAGTGTGCTGTGAGTGAAACTTTAGCAGTCCTCCACAGACTTCCACCCCTATCTCCAATAAAAGCCTTGTGTGATGTGTTTCATCGCCTTTACATTGGATGCATTCAATTCTCTACATTACCTAACCCTTAGTCATTTCCCCAGATAATGCCTAAATGAGATCCTGGACATCAGGTGCCGTTGGGTTGAAAAAGCCAGTTTCTATTTGTCTTAGAAGATGATTATTCTATAATTGTGTGAATGTAGGGATGACCTTTTAGGAGGGACTGAGATGCCACAGGAAAGAGAATGGTCTAAATTAAAGCAAACTTTTATAGCTAATTTTAACAAGGGCTATGTCAACAGTTTAAGGTGCAAACAAGCAACTCTTGAATAAGATTTGTAGAACATTTTAAGCAGGTTTGGTTTCCTGTCTGATCTCCTGCCTTGTACAATTCCACAGTATCTGTTCTCATCTTCCATTAGCACAGATTGAAGTACTCATTAGAAAAAGTACACCTTAAATATAACTATTTCTGATGTTCATGCCTTGAAAATCAAGGTTTTGTTTTAAACAACCATTGTTCTTTATTTCCTTATAATGAGCTTTCTGTGTATTGACTGATGTTACCTCACAATGTTCAAGCACCGGTTAGCTTTTAGACAACTAAAGATGTGAATAATGCATAAAGAAAGCCTCTCCTTTTGCTCTGCAGGGTCACCCTGGAATGCCTGGCTTCTCAGGGGCTCCTGGAAGCCCTGGTCCACCTGTAAGTTGCTCTGGGACAAAGATTGGGCAACCTGGTATAGTGTGAGGCATCCCTGCCTATAGCAGGGGGTTGGAACTGGATGATCTTAAGGTTCTTTCCAACCCAAACCATTCTGTAATTCTGTGGTTCTGTACTTTCCTTTGTAAAGGTGGTTGCAAGCTCCATGTGGAAGAAAGGACCATTCCCATCTGTCTGTGCATTGCATTTGCATTTTCCAGTGGGTTCCTAATGGTCCCCTGAGTGTCATAGTTCCCCACTCATGATAACTGTTATTTAATACATCAACCACTTTTCACTGATTGCTTCAACATTCTCTGTAAATTAATGTTAATCTTCACTCACACTATACAAGACAATGATGATGAAATCTCTTCCACAGGGACTACTTAGTATGTGTATAGGTGTTTTTTTATATGTGGAATAAATTGGCAGGCTAGAACTAGGAGATCTTAAGAGTATTATAGTTCTCAATTTTACACAGTGGTATGAGACTGGATTTTCTCCATTTTTCATATCCTGCAGTTTACTTTTGAATTAATAGGCCTTTTACATGTGTTCCTCTCCATCACAGTTATCCTTGTTCTTCGCTCTACTCTTTTCACTAAAACAACTGTGCTTCTTCGTATTTAAAAATGGATTACAGTGCAGGAGCAGGGCTGAAATAACTTGGCTGTCCTGGTTTTGATATCACTGCTTACACCCTCCAAGAGCCAGGACTTTTCCTGAGTGAAGGAGTTTTCTTTCCAAACTGCTTTCCTTTGCCCACACTCATCACTACTCATATTGCTGCTTACTGTGCAGTTTGGCTCTGCCGTGCTGAGGGTGTGCAGCCTTCATCTGTTCTGGGGATCAGCACAGTCTCTTCAAAGCTGAATTTATACTTCACTGACTAAATGACAGGAAGTACCAGAAAAGAGGATTAGGTTAAAATCCTGTTTTCAGACTGCGGCAGTGCCTAAAGGATGCTGAATGCTTTGCCACTGGCACAACCTGTGGACCTCTTTTTGCACTCCTGAGAGCACTATTTCAAGACAAGCTAATAACACAGACACATTTATTGTGTCTGTATTAACCTCATACTGCCACAGCCATAGGGTTATTCCAGTCAGATTGAAACACTTAAAATTGTCCCATGAGACCCTCTAGTCAAAGGAAATGTGCAAGGTAAAACCAAGCCTGTCAAAGCAGACCTCAGTGTGGTATTCCTCAGATACTTTTCTGCAAGTTTTGCTGACTTTTCACTTTGCATTGCTCTGTGGCTCCAGCAGTTTGCCTGCCGTAAAGCGTGCTTCAAACTGCTCTTCAAAGTTATTTTTACATCACAAGATTGGCTTTTTCCTATTTGTCCCCTATTTTCAGAAGGAAGGGCCAGGACTAAACTCAAATATCTGACTATTTCTGGCTTTGGGGGCTGATTCAATGAGAGGTTAGCACTGCTTTTCTGTGATGAATGACGGAATTAATGCTGAACTGAGTGAACTTCAGTGTTGCCAGCTGTGGTAGGGAGTGTGCTGAAAACTGTACAAAATGTGTTAATCACATTGTTTCTGTTTTATTTTGTTTAGGGCCCAGATGGAGCACCAGGACCAATAGGACCAGCAGGAAACCCAGGAGACACAGTAAGCTCTAAACTGTGTGTTTCACCACCACCTTCGGCTATATTTAGTTTTTAGAAGTAAAGCTGAGCTGGAAATCATATAATGTCCTTTGCAAGGTCCCCAAAACATTCAGCCTGAATCAACTGTATGCCTGCAAGTAAGACCTCCACAAATAACAGCAGATTACTTTGGTCCTACAGTTTTGTTTACTCATCAAATGAAATTCCAGATTAGCCAGAGCATAATCCAGCTCATGGGACCTCTAATGAGGTTTCTATTACCTGACTTTCCTTGCTGTTAACACCCCTTCATCTCTAGAAAAGGATGACTAAATGTATTAGGATGCTTCATGACCCAGGCCAAGACTTGAACTCTGTGTGGAGATTGTCAAAATGAAACCAGCAACTAAGGATGCAAAGAAAAGCAAAAAAGGATGTCACAGCACAGACTGTTAAGATGCAAGGACCTGAGAACATTCCCTAGCACCACTGAAAATACCAGTATAGATAAAACCCTTGAGAAGTCTATGAAGAATTTTGCTATCACTCTTCCATTTGAAGGGTTCTCAGATGCTACTTTATGGATACTCAGATCCTACTTTATGGATACCATGGATCCTACTTTATGGATACCTTACCTACTTTATGGTAATGCATCAGAAAACCCTAGGAGGGACAAGTAATCTGATTGATGTTGAATTCGGTTTGGAAAGGAAAAAAAATTAACCTTCCCTGAATAGCCCATGCTGTTGAGCTGGAACAGTTTAAGACTCTGTAATTCTGTCATTAATTTTTAGAACAGGGCTAGAATGAGCAAGATGCCTTTTGCAGATCCATTTCAACCTGAACTTCATAATAAGTGAACAATGGTGGTCCTTCTGATGGCTGATATAAAATCAGTGAGCAGTCTTAACAATGTGGCCAGAGACTACATGGACAAGCTGGCTGAAGTACCCTTTCTCTTCATGATCAAGTTGAGACACTGTGAAAGACCTTGATGCTACGGTCCAGTCCTGTAAAGGGATGTTTTGGGACTGTCAGCAAAGCACTTCTTATAACTACTGATTTGATAGGTATAAAATATAGATCTTTTACTTCTTGGCTGGACACCTCATGCAGGAAGTTAAGGATTAAATATTAAATATAATAATACATCAGAAAAAAAACAAAACCAGTGATTTCAGTGGTTTCTCCATCTGTAACAACTCATAACTAGTACTGGGTGTTTCATGTGAAAAGAAAGCCCCCCGATGTAAACTAGAAGGAATCCAAGGAACTTCATACTATGTGACATGGGCTGCAAGACCTGCTTCTCACAGCTGTCCATTGTCAAACTCTGTATTTGATAAATCTTCAACAGATGGAAGCATTTGAGCAGCTTGCCTTGACCCACAGTGCTTGAGCCGCTTGCCTTGACCCACAGTGCTTGTTTTCTTTCCAGGGTAAAGATGGCCCTCCAGGTCCACAGGGCCCACCAGGATTGCCTGGACTTCCAGTGAGTGCTATTCAGCTCCTTCTAGATCAGTATTTTATAGGTTTAAACACATAGGTATGTAAAACACATAGGTGTGTAAAACAAAGAGGTGACATTTTTGAGGTGCTTTGAAAGCTATGTACATTTGTAATGGCATTTGTCAAGTTGATGCTATGCCCTTGGTCCAGGACAGTGTAAAAGCTGTATTTGATCACTTCAAAGCTAAGTGCTAATTACCAACGTGAATCAGGTCTGTTCCTCATCTGCCTCTTAACTGGAAGAAATACTCTTTAAATGCAGAGCACATAAATCAACTAATAGCTCCAGTGTAAGGGCACGAAAATCAGAGATTGGAATACTATCTTTATCTGAATTCAGTCAAAATAATTCCTTTGAAATAACTCAAGATCAAGTGCATCTTGGGCACAGACTGTGTATTATTACAGTATTTACTGGGGGGGGTGTTTAATCTGTCATATAGATTGGGCCAGAGCTATTTCTAGTGTGAAGCAGCCTAGCTGAATGAAGGTAATGGCATTCTAATGATTTAGAACAGCTCTCCATGGAATCCTCTTTTAAGCTGTTGGAGTGCTCACCTGGCTGAGAAGGAGGAAATCCCTTACACTTGCCATACTAGAAAAGTAAACAGTTTGTGCTGTTTCAGTGGTGTATTGAGAAGAGGTATATGGCTGAGCTATAGAAATAGGATAGGTTTTGGAGGGGTAGGCAAACTTAAATATGCCATGTTGAAGCAGAATTGTCACTGTAAATATTCCTTATCAACTCCTTCCTTATACCCTGTTTTGCATTTCGTTCGCAGGGCATTGCTGGGAATGATGGCAAGGATGGCAAGCCAGGATCTCTTGGGGAACCGGTAATGTAATGCAAAACTGTTTTGCTCAGGCAATCAGAGCCTGCATCCAGTTATTGTTTTTGGAGCTGCTGTCCATGGATTCCTCAGGGAGGGCAGGGAGCCTGTTTGCACATCTTCTTTTAACACCAGGACTAAATTGTCTTGAGCGATTTATAAGAGTCACACACTTGCAATCTTGAAAAGAAACTGGGTTCTTTTACTTTTACAGCTACCATAAATACACTAAAACTTAGTGATTCCACTTTTACAGCTATGGTAAATATTGTAGAGGAAGAAGGTTGTCTGGTGCCATTAAACCTAGTGATCCATTTTTTAAGTAGAAAATTATGGGGCATAGAGGAGGTGTCCTTACAGAAGCCTTTTCTCAACACTTCTGTTGTCCAGCATGAGAGGGTTTATATTTTACTTTCTCTGCTTAGTCTGTACTTGTGTTTGCTGAGGGGAAAACAGATGAACCATGAAGTTGTTAGCCAAAAGGAACTGTTAATAAATTGGGCAATGAAAGTTATTCCTTGCAACTGTGTTTGTTATATGAAGAATATGCTTCCAGTATCCAGCATTGCCAGCCTCTTTCTGTGACTTGTCAAATGGGAGTTATTGGTTCTGGGAAGAGCCAAGTTCCCAGTCATTAGGGTAATGGGTGCATGGAGCTGTGCATGTCACAGCAGTTTCAGACAGTTGTGTGTTTGCATTGAAACACCTGATTTCTACATGTAGATGCTGATTTTGTATGTTCTAGGTATTGATGCAGTTCTGTGAATTACCTATCATTAAAACACTGCAAAGGGGCACCAATCCAAAGGTGTAAGCTACCTTTGAACCTCAAAGGCTGTGTTTGTGGCAGTGCAGGTAGAAGTATGTATGGGAATGTATCACTTCTGTCTTTCTTTCATGCTCAGACTCCAGCACTGCTGGAGAAACGCTGGGCAATCACAGTCCTCAGTGCTGTTAAATCTAAGGGAGAAGAGTGAGAGGTTTCCAACAACAGAGAGATGGACCTGAGATTCTCCTAACATGAATGTGATTGTTTCCCATAGGGAAAGCCTGGAGAACCAGGTCTTCCAGGCCAGGAGGGTGCCAGAGGCTTACCAGTAAGTACTGATCTGAAGGGCTCAATCTAGTCACTCTTCTATACTGTATTTGGGAAGCTTTTGGTAGCCAGATGAGCTCCTTTACTGATGCAAACACATAGCCAAAGAGCTGGCCTGGCTGCAAATAGTCATGGCATTGTGACTGAACAAATAAATAAATGACCACAAAAAAAAAAAATCCAACACAGGCATTTCCATGTCCTTCACAACTGGAGAACAGTAGGTCCCTTATCTAGAAGTTAAATCACATAACTTCATAACACCCCTTCTAACAGAAAGCATAGCCACAGCTGTAGCCCTTGTGTTCTGTTATATGTCCTCTGGGAACAATGAAAGTTAGGGTTAAATGATTTATTAGCTGCTCACACCAGGAATAGACACACTATAGTCTTGGTCTTGCAGCCTAAGGAGCTGTAGAAAGCTCCTCCTGTGATGTAGGCCTTCTTAATCACTCCCTGGGACATTGCAGCTCCATGCTGACCAGTCCACTGTAATCTTAGGCAAAATTAGGAAGCATATTAAGTGAACATTCAAGATAAAGTTTTCTTAGTGTTTCATGTGTCACAGCAATGGATAATTATTGATTTCATTCTCTTTTGTAGGGTTTCAAAGGACAAAGAGGAGATACAGGTCCTCCAGGACCCCGGGTAAGTAATGTGTACCTCATACATGTTCTTTTGGAGAAAGGCTTTTTCAACCATGAGCCACATGCCCATGGCATAAAATCACAGCAGCTGGCTTCATTCCTCTGCTGGAGTTGTGATTCCAGGTAAGATGATGCTGATGGTAGAGCTGAGTCCTCTGGTGCTCCCCTTGAGATAGTCCTTTGTGAGGAATTTTCAATGATGCTCCCATACCACATTCCTCTGGTACAGATGCTGGCATATACAAGGTGAGGAACCCTACTGCACTTGTTGGAGAAGTATAAGCACTCCTCCAAAAATGCCTAAGAAGTGCAAAATAAGTTCAGAAACAAAACTTACAGTAATGAGTATAGAAATGTCTCTAGTCCTTTTACTTAGTTGCCTGTGGATCATAACACTCAAAACTCAAACCCCAAAACTTCCTGCATGAAGTGTTGGTCCCCTCTCTGCTCTGAGTGAAACAGCACTAAAAGCTCTTGGTGTACAAAGTAGATACAAATCTGAATGTTCTTCTGCCTAATTCTGGCTTTTTACAGAGAAATAACATGCTCTGCTTGCAGGAGCTTAGCTAAAATACCTAGTGCTGGAGTTCCTCATTGTGGTAGTTTCTATATCAGGAATAGGCTGGTATCTTCATGACTGCACAAGCAGTAGCAGATATTCTGGAAAGCAATGTACTACCTTGTGCATCATTTACAGAAGATGCTTCTGAGTAATGTTTATGACTTGTGTGTCACATACGGTGAACAAGGCTCCTGCTGGCTTTAAAAAAGATTTCCAGGAGCTCAGTCCAATATTGCAGAAACCCCTTGACTCTTACAGTGGTGTTACTGGTCTGCCTTTGACCTTGAGCTGAAATCTCTTTCCTTTCTGCTGAATTACAGGGGGAGCCAGGTGTGATAGGCCCTGCTGGTCGTGAGGGGCCGCCAGGGAAGGATGTAAGTGTACCATTTCAAACAGAAAATAATCTCCTTCTGCCTGACAAATGAAGATTTTAATTCACAGTGACCCTGACTTAACCCAGCTGCAGAAACTGCAATAGAGGGTGAATTATTGCAGCAGTGCACAGGGAATGATTTGTGCAAAGACTGTGAGGGTAACGAAGAATTTGAAGGCCTTTGTCTCTGCTCAGCTGCTAGCACTTAAATGTCAGCTATGTCTTTGGAAAAGCAGAGAAAGCTGAATTGTTTGAATCCCAGGCTGTGCCACATAACCATGGAGTTGCTTTCTGCCACCCTTCTCTTAGCAGTGCTTCATCCTACAGGTCCCACTGGGCCAGGTTCTGTCACGCTTCCTCTATAGAAGCTGAGCCTTACTGAGTGCATAGCTCCATTGAAATCTGTGAAATACCCATGGAATAAGATGATGCTGCTCAGATAGAAGAGAAATGGTACAGACAGATCCTGACAGTACTGGGGTCAGATGCAGTCACATAGCACAGTCCTGGGAGAGTGCAGCTGACGCGGGATCCTGCAGCAGTTGCTGAGCAATGTGCCATTGCCATGGGACTTGGGAAAGTGGTTTCTCACTTGCACCTCCTTGTACCACTGGAAAACTGTTGTGCTGTAGTTGGCAGCCTACAAAGTCAAATGGAAGACAGACCTAAGGAAACCCTTCAGAGAAGATAGAAGCAGGTCTTAAGCCTCCCTCAAGAGAGAACATAATGGTCAATCTTGAGAAGTACTGGAGAATCTCTGTCCTTATGAAATCCAGCTTCAAGATAACCTGATAATAATGGGTCTGCCTGTAATCAGACAGTATTCAGTAATAGATGTTGAAAACTTAACGTAGTGAGACTCCTTTAATGCTGTTTCCCTTAATTTGTGTGCAGTGTGATTTAATATTTTCAAATGCTTATTTGATTGCCTGCATGTCAGATCTTTCTTACTCACTAGAATACTGTTATTCACTGCAGGGTGATACTGGTCCCATAGGACCACAGGGCCCTCGAGGACCCAGGGGGCAGCCGGTGAGTTTTCTCTCCTGACAAGATGTTTCTGGAGGTACACTGTGTATAGTGGGAATGTCCTGCAGTCCAGACTCCTGGTTTGGAAGAAGAGTCTTCAGCAAGATTCTTCGGTAACATGGTCTAGTGTGAAGCACCCCTGCCCATGCCAGGGGGTTGGAACTGAATGATCTTATGGTCCTTTCCAACTCAAACCATTCTATGATTCCATGATTAAAACACATCACTTACTTTGAGAAAGACAAAGCAGAATGACATTACTAGAAAGTGATGCAGACTTAGTGCAGTGGAGTGATGACTAGGTGGGAAGACTGACTAGGTTGCTGACTAGGTGGGAAGAACTGTTTAATGGATTTTGCTAGGACTGCAGTGTCAGAAGTGCTTATATTCCAGTCCTGGCTCTGGCATCTCACTTGCTTCTCACATGGCTTCAGTTTTCAAAGTCAGACACTAATTGTAAGTGCCCAGGTTGAGGTATGTGGGATCCAGTTGTGACACTATTCATTTTTGTAATGCTTTCTGTATTTTTTTCTGGGAAAAACTCAACCCCCGACAGAATTTTAGGAATAATATTGTTTAATTAAACACCTGTAGAGTTTAATTACAACTTCAGTGGAGAAACTGCACTTTAGTTGACATTTCAGAGCATGTCAATTGGGATGGCTGAAAAATTACTTTTGTTAATCCCACTATCTTTTCAGTTGTCTTGTTCCGAATTTGAATGCAGGTCTCTAATGATAAATTTTGAATTTAATTTGAATGCTGAACCCAGGCACATCCTTAATATGTTGCAATTGGTGATTTATTTTTCCTCCTAGCAAGACCTGCTAGTGAGACAGATTCTACAACATAATCAGGGCAAAAATGCTGATTCAGCCAGCAACGCCAGGAGCTGGAGCGGCAGATCCCTCTGAGCTTAGGGTAGGAGTTTAAATAAGACTGCAGGAACATATGGAGAGCTCCTGTGTCTACTTTGTAGTTTATCTTATTATTCCTGTACTGCTGACATCACTCGCTAACGTGTCATGCCCCTGCACAACACTAGCAATGGATAAAAAGATTTGAGGAGACCTAAACCATTGTAACTCCAGGGCACATTCTTCTTTGGAGAAGAGATACCTGGGGGTTTGCATGTGGGAGAGCAAAGTATCACTTTCTCTTGATTTTCCACTGCTTTGTTTCTTAATGACCCATCCCTGGCAGTGTTCAAGGCCAGGTAGGACAGGGCTTGTAGCAACTTGCTCTAGTGGAAGGTGTCCCTGCCCATGACAGGGGGCTGGAACTGGATGAGCCTTAATGTCCCTTCCAACACAAACCAGTCTGTGATTAACAACAAGGATGAGGCATGATTTTGAATATTGCTAGTATAAGGGGTGGTCTTTATGCCAGCTCCAATGCAGGGAAAAATATCTCTGTATGGTGAGTTGGGAGGAGAGAAGAGCAGGCTGCAGAATTTCATCTCACCAAATTTTAGTTAGCATAGATAGTCAGCTCAGCTACTTTGATAAGGAACAATGGGAAACGGGTCTTCTTAAAGGACAATTTAGCTCATTCTGAGTTGTCTGGTATCAGATGCCTCAAAGTTTTCGAATAAATGTTTTTCTCCATTCCCCAAAAGAGGGGAAGCCTGAGATGATTAAAAATAGCTGCCTGGACTCTGGGCCCTGATTCAAATGGTAGCCCTGAGAAGAGGATGGTTATTTGCAGGGTCTACCTCAGTCACTGGAGCAAAGAGGTTTTCTAATACAGGAAGGTGCTGGGTGACTTGGAGATAGTCATCAGTGCAGAGGACTTTAATATTGATCAGTGAGTAGCCAACAGGTGTTTCAAACATGGACTAAAGGGGCTTGTCTGACCACTGGTGGCTTATAGCTGCCATAGTGGGTGGTTCCAACCACCCAGGAGGATGCTGCATATGATAGCACTAAGGGTGAAGAACAGGAGGAGGAATGATGATTTGGTCATCTTCAAACTAGGGTTTTGGGTCCACATGTCTCAATTTTTGCCCTGAGATGGGGTCACTCATGCCATCAGGGGTGCAGAAGCTGCAGGGTCAATTGGAAATAAGCATTCCGCAGTCTGCCAAGAGAGGAGGTTGGACAATGGTAAAGAAATTCCTTCTGATGTAGCAGTAGGTGGATGTTTTTAATTGTAGTATGCATTACTTCAATAACCTTTTTCTTTATCACGTAGGGCAAGAATGGATCACCTGGATCTGCAGGAGAACCTGGCCCAGCAGGTAACCCAGTAAGTACCAAAAATGGAAACTCATGCAGCAAGCAGTTATGTGAAGGAGAGGTGACTGATAAAGTAAGGATGGAATGGATTATGCATAGGTGCTCACCATCCCTGAAGTTTCCATGTCTGAAAATCACTGACTGGCCATGACACTGGAGGGGGATTGGCTATGCTGGACAGAGCCTTGGGTGGCATGGTCTAGTGTGAGACATCCCTGCCCATGCCAGGGGTTTGGAAGTAGATGCTTTCCAAGATCCTTTCCAACCCAAGCCATTCTGTGATTCTGTGATTCTACATTCCTGGAATCATTTTTCCCAGCAAAAGTTCAGTGTTCACACACACAAAAAAAGGAAAAGATTGATTACCTGATGTGGAAAAAAAAAAAAGACTGGCACGCCTCATCTTCACCAGTACATTTAATTTTGCCAAGCAGAGAGTGTGCAGCCAGCACAAGGAAGGAGAGGGCCTCGGGGAGATGGCAGACTGCCACTGAGGAATAGCAGCAGCAGAATAATCCTCCCCAGGCACCTGGGGAAAGAGCAGACAGTGGGTAGTAAACCAAGATCACGAAGCAGAATGAAATCTCCCCAGGGCCATCCTGTGTGGAAGAACAGCATGATAATGAAGAGCAGTAAGGAGGACAGTGAAGAATTGGTTTTGTTTTGATTTGTTTTGTTTTTTTTTCCTCTGTTCTGCTTCTGAAATTGTTCAGGATTCAGCAAATCCATGCAAATGTACCTCTGTGTCCAGTAGCATCTACTGCAGCACAGGGCTCTTCCCTCTCTCCATCTACTTAGCCATTACAGCTTGCTCGGCTGTTAGATTTAGACAGGAATAAAGGCATAGCAGGAGAAACCTGAAAAATCACAGCAGGACTTCAGACTTCTTTGTGGCCCTTGAAATGCCACAAAGCAACTTCAGCCTTGCCACAGACTTGTGCCCTGAGCATGTATTGCTGTGCTGCAGGGATGTCTCCTCCTAAGTGGTGACAGAGAAGCCAACACCATTCTGCATGTAGTGGTGACAACTCACATAGTGCAGGTGGGGCAGGATGGGTGCAGTCTCACAGCCCTTCTGCAGTCAAGAATCAGTGCTACAGCTTTTCTCCTTGACACAGCTTCTTCTTACCTTCCTTGGGACTACTGCCATTACTTCTTACCCTGTGGATCCCTGCAGTTGCCTTTTCAATCTTCATTTCTTCTTCTCATCATGCTCACCCTGCTCCCATTTCCTGTTAGTGCTTTTTAGCTTTCTGTGTCTTTACCAGGCCACTTTGGGTTTGGGATGCCCTGTGAGTGCCAAACGGGGGCTATGTTTTAATCATCATCATATTATCACATTACCTAGGCAGCCAGTTAGTGACCTAGGGAGCTTACTGCACACACACAGAACTACAGCAGTCTCTGCTCCAGAGGATTTAGAATCCAAAAATAACATAGGTGATTGAAAAAGGATGAAGTCAGATGGATGAGAAAAGAGAAACAATGAGGCAGTGTTGGTCAGCAGAACAGACAGTCATCTCCATCAGTATCCTTCTCTGTCATTAAAATGAATCCTCTCCCTTTCATAAAGCTTATTATAGGAAGTATTTCCTTGTGCTGTACATGAATCCATTTATTTGCAGCCTTGTCTGGAAACACACCAATTTGTTTCACAATGTGACAAGCCAATATGTTATTTGGGAAAAAAAAAAAGAGAAGCAGGAAAGGTTATCACGGCAATCAGGGTTTCTTTTCCACTTTCACTGTTGCTGACTTGTAATGAGAAGGTAAAACCTGCCAGGAACCTTCCCCTTTTGCATCTACTATTTGACAGTTCCTATCCCAATCCACAGTGCATTCATGCTTAGCACTGCAAGCAGCAATGTTGCCCAGCCCCTGAAATCTCTTTGGGCTAATTGCAGTCTCAAAAGCCCTGTGTTTTATGCCTGTCCGTTGGTGCTCACTTTACACAAGACAGGCTTAAAATAGAGACAAGATTTACTCTAAGAAGAAAAAAGGGGACATGTTCTGAATTAGAAGGCTAGGGGCAAAGATGTGAAAGAAAAGGTTAAAATAAAAGTAAAAAAAAACTTTATCAGAAGTGTATGTGAAATGGTCCTGTATAGTGAACTGCCATTTAAACTGCCTTGATCTGTAAGAAGAAGGGATACTTGGGTAGAATATCACAAGAGATAAGGCAGACATGTTTTAAATTGAATCTGGAAATAAAGGCTGTTTGTTGCTTGTATTCCCATGTTTGAGCAGAATGACCACCTCACTGTTGCCCTGTCATTGCCCATCACAACATTTCCACTCTGTAACATCAACTTATAAACCATGCCAGGCCAAAACAGCCGCTGAACACACCTCCTGTCACTCTGTAAGTGTCACTTCATTTTCATCTTTTCAACAGGGACCACACATAGTTTATTAATAATGCAAGCATATAGTGTTGGCAGTCTGCTTTTCTAAGTGACTTTGTTCTTCCTTTCCTTGTCAGTTTTGGGAAACCTGCTGCTACAGTGAAATTTCCCAGTTCCAATATACCTGTAAATGCATGCTCTGGAAAAGAGATGTTGGAGAAACTCTAGTGTCTGTCTCATTTCTGTCCTAAGGGTCCCAAAGGAAATAAAGGAGAAAGTGGCAACCCAGGACTACCTGGCTTCATAGGACCCCGAGGACCACCTGTAAGTATGTCTGGGCATGGATTAAACCCATTAGACCTGCTTTTAAATGTTACATTGATGAAGATGGGACATGATCATCTTTAATGAGGTAAAAACACATAAGCAGGAGATGCAGTGATCCTGAAGCCATACGTTTTTGTTTCCAAAGGAAACTGGACTGCAAAACCAGCATTTACATATAGCCAAACATCCTTAATCTCATTTACTGTCCTGGTACCTGTCAGTCAGCACTGCTGATGTGTGCATTCATTGGAGTGTTTCAATAGTCAACTTCATATGGGTATGGCGTATTTAGGTTCTCAGACTATATCTCTACTTGAACCCTAAAAGAAGTAAATGGGGAAATTTTAAGTGCGGATGATAATACAGCTATTTCTGATATTTGCTATTCCAAGCAAAACTCTTCTGTTACCAGCAATGGACGTACATTGCAATTAAAGCGTTCCTGTATCTCCCAAACTGATCTACAGTAATAATTACACACCTGAAAAGACCACAGCCTTGAAATCCTATCTCTTTAGCCCTTCCAAGGCAAGTAAAATGTGTTTCACTGCACTAGAAGGATGGAAAGGGTGAATGTTAGGTAAATAGTTTTATTTCTCGCTCTGTTGTGACTTACGAGATTTAAAAGGTTTTCATGTGAATCTGGCAGAGTGGAATCTTCCACAGGATGATTCTCTTTTCTTTGTTCATTTTTTATGGTTGGAAAGGGAGTTTTGTGGTGAAAAGAAGAGAAAGAAATATTTCTCTGGAAAATTATTTTAAATCTGCAAATGTGGTGGCCATTAAAAACTGAAATGGCCCAAAGGAACGCTCGAGTGAGTGTGATGCTGCCTGATTTGGAGCTGATGTGATCACACGTCTGTGATTGCTTACATTACTTATGCATACATCTATATATGTAAGCACTGCTGAAGATCTTATATGTGTTACCAGCTTATGGGGAAAAATACCTCCTGATGCACATTACAGATATGATCACCTGTGTGAGTTGCAGCAACATTCCAATATCTGAAGAATGCTGGAGAGGGAGTCTTCCTCAGAGACTGTAGTGATAGGACAGGGGGTAATGGGTTCAAGCATAAACAGGGGAGATTTAGTTAGATATAAGGCAGAAATGCTTCCCTGTGAGGGTGCTGAGGCGCTGGCACAGGGTGCCCAGAGAAGCTGTGGCTGCCCCATCCCTGGCAGTGCTCAAGGCTAGGTAGGACAGGGCTTGGAGCAACCTGCTCTAGTGGAAGGTGTCCCTGCCTATGGCAGGGGGTTGGAACTGGATGAGCCTTAATGTCCCTTCCAACACAAAGGATTCTCTGATTCTATGAGTCTTTCTGTTCATGCTATGGGAAAGTGGGCAGAATTTTGACAGTAACTGGTTTGATGTTTGTTTTGCTTTATTGGTGCATTTCAGGAAAGCAGTGACATTGATTTCATTGAAAGGCTAAAATTCAAATTGTATTTGCTAATTATCTCATTATAAATGCAAAGTATAGAAAAAATCCTAATAATAATTGTTCAAATTGAGGTTTTTTAATACAGTTCTGAAACGCAGGCAAGCTTTCAGGCTCAAACTTGCTTTATCACGGACTCCGTATGCATTACCTCAGCTAGTGTAATACAAGATGATACCTCTACTTACAAAATTGATCTCCTTTACATGTTATGGGTGAAACACTGACAATGCTTAAGCTAAACCAGCCCAAGTGTGTGAAGCTTTGTGAAATGTCTGTAAAAAAGAGGAACAAAATGTATTGAAAGAAGGAGCACACTTTCAAGGAAACATCTGTCCTGCACTCATTTGGTTTGATATAAATTCATGTTATTTACATTTACACAGTGTGCAGCTTTACTAAAAAAATCTTTCTAAATAGTAGGATGTGTCTTTCCAGGAATGACCTATAGCAGTGGGTTAAGGATAAATCATCCAAACATGCTGCTCTGTAGCAGAAACCTTGACCTCTAAACAGAAAGCAAGACTGGTAGTTATTAGGTAGGGCTTTTTCTGTTCCAACTCCTTGCAGTGGGTGCTAAATTCATTCTCTGTATCTCTCTCTCAGGGAGAGCCAGGAGAGAAGGGTCCTCCTGGAAAAGAGGTAAGTTAAATTCCCAATTGTTTCAAAGTAAGGCTGGTGTTTTGGGTCTAAAACATCAAGAATGTGACCTAGGTTGCAACAAATTAATTTTTTTCTCGAATAGTTGATACTTGAGAGCAAATGGGGAGCTCTCAGGAATCTGTGGGACTGACAAGGAAATAAGCTTTCCCCAGGTCACAAAAATCACTGCAAAGGCATGTGCTTTATTATTTACTGTTATTATGTATAGCTCTTTAAATCTCACCCTGATTTTGTTGCAGGGTGCACCAGGGAAAACAGGGGAAACTGGCTCCAAAGGAGAGAGGGTAGGTTGAAGAATGTTATTAGTTATTTCATTAGGTTGAAATAAAGAGAGCTATTTTGACTTAGGGGAAGGGGTCATTCAAGAGAGAAGTGTGTCCTGTAGGGATCTTTCACTCTTCCCACCTTCCCAGTCCTCTCTTTAATCATTCTATGTCAGTAATAATTTGTGGATCATTTGTAATGCACCAGATGTTGTATTCAGTAACTTTGCAAGCTCAGCTGTTCCTATTTCGCTGTGCTTGGTAGTGAGAAGTTTGCCTTTTATTTTGTGGTGGTAATGCTGTTTGGTTTTCACTTTAGGGAGAGCCAGGAATCAAAGGTGAAAAAGGCCCTCAAGGAGAAAAAGGCCCTCCAGGTGATCCTGGGATACCTGGTCACAAAGGCCATCCAGGACTGATGGGTCCCCACGGACCCCCAGGAGACACTGGGCAGGTTGGACCTCCTGGTCCTCCAGGACAACCAGGATTTCCAGGACCAAGGGTAAGATTGACAGAAAAGGGCTTTGTACAGTACATGTATCACATATATGGTGTGTGATCAGAAAAGTACATAAGATTACAGTAAGGCTCATAGGAACCAGAGCAAGTGTGTGTTAGGATGGGGAGGCACTGTTTCCATCTCTTGATACTACAACACATCTCAGGGAAGCGTCATGGGGATTGAACTTCAGGAGAGCTAAGCAATATCAACCTATAGCCAGGGCAGCCATTCCTTGGCATCTTATACCCCTAAAAGCCTAAATCAGATTCTTGTTACTATGGTCATGGGTCTGAAAAAGCTTCTTTCTATAATGATTTTAAACATTAAGCGTTTCATACAGAGACTTTATGCCTTCCCCTGCTGCTGGTTGTTATGAGAGACAGAACGCTGAGCTGTGGAAAGGTCACTGCTCTATTCCTGGAAATCCTGGAGCCAGCTCATCAGAATTCAAAAAATCCTATTTTAGTTTAATATTCTCTCTCTCTTTTTTTTTTTTGTCTCTAACGGGAAACAGTCTCACTACTGAGACTGCCCTAGGGAAATGTATCTAGAAGAATGAGAAATACTACCAGCATTAGTGAAGCCATTATGCCTATCCTGAGAATGAATTTAAGATCATCTCAGAGGGAAATAAAGAGTGAAATAATCTCTGCTGTAAAAACTGGGTAAATTTTAGACAAAGCATTTCTTTGTGTGTCTCAACAACATAGCGATTTAATGAAATCCGGTGATGATTATAGGCACTTGGTGCAACCAATAAAGTTAAAACTTGAAAAGATAATTTGTACGCCTTCAAAGTACATTCCACAATCGTGTTTGATAGCTGGGATATTCACTAAGAGCCATCACAAATGGTTAGTGCTTAATGACAGAATTGTTTCTTTTGTTATCAACAAACATATCTTTTTCTCATGCAAAATTTGTGTTGGGAAGAAGTCAGCAAATAGACCAACTCTATACTTCTCAGCAGTATATTACTGATTGAAATTGAAATGTTTCTATTTAATAAAAGCTACATTTCTTAATGAAGAGTAATTTCTGATTCAGAAGACGTCACTAGGTCTTTATAAATATAAAGGGCACAGACTGCACCCTTGTATGTTAAAAGGATAGGTGCGAGGAAAAAACACTTTCATGCAAGTAACTCATACACAAAAGAATACAGCCTATTTTTGAAACTGGAAGAAATTCAAAGAATAATTTAAGCCAAAAACAAAATACATATTTCAAGTGAAGCATCTCACTTTACAGTTTACAGAGGAAAGCATTTGATCTTGCTGGTTCAAAATGATTTATTTTTTACATATAGCTAAATCTTTTCTTTCCAGTTTATGCAAAGATAAAAGTCTGGTTACCCTAAAACTACTTTTTTATTTCATTAGAAAGCCATAACCTGGAAAATTCTGCTTCCACCTACCAAAAATGCTTTCCTTGTGTTTTTTCAATTGCATCATTCAGACTTGTTCACATTACTTTGAGTTCTGACAGCTTTTACAGCAACATCAAACAAAAGAGTTGAGAGTCAGGCTGAAAGAGGCTGGGTAGGGTACCAAGGCCAGGCAGCCACATCCTCCCTTTCCCTTCAACAGCCTGAAATCAGGCAGAACCTTGTACTCTGTGCTCATTTAGAATAGGTGTCATATGCATAAACTGGTTGCTGTTCCCTGAGATAAAACATCCAGTGCAAGTGTTTGTAGCAAGTCTAGATACCCACCTTAAGTACCTTGGGGGCACGCATGCTTTTCTCTGCAAGGAAATGTGCAGTGCTGAAGAAGGAGGTAGGCTTTCTATTATGATCTAGTAGGGCAGAGGACATCTCCTGATTTGATTTCTACTGCTTCTCCTATTAGTCTTTAGGAGGGAGATTTTCTCTAGGAAGGAGATGGTGCCAGTGCCCAACTATGCCTCTGACCAGGCTCCCCTCTTGCACCACTGATCCCATGGCTTGCCAGCAGATTGGGAATTGTGGATGTTTTGAGTTCCTTTACATACATCTTTCAGACAATCCCTATAGTCCTATGTATGCTGTGGCTAATGAAATGCAACCCACTAAACCCATTATGGAGGGCTTAATTTGCACATCCCCTGGCTGTGATTATTATGTCTTGCTATTGCTGTCATTATTACTCCCTAGGGGGAGTCCCCATCTCTAGAGACTTTGAGAAGGCTCATCCAGGAGGAGTTAGACAAGCAGCTTGATGGTAAGTAATCAGCTCTGGGAATCCTGAAAATGTATCTGAGAGTGTGAAAGACGCTCTCCATAGCTGTGGTGGCACCCGAACCCCTCCTGCTTATGGAGGGCAATGTTGCAACAAGCCTGACTGGAAGGAGGAATGTGTAAAATGGAATGTGCTTAGCAAGCTTTACCATTCCCCAAGCTTGATGTTCCAAGCAATAGCACAGGGGTTTTCTCCCTTATTCAGGCCAAGGCCATTGCCTGTGCTAAGCACCTTATGTCTTTGCTACCAAAACAGCTTTGCTGCAGACACATTCCTGCAGATGCCTGGGAATTATGAGGCAATAGCACAAGAGAAGATACAAATTCAAACAGCTTAATCTGGGGACCTGGAAGGGAAAGTAATTGTAGTAGAGCATAAACTTGCTTTTGAGGTCCCAGCTGGAGGAGAAATGTTCTGATTTCTGGATGTGGCACTCATCAATGTGAGAAAAGGGGGCAGAATGGCAATGGGCTACTGCCCCTCTCAAGGCACATGAATTTCAGGCTGCTACTGACCCCATCTACATGAAACACAGAGCTGCGTTGCTTCTTGAAGAAGCTGACACATAGCTGCAGGCATTTTCCCATGCTGAAGATCATGGTTCAATGGAATGATTTATTTCAAGGGTTTTATTTACACACTCTCACACTTCAAATTCCATGCCAATCTAAAAGCATTCAAGATTGTGGATCAATGAAAGGCAGATAGAAAATCCTTCTCTGTTCTGTCGGATGTTTTTGTGATGCTGAGTACATCTTAAGAGCTCTCTAGGCTGTTCAGGGTCTTAATATGGAAGTGGCAAGCAATGTGCCTGCTTGGAAATTGGAGAATATGCTGACACAGGGAGCTGCCTTAGTTAAGTTTCTGACTTCACAGCCAGAGATGGGTACATTAGCTTTAACCCCACGTGTTACATCCCAGAAAAAGGAAAGTAAGCTTTCTCCTTACAAAGCAGACATGTAGTATCTTTTTCTGTGTAGCAGAAGCAGTGGAAATAGGCTTTTCTTTTCAGAGCAGCAGTGATTCCAGTTTGACACAAATCCACTGGCTGCACAGCTAAAGGAGGAGACATTTCAGATCCTTGGTGAACAAGGAGCAGAGGATGAGAGAAGTGTTTAGGATTAAGTATGAAATCTAGTAGATGCTTAAAGTTATTGAGAAATTAGGTTTAATTAATATAGAGAGGCTTATGGAGTCACCATCATGGCTTATGGGGAAGGATTGTATGTGGACAACAAATGGGTGGCCCTGAAAAATTGACCTGTGACAGTACTTGGACTTTATGGGGCCACTGGTTCTGTCGCTCCATCTCTTAGAGCACTGATCTTCTAGTCTAACAAACCCATTTCCCTCTTTTCACAGCAAAGTTAGCCTATCTCCTGGCTCAGATACAGCCTGCACATGTCAAAGTGTCCCATGGCAGACCAGGACCTCCTGGTCCCCCTGGGAAGGAAGGACTCCCAGGAAGAACTGGCCCTCCAGGAGAGCCTGGCCGGCCTGGACAGACTGGGTCTGAAGGGCCACCTGGACCTATTGGTCCCAAAGGTAAGAGAAATTTGGTGTGTTTGAGCAGTGTGATAAAGGGATATGTCCACTGCACTTTGGCATCAACATCTCCCTTTAGTAGCATCTAAGTGATCCTTAGATGGATGACTTTGAAGCAGTCTCAGTCTGTTGAACCAGAGGTGGTGAATGCGACCAGCAGTTGCTGGTGTGTTCCACCTCTGGCCAGAACTGAAGCGGGGCATGTCTTCATTCCCACTTAATGTCCCATCTCTGAGGACTGGCCATAATTAGGAACTATGTTTAGCAAATATATTGGTTTCAGTGTGGATGGAAGACCAGTGGTAGTAGTATTAAATTCTGCTCATCAGTTCATTGTTTTTCTTTCCCTCTCTATAGGAGAAAGAGGAGCAAAGGGTGATAAAGGAGACACTGGTGTTGGCCAGCGAGGGGAAATAGGTCCTCCAGGAATTCCAGGTGTGTTTATTCAGACAATCCCACAAAACACATCGCTCAGAACTGCTGCAAGGACACAGGTCTCTGCTATATTAGCATCACAGAATCACAGAATGGTTTGGGCTGGAAAGGACCTTAAGATCATTCAGTTCCAACCCCCCAGCCATGGGCAGGGACACCTCACACTAGACCATGTTGCCCAAGGCTCTGTCCGACCTGGCCTTGATCACTGTCAGGGATGGAGCGTTCACCACTTTCTCTGGGCAATGTGTGCCTGTGCCTCACCACCACCCTGACAGTAAAGAACTTCCTCATATCTAACCTGAACTTCGCCTGTTTAAGTTTGAACCCATCACCCCTTGTCCTATCACTAAAATCCCTGATGAGAAGTCCCCTCTCCAGCATCTGTATGCTGGATACAGTCAGTCAGGATAACATAAACATGGCATACATCATTTCTGTAGAAAGTCCCCCAAGGTGAAGAAATATATCACTAGCATCATATTTAGCCACCTTTATTTCCTTGGATTGAGTGACAGGTGTAATGATCCACCTCAGTAACAGCAAGGTTAACTGGCCTTTGGGGCAATTCTAGAGTGAAGCTTTAATTACTAGATACACTGTGCAGAGTCCTACCTGCTCTTGCCAGAATCTTGTTGTGACCGAGCTGAACCCAGAGGTTCAGGCAGCTTCAGATGGTATAAAAGGTCATCTCTAACACCTGTGTTTCAGGCACACAGCTTGTGTTTTACCTTTGCTGACAAAGAAGCAGCAAATGTATTTTGTCTCTAATTTGAAATTAGGAACCATTGATCAGTTTTGCCTTCACCCTGCTTTATTTGGGGAGGAAACTATGGGAAGCCTTCTTAAATCCATGGCCTGCATTTGCCATTCTAGCCCTGTATTTCCTTAAAATGACAATGGACCCAGAATGCTTTGTATGAATGAGCTATGTCCCAAAGCTGGCTCTTACCTCAAGCTTTACCATCCTCACCACCTCTCTATGAGGACTATATGTCATTGGGTAGCTGCACAGCTTCAACATGGTGATACAGGAAGAACAGCTATACTGGAGCTGTGCAGCCCAAGGATGCTATAGGGGGTGGAAATCTTTCTTTCAGATGAGATACACTTGTCATATCCTTTTAGATACATGCCAGCCAGACCCATACCTGTGGAAAGTGATGCCCACATCCCTGTTTGGCTTCAAAGCCATCTCCTGTGATGCTACATTGCTGATTACTGCACCCTGCAAGTATCACTCACAAAAGGGCGTTTTGGTTTTGTTTTAGGTCTCCCAGGGGAGCCTGGCTATGCCAAAGATGGGATGCCAGGACCACCAGGCCCTCAAGGTGAAGCTGGTGTGCCTGGTCTCAAGGGTCCACAGGGACCTCCAGGAGCTAATGGACAGTGTGACCCCACTCAATGTGCTTACTATGCAAGCCTGGCTGCCAGACCTGTCAACATCAAAGGGCCATAGCATGCAGGGGTTATTCCCAGACTTGTCTTTGAAACTTGAATTCATCCCACCTGCCAAGAGCTCTCAGATGCCTTCAACTGTGTTTCTTTCATAGGAGGCCTTCTAAAGCCAACAAATGCTGCCGGTCGGTCAGATTATTTTTATGAATTATAATAATAATAATAATTATTATTATCTTTGATGTGATATGTGAATTTGTTTTTTGTTTAGCATCAGGGCATATTAAAACATTAAAAGTAAGTGGATTTTCCTCTTTTGAAGAGCATATAATACCAATGCATTGTGTACTGTTTATGCAAAGCCATTCCAATGTCAACATTTTTGTTACCTTGGTTACCTCTTTCCGAAGCTTTACCCCTCACCCTTGAAACTGCAATCAAATCCTGTATCCCATGACATTAACTGTGAGACACAGGTTCATCACAGGCTTGTTGGTGCTTTTTGCCTCTCACATGGAGGGGAGGTAGGTAAAGCCATGCCAAAGCTGGAAAAGAGGTCTCCAGTATGTTCACCTCACAATGGACAGTTATGAGCTGCCAGTGTGTGTTTCCCAAAAGATCCTTATTAAATGTAATATTCTTCTGCCCATAAATGAATCTGTATACTATTGGAGATCTTTTTAATGGGACCATGTGTGATCTCACACTAAGGCCTGAAGAGACCACATAGATGATGTAAACCTCCTTACTGCTCCTTGTGCAAGAACTTCAATACTCAGATGGTTTAGTCCTACCAGATGGAGCTTAAATTCCTTCTGTTGGGGAGATGCATCTGCAAAAAGCTTCCATGATGTCCTCTATCAGCTCAGGGATGCCAAATCCCCTGTTCATTGTCAGTGCACACACTGCTCCCTTCCACTGCTTCACCCAAAAATCAGCCAGAGCAGCACAGGAAGACCCCTGGTGTTAATCTCAGGAAGCCAAGTGTGACCCAACTTACCATTTTGAATGATCCCCTACAATAATTTGGCAAGATGATGTTTTAGAGGGTAGGTAAAGAATTGCAGACTGGTTGAGGACGAGGTTGGTCTCTGATGAGAGAGTCAGAGCAAAGAGGTGTTGAGAAACCTGGAGGAAACTGTGTTTGAGGGCAAAAGCAATACATCAGACCCACATCCTTTTCCCCTGTCAGCTAATTGCCAAAATCAACCTGAGAATGCAAAGAAAGTAAAGAGGGGATGGAGTCTGAAAAGCCCAGATTTATGGGCCAGCCAACAAAGCAGCTGCAGCTTCAAAACTCTTCTGTACAAAGCAGTTTGTAGGGAGAGATGAGAGCAATGAACCTGACACAGGCATTTAGTGCTGAATGTGTCTGGAAATCTCATCAGGTCTTTTGGAGACAGCAGAGAGGCACCCTGCCCTGCTGGCACATTCATATGGCATGGTGCTTCCAAGCTGGCTAAGCCAAGCAGAAGCCACAGATGTCTGTAACCATCCCAGAGTCAGACCCTGAGGCTAAAGCCCAGATGTAATATTTTGCCAGCCTTGGAGTCTTTTTTTCACCCAGTAGCAGATAAAATTTGCCTCTTCTTTACTGAAAAATGAAATAACATGTTCTCATGTGAGGGTTAAGCAAAGTCTTTACTGTGTAGCTCTTAATGGTGCTATTTTTGCTATTTCCTGTGCAAATAAACTCTTTGATTTGATTTTACTGTGTTTCTTGCTATGGAAAGACCAATCAAAGTGAAAATATGATGTGAAAAGCTTGTTGCTTTCAAGTAACTCTCAATGGTATATCTGTTACTGTACTGCATCTTAGGTCAGTTTGCTGTATTTCAGTACTAAGCAAGTCACATATTTAACAGCACCCTTTTTCCTAGTCCAGGCTGAGTGAGGTTTCACCCCTCCGGTGGTGAGGTAAAACAAGGATTGCTTCTGAAGAGAGGTCTGTCAGCACGGCATGAGACATCATTTTGAAAAGATGTGATGGCAATGAGTAGGATTTATGGCAGTCAGATGTGTTGACTGGGTTATGTTAAAGTGACGTTTAATTCTTGTCATGACGGTGACTCTTCAGCCTCTGTAGGTTGTCTCTCCTCATGTATGTCTGTGTGTGCCACACATGTCATAGGTTTCAGTATATTCCAGTGCACCATGAGAAGGGTGGATACATAATGATGTTAAACAGATTTGATAGAGTTGATAGAATAACTTTTGTTGGAAGGGACATTTAAAGGTCATCTAGTCCAACCCACAATGGATGAGATGGTGCAGTGGTATCTAGGGTTTTTTTTTGGACAACCCTATTCATCTGAATGTCTGTTGGAGCCATTGCCAAGAATCTGTGTTAAGAATGTGAGGGACATATCTGCATCTTTAATAGCAATTGAAAAACCTGCCTGGGTAAGGCACACACTACAGCTCTGCAACTTCTCCACATGGAGAAGGGGATGCAGCCTAATCCCCTTTGTTTCAGCATGCTCCCTAGCTTACACTTGTCAGTTCAGCCTGTTCCTGGAGACATCCCAGACTGTCTTTGTGCCCTAATTCAGTGGGTGCCATTTTAGTGTTTTTTTTTCTTAAATCCTGGTTTCTCTCCAGCCAGTCAAATGGCATTTACCAAGCATCATCTGTTGCTGGTGAGGGGAGTAAGCAACACATGCTGCAGACCCAGATCAAGACCTGTGTTTATAGCCACCCAGTTTCTATGGATGTAGTCATCAAAGGGAGGCTTTTGTAGCTGCCAGAGCTTACAGAAGCAAGCCCTATGTGAATGTGCCCTGCAATAAAAGGTAAGAATGGGTTTATTTGCAGGGTTTCAAGAACTGCAGCAGTTTTCCCTCAGTCTGTTCATGTGTATTTGCCATCTTTGGCCTGAGATTACTTTCCAAATGAGGTCTGCCATGTGGGTAGCCAGTAAATGGACAAGTACAGCCCTGGGAATGGTCAGAAGATGCCCTCCCCAAAATGCCTCTGTGCCTAAGCAGGTGATGGTGTGTGATGGAAGGTAAGGCATGTATTGTCTATTGATCATCTTGCAAGGTGACCATGCAGGCAGGAGGTGGCAGGTAGGGCAGAGACAACGCTGTTGGCCTCATTACAACTGCTCTTGACTAAGAGAAGGTTTTTGGATCTCAATGTTCCTATCTCTGCAACAGAGTCTCTACATCACTATAAAGTCTTCTCACTGAGTCTGAGGTTTAAACCAAGGAGTATGATGGTGGTTTTGTTGGATTTTGTTGTGGCTGGTCCTGTGGTAAGAGGATATAGTGTTAAAATCGCATTAGATAGCCAGACAATGTATTATTTCTGTATTTAAAAGGTGTTAATGATGCCTGAGGTACATGGCATCACTGTGGGTTGTTCTTTTTCTTTTTAATCAAGTGTGCAAATCATTGCAATTATAGCAAACAGACCATTATTCTGTTAAAAATTTTTGCCTGTCAAAAAACCCAAACCTAAATAAGAGGAACATTTGGGGAAAATATTTTTTGATGTTAAATTATTTAACAATTTAATATCTGTTATTAATATTAATAGTGGATATTAATAACAACTATTAATTTGTTAATTATAGATAATTACATTATCTATAAATTTGAATCATTATAAATAATGATTATTGATAATAAACAATATTGCTATTTGTTTTCTAACCAGTTTTGAATTAGCTGCTTCTTGGAAACTATGGCAGGGAATGGATTATTTTCCTCCTTTGTCATTTGTGAGTGGTTCTCCTCACTACAGCCTTGTTATGCTGTTTTCCTGAGCTGTCCTTTTTCCATGTTTTGTTGTTAACACAGGGTAATTAAACTGTGTAAGGCTGAACTCTGTTCTACATGTTCCTTTGGAGATGGGTAATCAAAGCAACACTGCTCTGTTCAGGACTAAACCAAATGTGTGTTTTCCAGAGAGACAATAAATACGCTGCAGCAGCAAAGCTCAAGCTCTGTGCTTTGACCACAGAACTGGCTGTGAGCTGAGCACAGATTTTACATTCTAGGCAATTTAAAACCAAATCATTAAAAATATATTTAAAAAGAAAACAGAGTTTCATGACGGCTCAGTCTTTTAATGTGGTCTAATTCATTAGAGCTTGACTAATGCTGGTCAAGCTCTGCTCTGCTGTAGATTGCATTTTGGCAGCTTCTGGAGCAGGACTTGGTGCTGAAGCTGGGTATCATCATCCATCAACATCATCTCAGTGCCAGAGATACTGACAGGGGACTAGCAGATATGATGTAGAACCTAAGAGGATCTTTCCACATCTGCAGTAGGTGACCCTAGAGGAGATTATGTATCCTGTCAAATGATGCAAGATGCTTATGTCAAGGTACCTGAATCCCAAGCTTAGTCTCTCACAGTGGGATTCAGATTCAGGCCATGGAATCTGCATTTTGGTGGCTTCGATGTGAGCTGTGGGGCCTGGAGAGCAATTCAGCTCATCCCAAAGTAGTCAGTTAAAATACCCTTGGCTGTTTAGCCTGTATTAAATAAGTCTTCATGTAAAAAGGATCTTTTGGCACCTGTCTTTGTCTTCCACCATTACTGATTCATGTTCCCACTGAGTTGGTGTGGGGATATATGTGTTACAGACGATGAGATGCTGGATGCTATGTGGCTAGCAGTCAGGCAGATCAGAGGCAGAGGCAAGGTTGTGGCATGAACCTGCACTTCCATTATGCCAGGAAATAACAGGTAAATTTTCTTAAAATGACTGCACTAACTTGACAGTAACAGCATAAACTGTAAATATCCACTACCACCTCTTTCCTGAATTGCAGTCCAGTGCTGAAGAGGGCTAAGATTGCTGCTCCATGGCATGGGGAGGAAGAGCAGCATAGGAGCAAAGGCAGGTTTCTGCCCCAATCTGCAGCCATGTACAGGGGTGAGCATCCAGCAGAGACCATGGGGAGTCCTCCTTGCTGCTGTCTCTGCAGAGCCAGCACTGCTGGGGCAAGAGTCTCCGCATCAGACACCCTATTGTCTCCTATGTTCCCGTTTCAGCACCTCAGGGCTTTAGGGTAATAATGGTTCCTCAGGGTCTGGACTTTGCTTTCAACACCTTTGTAAATGAAGTTGAATTAAGAAAAGAAAGCCTGCTTAGCTTCATTACTTTGGTTTAAACCTGCAAGTCACAAACAGACTTTTGTCTTCTGACTTGTGAAATAGAAGCAACTTATTAGAAAATCATGAAGACACGATAAACAGGAGACTGGTTCTCAGAGTTGCTTTACAACACAGATTTTCACTATTTTCACTTCTACATCTTGTGAAACTTGGCTCAAGAATACTGATGATGGTAATATTCTTGTTGGAGTTTGTCTGAGCTGAGATTAAGAATATCCTGGCTGGGTCTCTGGGGGGATCATACATTGGAAATATGGGCTCCTGTTATTTTACATTTTAGATCATAAACCTTATGTAGGAAGCACAAGGGAACAATTTGACGGAGGGACATTAATCATGTTCTGACATTCCCAATGAGCCAGCTATCAGCATCAGGAAGAAGGATGTCCTGCTAGTTGGAGCAGAAAAGAACCTGCCACTTTGTAAAGGAAAACCCTGTGTCAAACTCCAGGTGTGAAAAAGCACAACAGAACAGTGCCCAACATCACAAAACCCTCTCTCTGACCACAGCTTTGGCTCTGCATGGCATGCTGTCTGAAGGAGAGAAGCCTGTTTTAACAGAAGGCAGCACACACAGCAAATCAGTTTGTTTCACAGGACAGATGCATTTGACAATGTGTTCTTAGAAACACATTTTTCCCCTTAGTAATGTTGGGGATGGTTTTTGTCCAAGTCTGAACTGACTTTTCAGTGCAATAGCTTTTCAGCACTTTCTTGATGGAGTTGAGTTTAACTTTGAGTCTTATTTTTATGGCTAATTGTGAAGCCTGTCATTTCTGATAACCAGCTTTCCCCTGCATGTGAAAATCTCACTTTTCCTTGTCTGCTGTAGTCATCTCTAATGTACGCATATTTCCAAGTTATTGTACCTATTGTTACTTATAAACAACTATTAGACTTCCTTGAGTTCTACTGAATCATTTTTGTATAACAAGTCCACCCTTTCTTGATGCAGCTAGCACAGCCTTCAGATCACATTGACGTTAATGATGACCCTAAACAGCAGAAGTAACCATTTTCAGTGCTCCCAGGATCTACTCAAGACATTACGTACTCAGCTGTGATAACACCAGCTTGTATGGATAACCAGTTTGTATTGGGAAACCCAGCAGGCCCTTCTCCAGGCATCCCAGGAGCCAAAGCAGCCTCACAACTCTGCTGGTTACTAAGGCAAGTGACACAGTTTTCTCTTACAGACACTGAATATGAATCTGGAGGAAGTTCAGGGCTTGGTTTTAGTAGGGTTATGGTATTTGCACTTTGAATCCAAGTCAGGGATAACAGCTTGTATGCAATAGCCCTGAAAAACTGTATTTCAGGGTGAAAGAGAGCTAAAAACCAGCAGAGCCTGAAGTGTAAGTTCAGAGGGTTGAACAATGATACCAAAATCCTCTTTTCAGCATTGTCTGGGTAGAGAGCTTCCAGTGCTAACTGCCCATCTCTGCAGCCATTGGCCAGAGTAGGAAAGCAAAGCTCACATACTCTCCTTTTACAAGACTTGGCTTTGTAGACCTGCTTAGACCATACGTCTAACACATTGTTTTCTACCTTTAATAGTATGTGGGATGCTATGGAGACCTC